AAACCCTAATAAAACCCTAATAAAACCCTAATAAAACCCTAAAACCCTAATAAAACCCTAATAAAACCCTAATAAAACCCTAATAAACCCTAAAACCCTAATAAAACCCTAAAACCCTAAAACCCTAATAAAACCCTAATAATAATAAAAAATTATTAAAATTAATAAACAGAATTTATCTAGTATTTTATATTTTATTATTGGAACCTGCACCAAGGAACGCTAGAATCACAGAAAATATAGAAATTAACAATAACACTAAACAAGAATATGAAATTGAAAGGATTCTAGACTATAAGAAAATTAATAATAAGTTATATTATTTAATAAAATAAGAAGATTATAATACCTCAAAAAATATATAAAAATTTATTAAGAATTTAACAGGCTGTTACTAGCTTATAGAATAGTACTACCAGCAGCAAGGTCAAAGTTCACCCAGAAAAAAAAGAAACTAATTAACTAAGTTAAACTAGAATTATCTGATATAATAATAAGTTAAATAATATTATATTTATTAACTAGATATTCCAGCTTCTGAAGATTTTTAATACTTAGAGAATCCTCTTTATCTAATCACTTTAATATATTTAAATTATAATCTAATATCCGCTTACCATGATTCTTTAAAAATTATTATTATTTAAATAAATAAGTTATTTTAACAGAAATACAAGCCTGCTCAGCTAAAATCTCAGTAAGCTCATTTTATACTTTTAATTAATTTTATTTTAAGTTATTCTATTTCTTATTATTATGAAACTGCTTCTCATATTTCTGATAATAATAAATATAAGCAGTACAATTTTAGCTCTTTGAATTTATAATATAAGAAATATCTTTTAGAAAGTAATATTTACAGGAATTTTTAATAATATAACTATTCTTATAAATCTTATTAGACTGACAAATGCGCTCTTTTACTCAATCATAGTTAGTATAACGGCGAGACATGTTAATCCATTCTAAAAAAAAAAAAGAAATTAAAAGATCTAGATAACTTATAAAAAAAAATATATATCTTTATATTTCTTGAGAACAAGAAATCTTAAAGAAAAAAAAGTAATATTATAGATCTCTATTAATTAATCTACTAGTAAGGCGGACTTGTCAGATAAAAAGTATTAATAAGAATAGCACTCAGACAAAGCCAAGTTATTATTTAGTATAATTATGAATTACTAATATAACACCTGAAACAGCCACGCATCACATAACCATCTACTATCAAGTCTACCATTAAGAATATACTTAAGGTATACTGGGACCCTGAACTATGATTAGATTAACCATCAATCTACCCAGAATGGTATATAATATAATATACAAAGAACAGGATATATAAAAATACTCTTTTATATACTTAGTTAATTCTATTCTTTATGCTCAATAACACTGTCTTTAAGTAATCATACATTTGGAAACTTAGTAATAGAATACTCGTCCGTACTTACTTATAGATAGCTATACAGTATTATCTGGCCTTACTTCTCTTCTCGTGTCCAAGACCAGTTATCCTTAGATAATCATCAGCCTTATACCTCCTCGATCTAGTTCGACGGTACGTATACCAGTGAAGCTAAGCTAACAGGGACAGGGAAGCGATCCTAGGATTTGACAATAATATTTATTATAATATTTATAAGACTAAATTGGGCTTAGTATTCCTAAAAAAAGATATTAATCTGATTTAGATTTTTATTACATATATTAACCTGATTAAATTTCTATTATTTATATTAACTATATTTAGAAGTAGATACTATTATCTTTAAAAACTTGTAATTTCACAGAATAATTAATTAAAAGACTGAAAATTATATTATTATATTCTCTGTTTCCAGTGTTATTGAATCATACTAATCTTAAACTGGTCAGACATCGTTTCACTATTGTCCTGTTGTGAAAATTTGCCTACTAGAATATATCTTTAAATACTGCTTTATATAGTCTTCAAAGCTTATTATAATTTAATTATACTTTCTTATAAGTCTCGAGAACTTCTAAGTTTTTATTATATATTAATAAAATCTTAATTCTCAGTTTTAACTTGTTAGAATAGATCTACTGGTTTATTATAATCCAGCAGGTAATGTAAGTAACATATAATTATAAATTTTATTTTTATATTATATCTTGCTGGCCTCTCCAACACTGTAGAAGACTAGTGATTAGTTTAAAGTAGAATAGTAGCTAGTATTTATATATATAATTAAATTTATTATAAATTTTATATCACCTCTAACATAACTCCTATAAGAGAGTAACTACTATTTAAACAGTACTAAGTATAAAATTATCAGATTTATTTTAATCTAATTATTAATAAATTTATAGTTTCTTTACTCATTACTTAGGATCTTCTGTAAAAGCCTAATATAGAATCTATTTAACTATCTATATTAGTATTCTAGGGTGGTATGGTAGGGATGGCCGGCACAGGTGGGTAGCTAGTATAGCTGGAAGTTATATTAAAAGCTTTCTGATAGCATGGGGAGAAATATGCCGTCAGATATACATATCTTGTAAGAGCCTGGGAACTACAACTGTGACAGTGAGTGACATCTTTAGCCCCTCAAGGAGAATAAGCTTAATGGATATTTGAATGCAATGTTCTAAACATGAGAATGCTCTTCCCATGAAAAACGGGGAAATAAAGTACAAAGAGATGTCAAATTTCACCTGGGCATCGTGAATATGGATCTACAAGGTTCACAAACAATGGCCACTGCTAAAATTCAAATTCTCTTTATTTCTGAAAATATAACAACCTGAAGTCGCTTTTACCATCCTCGTTATTACTCCCACCATTCAAGAGGGAAAGGGCACAATTGCTTACTATAAGAGATAATCCATTTAACTCCGCGAACGGAGCGAACATGCCATGCTTAAGAGAAGGTATCGTGGTTTGTTCTTTAAGCTCCTTCTGAACATTACCAGGTGTTATTTTTTAGGATATCCTTAGTATAGTTTGGGCTCTTTTTATGATTATAGTATTTTGATGCTAGCATCTCTACAGACTAAAGTCTTCTACTAATCTGAATGGTACAGAAACATATCCTGTAACGATCTAGAAAAGCACATTAATATGCCTTGTAGAGGTGCTGAAGACATCCTTCGTGTCTTGATAAAGAAGATGACACCTCGTCTCAGGTTTGGCGGCTCAGTATCCTTCTCCCCATATACATAGTTCTGGCGTGGCTGGTTTTCATTGCATTCAATTTTTCTACTCTGGTACACCGAACGCATTACTGTACGAGTCCAGTCGCCACGAAACGAGCTAGTACGCTTCTAGCAAATTATATGCATACTTGAGGAAGATAGTATATTGGTCCTTAGCAGAGTCTTCAAGTCTACTCAAGTATAATAAGATCAGTTGTCTCTTCTCCCAATGGCCGGCTACAGTACTCGGAATCTGCATGAATTAAGCCCTCCACTGAATCTAACTACAAGCATATTGTAGCAGGCTCCTCACGAAATCAAAGGGGTGACAGAAGTATACGTTTAGACTGACAGGTACGGCTCGACAACTCGCGTTAATCCACACTAGATACGTTTCAAGGGTAGGACTTTAGGTTGAATCGTCGAAGCTCGACGCCATTATACCGGCGAATCTTGCGTCGCGTGCAAAGCACCACAATACTGCTGCACAGGATCCGTTGTAGATACCTTATCTGGATTGCACCACCTTATCAGAGGACTAGGAATATTGTTACGTCATACCTTTGTAGAAGCATTGAATAGGAGTCTGAAGACTAGGAGACACAGAATTATTGATCAAAAAGCGTTCGGTTTGCTGGATATAATTTACTAGCAGAATTTAACATCTTATCTGTGCTAGATCATGGCTTCAGCGCCCATGAATGTGGCATTATGGCGCGTGTGCCTTGACGGCTACATAGGATTTCCCTCTAATGGCGGCAGACGAAGATTCTTACCATCGCCCTTCGTCAGTTCTATAGCCTCCAAGTCAATCCCATGCAACAGGCGTATCTGATTGGGATCCCGGTATCTGTGTTAGCTCATATGCAATCCTCCAATGTGTTCGTTACGCGGGGGCCAAAGATGATAGTGATGGGCTATAAACTCATTGGATAACTGACTCACATTTATAGCACATTTACCGTATTGCCACTTTGGATTGACAGATTTGTTGTAAACATTGGCCCCGCAGCTTCTACAAAAAAAGATCTGTATAGTGTGCGTGGCGAACCGATATTCCTGTATCATATGAACCATTTATCTCAGTAATTGATAATATCTTAGGTATAACCAAGCATTAATCGAATGGGCTGCTATGAAAGCTGATTCATACCGTAAGCGATTCTCTTCCTTGAATTTCCATATCATCCGCGAAAGCCAGCAAGCTGCCTGCAATGTGACAATAGCTGCCTATATACATTTTTGGTTTAGCAGCTGATTTTGTTCGAGACATATCCTTATTCCGCAGAGATGGACAGTCATAGGCTCGCTGGGTTCGCCTTGTACCAATATACATACAAGTGCAAGAGATTACAGTCAATTGCGACAGCGGGGACTGAAACCTTGCGGAGAGGCGTACAGCCCCGCAATGACAGCTTCCATGGTGGCAAAGGTCTGTAGAAGTCGCTGTAGAGCTCTGTTTCTCTGGTTCCTTGGCTGATGCCATTGCTCAAGTATCAAACTTGGAGTTACGTGTTTCTCTGTTTTTGCTTCGCCGACTCAATGCTGGCACAACATTTGCATGTGGTCCGACAAGAGAGCTGGACGCCGGGGTGGTTATGAATTAAATAAGTATTGAAGCCCAAGAGAGGAAAGTTATAATGGTTGAGAAAAAGGTCTGAGGAAGCAATGTCTGAACTTTGGCAGCTGTTGAGAATCTCGATTACTATGAAGAGTGGGGCTTACATTGTTGGGATTCTGGAGTGCTATGCACCAACCCCTTCTGCCCAATCAAACGTTCCCCAACGATAGGCTTCAGTTCATGTATCACCGGTTGGGTGTAATTAATGCAATTGGTGAGGGCTGATCCCTTTGTTGCCACCATATCTTAAGAAATACTTGTGTTCAATGGAAGATTGTCGCACACAATTGTCCTGGGTATGACAACAGGACATATTTCATGAATGTGAACAGGCAGCTATACAGCACTTACCATCTTCCCGCTTAATCAGTAGTCTCATCACAAAAATGCCCCCTGCCGCTTCTCAGCCGTCCTTAGCCAGTTACACACTAATAGTTACCGTTTTATAGTTTGATTATTAAACATTCCCGGCTCTACGTTAAGAACAAAATGTTCAATTTGATTACTGAACATGACAAAGCATCCGTGTACGGTGGCTGATTGGCCACCCCCCATGAACTTTATAATGAGATTCCACGGATCGGATACAAACCTTGGTTTCATGGTTGGCAATACACAGTGCTGGTTCAAACGTTTCTGTACCTGGAATTAGCGTATTTCGACCATAATAGAAAGCCATCCTACAAAGCAAAAGCCCAGACTCATCTTTCTTATTACTATTTTCCCATCGTAATAAGATGAGGAATTAGTCTGGCAGAGCTCATATCAATCTCAAGCCGTGCTTCTAGCCATATCAATCCCTTTTACCTTACTTTCGTTCCACCACTATCCCTGGTTAGGCAGTTGCTATGGTGAGAAGCGAATAACGGCCAATGGAGATACACTACGATGGACATTTACCAAGCAGCGAGCCAGGAAATATTCAACATCCCAAAGGCTGCGGCTGAGCAAGCCTACGATATCAATGCCCTTTACCAAAACAAGCGGACTCCCCTCTGGTCAGCACCGAACAGCGGTCAGGGGCCTGCGTGCAGCTTCCTGTCTGTTTAGGGCGTTGACATTAGCTTGCGCGGTGTTAGTGTCCTTGAGATCACATTGTGTTATCCTATTTCTCTCTCTATTTACCTGTAAGAGCAACTGCTAGTATTATGTAGTCTTTCCAAAGCTATCGGGGTTCCAAGAGCACAGAAAGCATTACAGATCATGTATATATCTCAATCTAAATAGTTCCTTCATTATCCCATACTGAAAATTCGAGTAAAGCAATGGATCACTATCACACCTGCATCCAGAACCTTCCAATATAATCAAAGCCAATGAACGAAGAATTAGAGCCAGGCAATGTACAGCAAATAGTAGGATATAATATGCAATGTATATTGATTCACTGGATAGCACTCAGCTTTTAGGAACCCAATACTAAATAATTCTAATGTAATTATATATACAGATATACCGATACCTTCTAAAATGTGGGTTTATATACAAATCAACTTTCAATTAGAGAATTTTCACTGGCAGGCACTGGCGCTCCTCAATAATGATATCTGACATGGTTTAAAAGCAACTAGAAGCTGCCCTAATTTACTTACATATATAGTACTACAGATGCCGAGATTAGATGTGGTAGGGAAGAAGAATGATTCCGATAAAGACAGAAAATCTGTAGAGATAGTATAATTAAACCCTCTAATATTAGTGATTACCTTACCATTGAAGATAGACTTAGGAGCCTGAGACAAGCCAAACAATATCTATTACTGCTACATTTCTGTGGCTAATGGAAATGGTGGTAAGCTTGATCAGTACTTTCAGAGAGCGCTTACACCACACAAGGGGAGCTCTACTAATACTAAAGTATCTCACCATAACATAAAGGCACTTGTCTTAATTGATAAAGAGATTATTCCTTAAAAACTCTGTTACTTCTCTCTTAGAATCCCAAATATTGATAGCTGCGGACAGTCATACCGGGCCAGATCAAGGTATTGCTTTCCGAAAAACCCAACCGTCAAGACATTTATTTATGTCCAATAACTGGCTACAGAGCATATTTATTTTAATCCCACTAGTAGTTCACTCACTCTGCTGAACAATACAGAGCTCAGTTATCTTATACCATGAGAGCTGTATAATTATTCATGATATAATAATATAGAATGGAAAATGCAGAATTGTATAACTCGGTGTTATAGACTAGAATACTACGAGGAATGATAATATATAGCGCCCTCATAGCAATGAAATATATTTAATATTCCTTCTCATGAGTCATGATAGTCTGCTTCTGTTTATTATTATTTTAGAAAAAACTATCCAGTCCGTCTAAATCCTCTAGATTCAAATAAGACAAGCCCGGCATTAGTTATTACCAGAGTAGATAGAATATCCTTCTCCTCAGATTAATCAATCCCCCACTGAAGCAATTTCTTTCTAATCTTTTATCCCTGGGCTGTTGTCCCGACGGCTAAGAGACTCAGATACTATGTCTTAGTTCGTTAGCTAGTTTTAGCTGCATCAAGCTCATGTCTAAAGTATTTTAGCTTTAACCAGGATAAGGATCTTCATGGTATATCCAGAAAAAATATATAAGTAGAGTGGTTATACCTGACCGTTATACCTGATCAGGCAGAAATCAGGCAGAAACTTTCTGCTATTCTTTACCGGCTTCCTAGATAGGAAGAATAAGCGAAATCAGGTTAACCGCGGTTAACCTAGGTTAGGTATCTATATATTTTATACCTAACCGTTAACCGGACGGCAGATATAAATTTTTCTATTAACCTAACCTACCCTGGCCGTTAACCACTCTACACCTAATCTACAGGCCATCACGAAACAACACCAGATTATTCATGACTGAGATTAGGAGGATTAGCAATAATATCATAAAACAATCAACCCCTATCTTTCACGTTCGCGAACCAAAGATATATTTTTCACACTATCTCAGACTACCATCCTTATAAATAGCATGAACAGAAATGACTGTGTTAGACTGTTTAAATATAAGATGTAGTGGTTGCAAGTATATATTACATGTACCTACGGGCTCGCTTTGGCGTTTGATTTATCTGATTTATATGCATTCATGGTTCTTTTGTCTCTATCCCCAAGTAAGATCACTGGCATAAACAGTGTTGATTACTCTGATCTATTCTAAACTATAGGTACCTCAGGATTGACGAATACCAGGGAGTATGGGAGTTCCCGTCCTCATACTTTACTCCGCCCGTCAGCACTAAAACAGCGCTAGACCATGCGACGGCACTTGTATGGTTCGGCAGCCGCCGTCGGGTGAGCCCACCATATGGGGCTTTTAATCCTTCAACTATCCGTCAGCAAGCCACAGGGTCAATGCGACCCTGCCATATATATAAGGTCTATGCCCCCATTTACGACAATCTAAAATCTCAACACTATCGTACTGTGTACATATTTAAGCCTGTTCCATGGACCATCCAGACGCTTTCTCCTACTCACCTCTCAACCCCGAGGCGGTGGAGATCCGCCTCCTCACCATCCTACCGGATAGAAATGAAAAGAGCTCAGTGAAGTGCACCTTGCAGACCGTCTCACTGAACAACGCACCGGAGTTTGAGGCCCTCTCCTATGTCTGGGGGAGCGTGACGGAAAAGGTCGGAATCACCCTGGACGACATCCCCTTCCAGGTGACGACGAACCTCGAAGCGGCGCTCAAATGCCTCCGACACGCCCGGAAGAAACGCTTCATCTGGATCGACTTCATCTGCATCGACCAAAACAACCTCAAAGAAAAGAACACCCAGCTGCCGCTCATGGGCCGCATCTACAAAGACGCCACCGCGGTCGTCGCCTGGCTCGGGCCCATAACTTCTAACACGGAACAGACCATGGCGATGATAAAGCGCCGCGAGAGCAGCCTGGCGGGGCTCTTTCACGACGTACGGCTGGCCGTCCGCCCGTGGAGCCAGAAGGCCCGCCGCGACGACATCGGCTCGATTCTCGACGCCGTGCAGGGCTTCCTGGACATCGTCTCCGCGCCGTACTGGGGCCGCATCTGGACCTTCCAGGAGTACTACCTCCCCGCAAAGCTGCCCGTGTGCATGGTCGGGCGCGTGCCGTTCACGCTGCCCGCGCTTGTTGACCTAGGCCTGCACTTTGCGGAGATCCTGCGCCCGTTCATGGACGATCTCGACAAGGTGGCCCCGCGCGCGGGCGACGCCGCCGACATCGAGAACCACCGCAAGCTGCAGGGCCGGCTCAAGGAGGCGACCCAGCGCCTCACGCAGTCGAACCCCATGCAGGACTTTGCGCACGACATCGCCGCCAGCCGGAAGGGCTTGGCGTCGTTTGCGGAGGTGCTCGATCTGACTGTCCAGCGCCAGTGCTTCAACCCCCTCGACCGCTTCTACGCGCTATACTCGATGGTTGACGGCGTCCAGAATAAGTACCCCGTCGACTATGAGTACACGGCGGACGAGGTCGCAATGCAGATCACGCTGTGGATTCTGATCTACGAGGGGATTGATTTCGTGTTCAACCTGTTCCATTTCTACGACGAGCCTCATGGGAACGTTGCGGGGTATCGCAGCCCGTCGTGGGTGCCGAACTATCGTGACGCGACGTCGAGGACCAGTTTCAGATTCAAGGACCTTGACAAGTCGCTCCAGGACTGGGAGCAGGAGCAGAAGGAGCAGATGACGAACTTGTCGGTGCTGCTGGGCAAGTACGTGCTGCGGTTCTGGGCCCGGAGGGTGGGAACGACTCGAGTCGTGTTCAAGTTTCCGAGCGAGACGGCGGAAATCGCCCGGCAGGTTTTACATGCTGTCAAAGAGCCGCCCGCGGAATGGGGCAACGGTGTCGACGAGGCGAACATGGCAGAACGGCTCATCTGGGCCTTTCTTGCGCATGGCAGCATGCAACAGATGTTCCCCGTCAACGACATCCTCAACGCGCTGGAAGAGCTGTCCAGTTCTGAGGGCCCGTCTGACTCGGCCCTATCGTCGGCGGTTGGGAAACTGCTGCTGCGGGATTTGCCGCTCCTCGCGGGGAGGACGGTCTTTCAGCTGGCAGATTGTACGACAGGTGGGTTCGGCGTGGGCATTGGGAACATCCAGGATGGGGACCTGTTGATTCTATCAGGTAAGATGACGAATCCAATTGCTTTGCGGGACTCGGGGTTCCGGGACATCGACACCGACTCAGATGTGGTGCATTATAGGATGGTTGGGAATGCGTTTGTCGAAGGCATTGCAGAGGACCAGAAGGATCTGCCTACTCCACTGGTTGGTGAGCTCAAGGGAGCGAAGTTTGAGGAGTTCTTGATTTGGTAATTGTTACAGACCCCTACTAGTTAAGCTACGAGCAAAGCAGACTTATTAGGCAGAAAGTACTGAAAAGGGTGGCGCTTTGACAATTAATACCTCTTTTTAAATAAAATCTTAGATTAAATAAATAACACCAGAAATAACTTTATAATATGTAATTATCTACTATCAAGTCTATCATCAGGGGGATGTTTAGAATATATAAAGATCTCAAACTATAATTAAATTGACTATTAATCTACCTTCGATGGTATATAATATATTATGTCAGCTGGAATTCATCTTTCTTCCCTAACTTTATTAGTTTAAAAAACCCTAATAAAGCCTTGCCGTTTCCACGTTTGCTGACTCGCTGATGTAGATGTTCTCTTGTTGCATTTTTGAATAAACTGGAAACTGAATAGACGGGACCAAGACTCTCTCTTCACTGCCTATGAGCAGAGGAATAGCAGGAGGCTGTCTTTGGTCATGATGGCTTCTAGTTACCGAGTTCAGTACAGACATTATGTTGAATAAAGAGAGATGGAAAGCAACCAACTCCGGGCTAGAATTTCAGGTATCTAAGAGCCGTGGAACTGGCAACAAGCAATTCAGTGTGTTAGCATTGTGGAGTGATGGTCTCATCGATCACATCCTTCCGAGCTTCTCGCAAGTCTCGCCTACAAGTATGACTCCAAATACGGTTAGCAGCGGGGCATCGGTCTTATCGGTCACCGAGCAGGCTGTGGATCCCCATGAAGCGAGATGAGGATTTGTCCCAGCAACAGATCAACTCGAACCAGATCAAGCTCAGCCTGGCCAAGTTTCAGATGGTGTAAGAGCATATCTTGATTTTCATTAGGAGACTAGATTGGTGCCCGCAGTTTCTGAATCGGGCATCCCATATTCATCTTCTAAATAAGAAAGATGCTTGCCTCAGTTTGCGGCCCGCCATTGGTTTGAGGTTCCGGATGCAATTGTTAGATGGTCAACCAAGTAGACTTGGTCAAGTCAGGTATACATTCTTGTAAGAGGCATGTCCTAGGTACTTCTTGATATCTGTTCGTTATGTCTCAGCTCTTTAATCTCAATTGCCTGTCTGACTCCATTGGTTGTCAGTCTCACCGGTCGGCCGACTTCCGATGCGTTGAAATCCAGTAAATTATGGACACGGGTCCACTAGGAACATGGGTCAAGATGTGGGAGCAAAGATGTGGGAGCAAAGATGTGGAGAATGTGCTTATATTCGTCGGTCGCTGGGCCCCAGCCCACATAACTCTTCCCGCTCACACCCGGCTTCAATGGTAATGAAGTCGTCCAGACAATTTTCGATGCTGTGAATCTTGTGCATTCGGCCACTAACTACCTACTGAATTCGTTTACATAAGAGCATACACTCCATGAATATGAAGATCGACCGTAATAAGAGTCTGTAGGATGAACGCTTGAAACTTGGCAAACCTGAAGCCAGGTTGATGAGAGGAAGATTGAAGTTTGGGAGTTCAATGAAGGTTTGGCCAGCTGCACTCGCTTTTAGACACTATGTACAAGCTATGGAAACATAAAATACAGACCAATCAGTGTTTCAGATAGTCAAAACGGCGAGGGATTTAACTAGTCCAAGGAAGAGCGCAGCAAGATCTACGGGCATGCAGGGCGGTAAAGAAAAAAAACCTCTCCATTTCTCTCAGTTGAATACTCTAGTTTGTAGGGGTTATGGTCATGGTATGGTATATATTACCTAAAATATATTACAGCCCACCTGATCAAGAGTAGTGGGTCACATGATTGGTTAGGCCTCAAAGAGTCAAAAGAGCCTTCAGAAGTGGACTATTTGTAAAGCGCCGTCCAGTTGTGACAGGATCGACAATTTCCCCGCAGCGTTAACCGGGGCGTAAAGAGGAGGGCTCCACCCACCCATCCATTGTTTCTTCTTTCTTTCATCATTCCGTGCTTTGCCCAACTTCCACACCTTTTCTGTCCCTCGTGTGTCCCAACCCCGCAGAAACTTTTCGCCATTCATCTCTGAATTATAACCGATTTTCTAATGTTATATCTGTCTATCGGATGTGTCCCTATCTTACCCACAGCTTAAGCTTGACTTGTCTTTACAACAAATCTCCTCATGGACCCCTTGCAAAGGGGCAATCTCAAGCGCATTCGCCAAGCGTGCGCAAATTGCCGGTAGGTCATCTAGCGATCTGTTGGCCGGAGTTTCGCTGAGCGATTGGACCTCTGTGTCTATGTAGGCGCAGGAAAACCAAATGCTCGGGGGAGCGTCCGATCTGTTTCCACTGTCGCCGGAATAAGCACTCCTGCATCTATGAACCTTACTCCGTCACCATCAACGACAACCCTCCCAATATTTCAACCGCGCCAACATCTGAGAACGTACGGTTGCAGCTCCATTGATTGATTGCCCTTTCAACTTGTTTCACTTTATCTGATTAACTCATAGACCCAACTATTACAGCGCATCTCGTTGATCGAGTCACGCTTGGCGGAGTTAAGTGGGCAGGCGGCACAACAACCCCGGTTTGTTTTCATTCTCCGCTTGGGTTATTTATTTGGCTATGCTGATCGATCTCGAAAGACCATCCGTAGATCTTGGACTTCCCACACAGCAGATACCGTTGACACAGCCTGCTGTCTCGGGCATTCACGCCCTTGTCACCCCCACGCAATCCGTCCTGAACTCCATCATCGACACCTATTTTCTCCATGTGCACAACCAGCCTTACAGTAATTTCCAGGAGACCAGCTTCCGACAGGAGCTACAGAATGGGACCTTGCCTCGGTGCTTGATACAAGCCGTGCTGGCTTCCGCCGTCCGCTTCACCACACACGAGTTCTACGCAGGCAGGGCGCTGGAGACATCAGAGGTTTATGCTCGGGAGGCTTGGCTGTCCGTCCTGACAGATCACTTGACGGCAGAAGATAATATAGGGGTGCATGTCGTGCAAACTGTGAATATGCTGGCAGTAATTGACTATACTGGTAGGTTAGCGTGAGCGACCGTGTGAAGGTCCGTTGGCCTGAGCTGACAAAATACTAGCTGGGCGCGTCAATTCAGGGTGGTTAAAAATCGGTTTGGCAGCGCGCATCTCACAAGGACTCGGCTTGATGGGCGAGCCTGAGGCTTGGCTGCCTGCTGCGGAGCAGGAGGAACGTCGACGAGCGTTCTGGTCAGTCTACCTACTCGACAAACTCATCTCATGTGGACGATCGCGCCCGATCATCATTCTCGACCAAGACTGCCACGTCCAGCTTCCGTGCGACGAGAATGCCATCCGACTAGGCGAGAAGAAGAAGACGTACACCCTGCATCAGCTTCTTGACTGGAACACCGAGATCGCCGAAAGCCCCAGCCCGTTTGCTCTGGTCATTCTTCTGGCGTCCATCTTCGGGCGCTGCACGCGATGCGTGTATGCCAACCGGCAGACGGACGATATCCCGCCTTGGGACACCAAGTCAGAATACACCGCGATCAATTCGTCCTTGCTGCTGTTCGAATCCTATACGAAGTCGGGAATTGCGTCAGTAATTGATACACTAAGGGACAGTGCTGAAGCAATGGGGAGACCGAACCATCAAGAACTGGGGCACCAGATTTTCGCGCACATCCTGTTTCATTTGTGCCACTGTTTGTTGAATCATCCTTTTGTCCTTAACCTTTGTCTACAGCCCTTTGGCTCCAAGGTTCCGTATAGCTTTGTCACCCGCGCCCTACAGAATGGACTAGACCATGCCACGCAGCTAGTGCGTATTCTCCGGGATGTGTTCGAGGCGGGCGGACTCGTTGAGTCTTCGTTCTATGCGTACTGTCTAGCGATCGCGGGAGGGATTTTATCGATCGCGTCACAGGGAGAACATCGGAGTTTTTCTTGTCAGCCTTCAGAGATGTCGGAGTGTTTCCAGCATGCTGTTGATCTACTCGATCGATTAGCCCAAGTCTGGACCCATGCCGCTAACATGGTATGTCAACTTTACCCACTATAAGATAATCACCACTAAAGCTTTAATGGAATTAGTCCATCCGCCTGCGTGATTTCCACGCCCAGCGCCACGACTTGAGTAGCGTTCTCAACGTAACCACCCCACTGAGCGATCTGGATCCTATGTCCGACGAGACCCTGTGGTCCATGCTCGACTATTCTATACTGGGCAGTAATCCGCGCAAATCATCGAGTGCATCCAGCTCCGATGCCCCCAGTATCCCCTTGTCTACATCCTGGGCTCTGGGGTCGAATATGCCGATCTCGACATCATCTCCGAGGATAGACCTGAACCACGAGGATATGTTTCGGGGTCTGTCACCGGCTCTACGACTTAATGAAGTGGAGTTGATGTTGAATTATAGTACGCCGAGGGCCGAACTTATTCAATGAGGATTTGTCGGTGCATCGGAATGCTCTCAATCCGGCCGGACCGGGTTGCTTTCCCCGGCCCGCTTGGGTCCTTGTACCACCATTTTTGCTAGAGGTAAGGAGGACCAAATGCTAAATCTCTAGGGGTTCTTCTTTTTTTCCTATTTTTCCCTTCTTTTTTCCTTCTCTTTTCCTTTTTTTTCTTTTCTTCTTTTCATTTCTTTCTTCTCCGGATGAAGGGGTAATACACTTATCAAAATGACAACCAAGAACCAACTCTCACCATGGGAGACCGTGGCCTCAGGCACCACGGCCTCCATCTTAGCAAATGTGATTGTATATCCACTGGACAAGTGAGTTTCTATGCCCTCTTTCACTGTCCCCGAATTGGTCGCGTCTAAAATACCCCGACGACTATTGTTAACATCTTTCTAGCATAAAAACAAAGCTACAAGTCCATGTCCAACGCCGTCAGAGAACCACTCAAAGCGAGGAAAAGGGGGAACTGGGCAGTCCACCCCCCTCCCCACCAAGCTATGACTCTCTTATTTCAGTCGTAACCCATATTATCCAGGAAGAGGGCCTTCCCGGCCTCTACCGCGGCCTGGGCAGCTCCATCCTCAACACTGCCTCCATGAACTTCGCCTACTTCTACTGGTCGAGCCATGCGCGGACTGCATACCAGAAGTTCTTTCGAGGATCGCACAACCCTGTGGAGACCAATATTGTAACGGAACTGCTTCTTGGAGCGGTAGGGGGCGCAATGGCGCAACTGTGTACAAATCCCATCGCCGTCATTGTGACCAGACAACAGACCTGCCGCGCGAGCGACGATGCCAAGTCGATGATCGCGGTGCTGCGCGAGATTGTTTGCAGCGAGGACGGCTGGACGGGATTGTGACGCGGGATGAAGGTTAATCTGATTCTCGTGGTCAACCCGATGATCACGTATGGGCTTTACCAGTGGTTACGCGGCGAACTGCTCCGGGTGAGGGCACCGCTGAGCTCGATGGATGCATTTTGTATGTTTAATCTTTTCCCGTGTGCTACGACAATGAGTGGCTAAGAGAGGGTAGTGCTTGGGGCGCTGTCGAAAGTTGCCGCAACGGTTGTCACGCACCCTTTGATTGTCGCGAAGACAATGCTGCAGTCTAAGACACGCGAGTGTCATGGTGAAAGGCCCTTCCAGGGGTTTACGGAGGTGTTAAGATTTATTGTACGGCACGAGGGGATGAGGAGGTTGTATAAGGGGTTGGGGCCGCAGATCGTCAAGGGGTTTTTGGTGCAGGGATTGATGATGATGCTTAAGGAACGGTGGGTTTTCTTGCAGTGTGCTTGGCTATGCTGAATGAGTTTACTGATATGACTATAGGGCGGAGTTACTTTTCAGACTTGTTATGCTGTCCTGTAGGAAGCGGTTTCTGCGCGCGTCATTCTGAGATATAAGGCGGAATGTTATGCTAAATGGTTTACATTTACCCTGTGTGCTGAATATAGTACAATTGTAGATATTCTATTGTGTAGATATACCTAGCGTCGTGCCTCAGTAAATCCGTATAATCAAGGTGCCCCCTATACAAGTCGCCGCATCAGCCAACTCCCCGTTCTCATCCCCAGACTTCATGCGAATTGCGGAGTGGTGGGCCACCCCGGAAATCCACACGGGATCGGACCGAGCAGCGGACCGATGATAGTAGACCAGACAACCAATTAGGCTTAATCGGACCGAGACGGCATTCCATTGTGAGTGAGCATCCACTCGCAAGACCCCGGAAACACCAGCTGGATTGAGCCAAAACCTGACGATTCAAAGCATACAATTTCATTCCCTCATTGCATCCTACAAAGCCCACTATGACCCACCCAAACGACAAAACGTACCCTCCGTATCCGGCCCGCACCGGACTACCACTCCTGCAAAAATCGCACACATAAGTCTAAGGAAAGTATACAGCGCACCAAGAGTCCCATATAGTACCTCCCCTTGCGCCATCTCAGCAGTCCGAGCGCACACCCACCTGCACCAAGTAGCGATCTCTTAAAGCCCAACTACAACACACAATGTCCCCAACCGGCACCCCCTTTGCGGATCCCCTCTGGCTCACTCGCCCCCTCACCATCAGTCCCTACTACACCCTCTCTCACCACCGCCTCCAGCGCGAAGTCAGAGACTATGTAGACACGCACATCGCCCCGTTCTGCGACGAATGGGAGTCGCAGGGCTTCGTTCCGCCCGAGGTGCGTCCCTGTCCCACACGCACTCCAATCCAGCCATCCATCACAGCTACAACACTAACCCAGAGAGCAGGCCCAACAATACCACGCGAGAAAAGGATACACCGCCGCGGGAGTCTACCCCCTCGCGACCGCCCACATCCAGCAATCCAACCAACGCCTCCCCGCCGACATCCCCGCCTCCCAATGGGACGCCTTCCACGACCTGATCGTGATCGACGAGCTCGCGCGCTGCGGATACCTAGGCGTAGTATGGGCGCTTGGGTGCGGGAACGCGATTGGGGCGCCGCCAGTCGTGCAGTTCGGGAATGCCGAGCAGAAAGAACGGTTTCTGGGACCGCTGGTCCGAGGGGAGGTGCGGTTTTGCCTTGGGGTTACGGAGCCGGATGGTATGTGTTTCTTTCCCCCGTGTCCTGCCTTTTCTCTGTGGTACCTTGGGGAGTAGAGAGATGCTGACTTTGGCGGGATGGATGGGCAGCGGGTTCTGATGTCGCGGGAATCACAACGACGGCGGAGCGACGGGGTAACGTGTATGTGGTGAATGGAGCGAAGAAGTGGATCACGAATGGAATCTTTGCAGATTATTGTACGGCGGCGGTGCGGACGGGGGGCCCGGGGATTGCGGGCATTTCGGCGTTGGTCATTCCGTTGAAGGGCACGCCCGGGGTTACATGTCGGAAGATACGCAATTCGGGGGTGGAGGCTAGTGGTATGTTTTCTCACAAATGGGGGGTTGGCTAACAAAGGGGGGGGACTGACTGCTTGTTTAACAGGTTCCACGTATATTGAGTTCGATCAGGTTGAGGTCCCCGTGGCGAATCTGCTCGGGGAGGAGAATAAGGGGTTCCCTATTATTATGAATAGTGAGTTAGGTCCTTGTTTTCATAATTCCTTTTTTCCCTTTTTTTTTTCCTGTTGGCCTAAGTGTAGGGCACTTATTGAATAATAGACTTCAATCATGAACGGTTGTGGTTGGCGTGTACTTCGCTGCGCATGGCACGGGTCTGTGCGGAGGATGCGTACAAGCATGCGATTACGCGGGAGACCTTTGGGAAGACCCTCATTGAAAACCAGGTTATTCGCGCCAAGTTCAGTGTTATGGGTCGGAGTCTGGATTCGGCCTATGCCTGGATGGAGCAGTTGGTCTACATGGCGGATGTGGCGCGCAAGGAAGGCAGGGATCTGGCCATGGGAGGATTGTTTGCTAACCTGAAGGTGTTGGCGGGCAGAACCCTAGAGATGGTCAATCGAGAGGCACAGCAGGTTATGGGGGGGTTGGGGTACTCGAAGAATGGTCGGGGATCACGGATTGAGCAGATCAGTCGGGATGTTCGTGTCATGGTGGTCGGCGGTGGCAGTGAGGAGATTCTGTCCGATTTGGCGATTAACCAGGAAATTAAGGCTATGGCCAGGATGGGACAGAGTAAGTTGTGATGTACATAGTTTGTCAATGAGTGTACATATATCGTGCGCTTCTGCTGGTCGGCAAGTCTTGTGTTATTCAAGTCTAAGTTCTCCAAATTGCAACGCCATTGAATAGGCCTTTGGGAGGCAATCTGAAAGACAATACATAATGCTAACATCGCCTCTATTCTCGGCTGGTCTGTCTTCCCTCCTAGATTGTTGCCCTACACCTTACCTATGAAATTTCAAAGGGCCGCTACTAGAACGCAGATCTAGAAATGCGAAGTCAGAATATGTATCATATTTCAACATCAAATCAGCTAGAAGCCTACAGAAGACTACAAAACCGAACAAAGTACCTTCCCCTCCTCCACCGCATCTCCCTTCCGCCACTCCGTCTGGAAAGCCCCCTCCACCGCCACAGAGATACTCAACTCCATCTTCATACTCTCAATCACCATGACTACCTGCCCCGCCTGCACCGGATCTCCGTTGTTCTTCTCAATAGATAGAATCTTACACGGCATCGGCGCAGTGACCGTACGTTTTCCCGCCTCTTCCGCTGTTGCATCCCTCCTATGACTCTCCGCAAACGAGAGCAGACTGTCCCGCTGGAATTCCACGTATGTCCCAAAAGATGGGAAGTGGCAGTATATTCTTTGAGAACGGTCGACCATTCCTGTGGCTGTTCCAGGTGCAGGAATAGCGACGTGGGCAACGATTCCGCGCCCGTCAATGGATACTTCAATGGTGAAGGTGGTGGATGGACCTGATGGGTCTGAAGCGTTCTCCGTGGGTCGCCAGGAATCAAGAGAAATGACTTTCGGGGTGAGAGCTTTGGTGGAACCGCGACGGAGAGCGTTACTGATGGTATTGTATTGGGCTGCGGCAGAGCTGGGTCCCTCCGGGGCTGGCACAGCTAAGAGTCGCGCATATTTCAGGTGGGGGGATTGTCCTGCTGCCGGTGGATCCCAGAAACAGATGCTCGATGTCTCAGTTTGGGGACCGGTGATGGTCGTGACTACGTCACAGTGGATATTGACTGGATCGCAGTGCTGGTTCCGGAACTGCCTGCGGATATGCTGGAATGGCCGCGCACGAGGATTTCCCTGGTCCGCCAAACTCCGAATAACCAGACTAGGGATCAGGGGCAGACAGTCCTGCAGCGGCACCTCGGGGAACTGCAGCAACTGCTCCAAGTTTGATGGGATAAAAGCAGTCGTATATGTCGGATTCCGGAACTCGGGACTCAGCAGACAGCGCTGTAGGAAGAGCTGATTCGTCTTGACCCCAACACAAGCCGTCTGGGCCAACACGCGACACATTTTCTCAATTGCCAGCGCACGCGTCGGCGCCCAGACAACAATCTTCGCGATCATCGAGTCGAAGTAAATTGAAACCTCGGCCCCGGTCCGGATCGCCGTCTCATACCGCACATCCCGTCCCGGTCCGAGAACCCCGTCCGCCGGCCGCCACAGCTGAACCCTCCCATGCTCCGGAAAGAAATGATTCTGCGGGTCTTCCGCACAAACACGACACTCAATCGCATGACCTTGCGCGTGGGTGATCAAAGTTCCCCCCTCCAACCCCGGCAAATCCTTCAACTTGCCCCCGGCCGCGACATAAACCTGCAACGCCACCAAATCCCACCCCATCACCTCCTCCGTGATCGGATGCTCCACCTGCAACCTTGCATTGACCTCAAGAAAGTAGAACCGGCGCGTCTGCACATCAACCACAAACTCTACTGTTCCCGCCCCGGCATACTCAATCAACTCCCCAATTTGTACCGCCGTATCACACATCTCCCGCCGCATATCATCCGTCAGAAACCCACACGGTGTCTCCTCCACGACCTTCTGATGCCGTCTTTGCACCGAACAATCCCGCTCTCCAAAGGCAATGACCGTCCCGTCCGTGTCCCCGACAATCTGGATCTCAACATGTTTGGCGGCCGATATATATTTCTCGAGAATACAGTCACTTTGCCCGAACGCGCGTTCCGCTTCCGATTGCGCTCTCTTCAACTCTGCTTCCAATTGTGAGGGCTCCTGAACAATCCGCATCCCCTTTCCCCCGCCGCCGGCCGACGCTTTCAGGATCACGGGGTAGCCGATGTCCGTTGCGGCGGTGATCAGGTCCGCTGGGGTCTGGCTAGTGCCGGCGAAGCCGGGGATCAGTGGGACAGAGGGCGCGTGTGCGCGAAGGTAGGTCTTGGCTGCGCGTTTGACCCCGAGGGAGGTTATAGCGGTGGTGCTTGGGCCAAGGAAGAGGAGGCCGGCGTCGCGCACGGCGGTCGCGAAGGCTGCGTTCTCGCTGAGGTAGCCGTAGCCTGGGTGGATGGCATCGGACTGGGTTGCCAGGGCGGTGCGGATGAGGAGGGGGATGTTGAGGAAGGGATTACTAATGTTTTTGTTTGGTTCTTGTTGTTCTTGTCGTTGTTGCTCGGGGGGATCGTTGCTTGTGGGATTCAGGGAGCCCAGGCAGATGGCTGTATCTGCTTCGCGGATGTGACGGGATGTGGAGTCTCTGTTGTGGATATGGTTAGGTGGTACCCGAGAGAGGAGATTGGGGGAAAGGGGCTTACTCTGTAACGTAGACGGCGACGGTGCTGATGTTGAGTTTCCGACAGGTCTGGATGATGCGTACGGCGATTTCTCCGCGGTTGGCGATTAGAACGCGTTGGATGACGGGGCGGCCGGTTGTCGGGTCAAGGGGGGGTGAGGCCACGTAGAGTGGGGGTCGCGAGGGGGAGGCATGTTGCGAGAATGAGCTTTGGGACACGGTCATTTTGCTGGCGACCGTTGTGTTGGGGGAGTCTGTAACTGGTTTATCATGAGGTAGGTGCAGGCTGAGGGAAAAAGAAGATGGTGGTTTACATTGCAGATAAGGGATACAGGGCAGCGTTCCGTGTTCCGCTCGGTGAGGTTATCCGATGGGATTAAGTTAGGGTTTAATCAGATGTGTGTATGGCTTTGCTTTCTCCGCATCGGACCGCTTGTCCGCTCCCGCAGTGCGGATCTCAAGTCGGTCCGTCGGGTACATTAGGGCGCATAAGTTTAAAGTTTAGTGGGTAGCCTTTTCATCAACCTCAGACGGTAGTAGCACGAATCCTGGCAAGTTGTATGTTATGTAAATACTATTAATGCAGGGGTCTGTATACATGAAAGAATAGCCTTGGAACGGACACATCTTAAAACCACTCTTTTCTTCCTGGCACATTATACTTAGCAATGCAGATATTACGTGTATGATGGTAAAGAGCTCCGCCATGGCATACTTCTCTCACTCAATATCAAATGCACAATCGAATTGTAGGTAGAATAACTAGAGAGGTGCTCCCCCGCTTTGACTCAAGAATCTTCATTCACATACACCCTTAAATAATGGCAAAACTGAGAAGAACTGTGACCGACACACTCCCCTCCCCCGTAAAACTAAATCCTCGCCAATAACCGATGCCCCCCCGCCCCTTTAATCCCCGCGCCACTTACTACAACCTCCAAACACATCCCCACCACATCCCTTGTATCCCGAGGATCAATCACCCCATCATCCACCAAACTCCCACTCGTTGCATAACAGTCCGCATCGGTTTGCACTCCCACCCGAAACCGCTCCACCCGCGCCCGCAACTCCTCCGGCTCCAGCACCTTCCCCTTGGCTGCTGCGCTGCTCCGCTGCACGCTCTCCATCACGCCGGACAGCTGATCTGGCCCCATCACGCTACACCGGCCACTAGGCCAGGTGAACAGGAACCGGGGTCCGTAGGCCCGGCCGCACATGGCGTAGTTTCCGGCGCCGTAGGAGGCGCCCAGGATGATGGAGATGTGCGGGACAGTCGAGGTGGAGACGGCGGCCACGAGTTGCGCGCCGGTGCGGATGATGCCAGCGTGTTCGGCTTTGGCGCCAACCATGAAGCCGGTTACGTTGTGAAGGAAGAGCAGGGGGGTGTCTCTTTTCGAATATCCAGTTGTCAGTAGGAAGGTTGGGGGGGAATGTTAGGGCCGGGGTGGGTGCCTACAGTTGGTTGCACATGCGGATGAACTGCGCGCCTTTGGCGGCTTCGGTTGGGTTTATTACTGAGATTTGGTTGGCGATGATGCCAACTTGGATTCCTGGGTTGGGAGCCGGGTTAGTGCTGCTTCTCTGCTGGGGGGATGCTGGAGGGTGGAAATCGGGAGGGAATAGATATGCTTACCGTAGAAGTGCGCCCAGCCCGTAATCAGATTGCGTCCGTATTCCGGCTTGAATTCCGACAGTCGCGAGTCATCGATCAACCGTAGGAGGACCTCACGCATATCGAAGGGCTTTCGAATATCGGGGTTCACCAGACTCAGCAGGTCGTCAACGGGGTATCTTGGGGGTCGGGGCTCGATGGTGTCGACGAGTGTCTTAGGTGATGGGGTGTGCAGGGTAGCTACCCACTCTCGGGCTTTACGGATTGCATCCAGCCTGCAAAAGGGGGTTATTAACTCATATTTTCTCCTCGATGCAGAGGGAACGTCGCACATACTCATCTGACGCAATCTGATCTGCAAGCCCAGTCGTCGTGGCATGTACCCTCGCCCCGCCCAGCGCCTCCGCTTCGATCACCTCCCCGGTCGCCATTTTCACCAGCGGCGGTCCCGCCAGAAACGCCTGCCCTTGGTTCTCGACAAAAATGGTGTAATCGGAGAGGGCGGGGTGATAGGCTCCTCCGGCAGTCGAGGAGCCAAAGACGATCGCGCAGGAGGGTTTGCCATGTTGGGTACGCACGGCGAGATCCCGAAAGAGTTGGCCTCCTTTGTGGAAGACTCGAAATTGCTGCGGGAGGAAGACACCGGCCTGGGATCGAGCGATCAGCAATCTGAAGTGGCTGCGAGAAAGGTCATAGGGGTTGTACCGATTGTACTAGTGAAATGAGCGGCAAATCGTTCTGAAAGGCAATCTCCATGATTCGATTCGTTTTGAGTACTGAATGAGATGGTTAGTGTTGTTTCTTGAGGGTTGGATGCATTACCAAACCTGTCATCTCGTTCCAGGCCCCGCCGCTCTGGGTCGGGATATGTGACATGAGCATACATGGTTGGCCACTTTAGAAGTGAGTATCCGTGCTGACGGGGATGGCGAAGTTGGAAGGCATACCTGACATTCCCAATCCCCGCAATCAAATTCGCACACGGCGTTGAATCGGGGTTCCTATACCCGGCGAAGGCACCGATCTCCAGAAAGGGCGAGTCCTGGTCCAACAAGAGGGAAATGCGATCGCGGGCTGCCAAGTTGTCAGCTTGATATCACTGCAAGGAGGATTCATACCTACGTAGTAATTGCCCCCGTTTCTGATGTCGTGCCAGAGACGCATCGTTGCCCTCGGCACAGACCTGTTCCAAAGCCTCTTCAAATTTGTCGAGGACGGTTTTCCATGTTTCCCGGTTGGCCCGATATTGCGGATTGTTGAGGTCAAGTGTGGATTGGAGAGGTGGGAAGGAGGATTGAGTTGCCATGATGATTTCCCGATGGAACTTTGATTCTTTGTGAAGTAGTCTAAGTGAAATTGTCAACTTGCGGGGAAGGAAATGAAATACTAGAGGATGGCCATGCTGTTTGGGGATTAATCTGCCTTTCGGACCGATGCCTTCGGCTGGTCCCGCTCGCAGGTCCGCAACCCGTCATGTCAATGTAGAAGCAGAGTGCGGGTATCGTGGACATGCATTGGACAAGGCGACGGGTTTATATAATGTCGCGCTGGATTGGATGATTCTTTGTTCGATGGAACTTTTCTCTTCTGCAGCTGTTTACACCCTCGAGATACACATACATACCCATACACAACGATGACTCCCCCTCCCGCTATAGTCCACGGCCCGACCGAGCCTGCCCTCTGGCACAAGACGCTTGGCGATCTCATCGACGAGCAAGAAGCTCATTACCGTTCCAAAGAGGCGGTAGTTGTGCCGTGGCAGTCTGTGCGGCTCAGCTACAGTCAACTGGCGGAGAGAAGCCGTGTGCTCGCCCAGGCCATGCTCGACATGGGGTTGCGTCCGGGTGACTGCGTCGGCATCATGGCGGGCAACTGTTACCAATACATCGAAGTCTTTCTTGGTGGTGGTCGCATTGGGTGTCCCGTGGTGGTCTTGAACAATACGTATACCCCAAGTGAATTGACCAGAGCTGTTCACCAGAGCTGTACGGCTCCCTCTCCCACCCTCCCCCCAACACTCCCAAACAACGATCTCGCCCAGTGCGAGAAGCTATGATTAACACATCTCAGCATGCAAACTCGTCTTCATCAGCTCGGTCATCAGCACCAGAAGCCTATCAGACCACATTCACGCTCTTCAAGGCGAACAATCACCGAATCCAAAGCTCCCTCAGCTCCGACGGATCGTGCTCATCGGAGACGGCACCCCCAGCAGCCAAACAGGCATCAACCTTCAACCCTACGACGTCTTCACTAGTACCGCCCATCCCAATCCAGCTGAACAAGCTGCCATCGCGCGCACCACCTCCCCCGAAGACGTCCTCAACCTCCAATTCACCTCCGGTAAGTCCTTGGTTGTCTCCCATCACACAAGTTGGTTCAACTCACAGATATCAAAGGCACAACCGGCTCCCCCAAAGCTGCCATGTTAACGCACAAGTAAATCGCCCTCCCTAAACACTCCCTCTCCCCCCCACTCTGGAGACCAACTAACCCTCTACAAATAAAAAGTAACCTCATCAACAACGCCCGCTTCTTCGGCCAAGGCCTGGCCCTCACCCCCCAGGATATAATTCTCACACCTCCCCCCCTTTTCCACTGCTTCGGTCTAGTCCTCGGCTTTTTGTCCTCCTTCATCCACGGCAGCACCATCATCTTCCCATCCGCCAGCTTCTCCGCTCCTAGATGTGTGGACGCCCTCCTCACCGAACACGCAACTGTGGTCCTCGGGGTGCCAACCATGTACCTGGCCATCCTTGAGGCACTCGCCCACACCGGCACCAAACCATCATCCCTACGAGTCGCGCTCGCCTCGGGCTCCCCCGTCTCCCCAACGCTCATGACCCGCCTCCAGACGGAGATGGGGATCCCGAATGTGCTGATCGCGTACGGGATGACGGAGACGAGCCCGGTCACGTTTATGACCGGTCTTGGTGATGATGCTGAGAAAGGGCTGAGTACGGTCGGGCGAGTGGTGCCGCATACGTGGGCGAAGGTAGTAGATCGGGAAGGTTCCGTTGTTGCGCGGGGGGTGAGGGGGGAATTGTGTACGGCGGGATTTGCGTTGCAGAAAGGATATTGGCGAAACGTCAAGAAGACAGCAGAGGTGATGCGGAGGGATGAGCAGGGGGTGCTGTGGATGTTTACGGGGGATGAAGTGGTGATGGATGCCGAGGGGTTTGTGGCGGTGACGGGACGGATTAAGGATGTGATTATTCGGGGTACGTACATTTCTTTTTTCTGTGTTATTTTTGCTTTTTATGTGATTTCTATCTTTTTGAGGATGCTGATCACCAGACACCACATATGTAGGAGGAGAGAATATCTTCCCGCGTGAGATCGAGGAGCGGTTGACGACGCATCCTTCCATCAGTGAGGCCAGTGTGGTCGGGATCAAGAATGAGCGGTACGGGGAAGTGGTGGGGGCGTTCCTGAAGGCCAGTGAGAAAGTCAGTCCCGATGAACTCCGACACTATGTCAGTCAGACGCTGGGGCGGCATAAGGCGCCCCAGCATATCTTCTGGATCGGCGATGCTGGTGTCGGCACAGATTTCCCCAAGACCGGCAGTGGGAAACACCAGAAACATCTCCTGCGTGACCTGGGGAATCGCTTGGTACGAGCGAGGGAGGTAAACCGGGCGAGGCTGTAAATTTTCTATTGAGTAAAAAAAATACAATATTATACTCAAACAAGCGTAGTCACTCACTCTTTCATGGTGGAAAAGCAGTCAGCCGGAGGTTCCGATTAAGAAATGTAGAATTCGTGAAAGCAATGTCTTACCCCAACACCGTCGGTCCGCCAGTCCGTGTGGGACAGGAAGCACCCGGCGGTCCGTGGGAACCACCAGTTCCCCACATACTTCACCACCTACAATCTATAGCTAGCGTAGATATGTATATATGAGATAATGCACAAACCCTCGCGGACTGAAAACTAGTGCCGGAAATATATTCACCAAAGAACATGTCCTCCCCAACAGTCCGTATTGTGGAAGTTGGCCCTCGCGACGGCCTCCAAAACATCGCCACGCAGATCCCCACCCCAATCAAACTCGACTTAATCCACCGGCTTCATCAAACCGGTCTGAAGACGATTGAGCTGACCTCCATCGTTTCCCCACGCCACATTCCCCAGCTCGCTGACTGCAAGGATCTCCTTCAACAACCCTCCATCCGGGCATTAGGCCACGACAACAACCCTGACCTTCGGCTCCCGGTACTAGTCCCCAATCTCAAGGGTTTGAAAATCGCACAAACCCTCAATGTGAAAGAGATCGCTGTTTTCGTCAGCGCGACGGAAGGGTTCAGCCGGGCGAATATCAATTGTTCCGTGGAGGTGGGACTTGCGAGGGCGCGGGAGGTGGTCGAGCGGGCAGTGCAGGATGGGTTGGTTGTGCGAGGGTATTGTTATTCTTCAACCCCTGATTTACCTCACCTCCATTATATTATACCCAATCAATCAAAGGCTGATAAAGGTTGCCAGATACGTCTCCTGCATCTTCTGCGATCCCTACGACGGACCCACCTCACCCGACGCGGTGCTCCGCTGCGTGCAAGCCCTCCTTCAAGCGGGATGCTACGAGGTCAGCCTAGGCGACACCTTAGGCGTCGGCACGCCCGCGAAGGTCCACCGTCTCCTTCACTATCTCACCGACACCGGCGGTATCCCCGTCGGTGCCTTGGCCGGCCACTTCCACGATACCTACGGCCAGGCGGTGGCCAACGTATGGGAGGCGTATACCTGTGGCGTGCGCGTCTTCGATAGCAGTGTCGCGGGGCTGGGCGGGTGTCCGTTTGCGCCCGGAGCCAAGGGCAACGTCGCCACCGAGGACGTGGTGTATATGTTCCAGGAGGCCGGGGTCGAGACGGGGGTCGATCTGGCGCGGTTGGTGGAGACAGGGGTCTGGATCGCGAAGCAGCTCCCCGGCGTAGAAAATGGGAGTCGGGCTGGAGCTGCGCTGGCGGCTAAGACTGCTGCGAAGTTGCCGGCAGCTTCTCTGCCGTCACCGAAGGCACAGCAGGCGCAGAAAGAGGTACTGTTGCCAGCTTTGCAGTGGGCTTTGACTATTGACACCGAGGGGATGCGGCTGTTTCGCTGCGGGGTTAACCTGAAGGTCGTGCTGAATCGTCCACGAAATGGGAATGCGTTGACCGCTGCGATGATCGCGGAGTTACAGTCGGTTATGGATACCGCCAAGTCGGATCCAGCGGTGTCTAGGGTTGTTATTACCGGTACGGGGAAGTTCTTCTGTACGGGGATGGATTTGGGGAAGAAGAGTACCCCAGTCGCGCAGGGGGCAGAGAGCAGCGAGGCGCAGTTCGCAAGGCTGACGGAGCTGTTCGAGGTGATTGACCAGTGTCCAAAGGTGACGATTGCGTGCTTGAATGGGCCGGCGTTTGGCGGCGGTGTTGGACTGGCGTTCGCGTGTGATATTCGTCTCTGCACCAAGGCCGCTACAGTCACGCTGAGCGAGGGCAAGCTGGGTCTTTGTCCTGCGACCATCTCCAAGTATGTCATCCGGGAATGGGGGTTGGCGTTTGCGCGTGAGGCGATGCTCTCCGCTCGTCCGGTCAAGTCTGAGCAGCTGTATTCGCTGGGCCTCGTGGCTGAGGTCGCGGAGAATCCCCAAGATCTAGACAAGCGGCTGGATGCCTTGTTGGTGCGCCTGCGGCAGGTCTCGCCCAATGCGTCTCGCATGTCGAAGGAGTTGGTCAATACCGCTTGGAAGCACGCTGGCAAGGACGAACAGGCGTCGGGGATTAAGGCGCTCTTCCATGAAATGATGCGACCCGATGGCGATGGCGCCCATGGAGTGCGTGAGTTTCAGTCCGGTCGGCCGGTGGACTGGGACGCGTACATTCAGCAGACAAAGACAACTCCGAAGGCCAGACTGTGAGGTGCAATTACTGATTTCATTTCTGTTTTGAACACGATAGTCCCTTTGGTTGTGATGAGACTCGATACACAGTACTGATAGTGTATAGCCCCAGTCCCCAAGCCACCCTGCACTTCCATCCTGACGGTGGACTTCGGGCATTATATACATGCATGATTATAAATGAAATGATGGCTGATATTATCCATGCCGCACTGTAAATAATCCCGGTTCATGAAGAATTCACGGGAAGACCCAGGAAGACGGAGAGCCCAAGTAAGGTGTGCCCAGAGCCTAAAAGTGGCCATTTAGGATGCTGCTGCAATGCCTTTCGCGGTATTAACAGCTGTTTCTGCGTTGCACTTGCATCTGGGTATGAGTAAACCAGGAACATATATCAACAGGAAAGCACTTATCTGAAGTAGCAGTGGATCTGTGGACCTATGCTGTTCAATATTCCATCAGTGTGAGTACTATCAGCTCAATGGTGTTATTCGGGGGACAGCTAACATGAGTTTATAGGTCAGTTGCGCAAGTCATAGAAATCACTTTTCAGTCATAGAAATCACTTTTCCGCGGAAATCCGACTATATTCGTGGCCGTCGAGCCTCTACTGTTCTTGAATATATGAATAATAAAATTATAACAAAGCTAAAGAATCTGAGTCTTATGATTATATCATGACATTTTTGGATATCGCAAAAGGTGCAAGTGCTATTAGTGAGATCTTGTAACTAAAGGATAGAATATATACCTCCATCCGCGCGCAAAGCAATGAATCTGGCTAAAATTATTTGTTTAGCTTATATCTTCTTTAACATGACTACCCAGAAGCCGGAAAATGGTAATTTCACGGAATACTGGTATTATGACTACCTCCCTAGCGCTTGGGCGGTAAGGGGTCCCCCACACCCTTGGAAAAGTGATCTGGTGGGTTCAGCAGCATTCAGGAGGCTTTTTTTTACGTTTTGGAAGGACGCAGCCCGAAGAAGCTGGTTCTAAACCCCCAGGATCCCGATAATTGAGCTGTAATATTGAATTCGACAATCATATCACTGGCCGCCTTGATTATCCTAGTATCTCTTCATATTTTACTGCAGTAGTCGCCTGTCCACGGAATTTACTACTTTATCGGAAAGCCAGAGGTAAGACTAAAATCTGCGTAATTCTCTGCTCCATGCGAGAGCGTAAAAACACAGTGGTAATATAGCTTACTCCAGTGCAATTAATTAAAGCATCCGCTATCCACGTGTAAACCCATTTCTTTGGAATATTATTAACCCGGCAATATATCGCCGCTGCATACTAGCATATGCTTCATATATCACTTAGGAAATATATAAGGAAAATACTTCCTGAGAAAATACTGCTTTTGCAACCAATACACACCTGCTATAGCCATGTTTATACCCAATCCAGCTGGTCGGAGGATCTGGTACACCATCTTTATATAGGCCAGATAATAAATATATTAGCTTCACTAAACCTAAATCTAGCACATATGACCATAGGGTATGGAAAACAGGGTTTCCCATCCACTCAGCCGTACTTCAGCCACATATTAAACACGGATGACTGAAAAGTAAGCCTGTTGTGCGTTACTACTGTATATGTGAGCAACGTCAGGTCATAGGGTGTGTGGGTGATTCTGGTGATGTTGTTAAGTACATAGATGAGTCAGGTGAGCAGGGTGAGCAGAGTGAGCGAGTGTGTCAAGTCCCGGATTAATAAGTTGTTTTCCACTAATTATATTACTCGTATATTTTATAGTTTCTATAAAATAGATATATACAATAAATTTTATTAACTTCTATAATTTTAGTAGTTTGCTGCTATTCTGGTAGAACCATTACGATATAACTTAATTATTATTTAATCTATTGATACTGTAATCTATTGATTATAAATCAGATCTTGAATTACTGGATCTTAAATTATTATTCTATAATCTAACGTTTTAAATTAAGACTGATAGCTCAGATAATCTTATATTTACTTGAAATTATCAGACCACCTTCTAACGGACTTCAAAGGCCGATATAAAATTAAATAAAGAAGATGAAAATTTTTAAGAGTTAGTACTAAGATCCTGAGCGCTAGGCCTATATTAGCCTAAAAATTCAAAGTTTGGAACCAGTTTTTGAAGTGTAAACAATAACTGTATTTTCCCTAATAGATTATTCAATTATACTTGTAAACTCCATTTTACGCCGTCACTTTATCTCTTTCGTATCCTAATTCGTTAGAGGTTATATTTGCTTCGATGAACAGACAAATGATACTCATTATATTCTATGTTTCAACTCAATCACCGGCCCATCAACGGCTGTTGTTACCCCAGCCTTAAAGTTATAATGACATCGGGTACCCGTATTGCAACAACGTGAGTTTTTTGCGAGACGCAGGTCATATCTCCACAGGACCCTTGCTACTGCTAGATTCAATTCTGCCCAGGCTAGTCTCCATGCAACACATTTCCTTGGCCCAACACTAAATGGAACGAATGCCATTTGCATCTTCTGTTGACTTATCTCATCGCCATCAAGCCATCTTTCAGGCTCGAATCTATCTGCATTGTCGAAGTATGTTTCATTACGATTCACGGTATAAGCAGCGCTACACCGACAGTTGTTCCTGCCGGTACATAAATGCCGTCGACTTCCATGCCACCGGAGAGGACTGTTCGAGGAAGCAAATTAGGTGCAGGGGGCGTAAGTCTCATTGCTTCATTGATACAAGCACGCAAGGCAGAGCAGTTCGGAGATGCAAGGACGGAAGATGCTGTTATTGAGGACTCCGCAGGGAACGTCGTTCGGATGACTCTTGTCAGATGCGCCAACATATTTGAATCATGAGCAATGTAATATATTGTAGCAGAAAGAGCAGTAGCGGTTGTATCCGAACCTAGAACATCTCAGCATAATGAAATAAGTGGAAGGTGAAGGCTAGCTGTTTCTAGTAGGCGCAGCTTCTCTGCAGATTTTTCTTCAACATACCTGCGACGAGCAAGAGCATTGACTCAAGACCTAGGTCTTTTCGAGTAAACTGCAATCCAGTCTTCTTATCTCTTGCATTCAGCATTGCGTTGAAGATGTCTTTCTGTGTACTATTGTTGCCGACCTGCATTCGTGCAGCTGACTGGGAGCGTGTCCACCTTGCCGCAGCCAAAATCTCCTTGTATTTTTGCCTTAGAAGAAGAGAATCAAGCCTAAACTTTATGAAATATGGTTGAAATAGCCCCTACAGCGCATGTTAGGTCTATCATGGTCTCTGAGAGATCAATGGATGAAGGGACATACTATTAGGCTCCGTTGGGATATTTTCCGAATCACTGAGGGGAACCAGCGCATTTCAGGAGAGTTCAACATGCCAAGATCATTGCCGTAGCTCAGATCAGTGATTATGTCAAAAGCTAGCCAGTCGCACATTTGCGAGATATTCTTAGGAGAGCTCCACCCTGATTCAGAATTGGTATCCGTAAGAAGGTTGTCGACAAAGCTGGATATTTTTTCTTGGATCCTGTCCTCCATATCTTTGATACTCTGGTCTGAAAATGCCTGCGCCAATATGCGACGCTTGAAGGTGTGGATGTTCCTAGAAATTGCGGTGAGGGTATTTGGGGTATATCGACTTGGGCTAATTGATGCGTAACCTTCTGACTTCTGGACGTTGGCCCTGACTGCATAGATGTCGCTTACAGCCTTGGAGGAGTTGAAGGAGAGGGAATTCGGCCCAAAGCGCACGATTTCACCTAATTAAGTCCGCGAGCCGGTTACTCTGGGGTTCATTTCAATATGTCATATCACTTACCATATTTCTCATGCCATTTAAGGTCCATCATGTGTAGGTCACCTCGCCATGCATAGAATGCTGCGTACCAATCGGTCAAAGCTCCCAGGCAAGGTCCTGGGAACCTCGCTAGCGGATGGAAACAGATTCGGTATGTGGCAAGTGATAACGCCTACTTTGTTAGAAAATGTTGCATAGCCGGGTGGTTATGACCTACGTAGCAAACGAGTGCTATCACGCCGATTAATATGAGATAGAGACCCATGATCATTGGTCAGGGGGCGATTCTTTAGGATGCAAGCTAGGTGAATTCTCAAAAGTAGACCTCATGACAGGAGTAAGACAGAACAGGTGGAAGTGACCTTTTAAAGGACGGAATGTCTTCGATGTGATAAACCATGACTCGGGTAGCGATTTATTCATACGCACGGAGCTGAAGATTCTGCAGGGTATAAACGAAGTAGCAGTTCAGTGGTTCAAACCTACACAAGTCATGAGCCACGAGAGTGAATTATGAAAGATCCGCCTACCGCCCACCGCCCACTCTAAGTTGACGAGCTGAGTCCGTGGTGGAGCATTGATGGATGCAGCACATCATTCTACTCTGCCATATTGAGAAAGCAATCGGACAGATCATTCACTTTTATATACCCCATAGCTGAACAGTGGAGTCTTAGCTGAGATGTGGAGTGGAGAAGAGTGGATCGCGCTAAAGAACAGCGGGAAGAGTCGTCGGAATGGCCGGCACAGGACATCTCACTGTGGGAGATCCATAATGACAGCATTGGCAGGGGTAAAGTGCATCAGGACTTATGCCATCTTTCAATTACCACCTGCTTATGCCATGGGTGTTTTGGATGCTAGGGATCCAATCCTGCACAGGACGTCGAACTCGCTTGTTTGATTCGGATGTTTGCGCGGACCATAACTTCGGTAACCATTGGTCCCAATGGTTCGGCACAGCCCATGTGGATCCGATCTAAAGTAGATCTTGTCTGGCGAAGATGGAATATTCCCGACAACGAGTCAGAATTCAAAACCGTGCTGATAGATTGTAGTGGGGGAGTGATGAAAACCAAATTTTACAGGATCGGCCCTCCAACTCATTGTCCGATCAGGGGGCCAAAGGGGGGAGGGGGTTTATTCTCCCATAAAGGCGTCTTATAGTACGGGCACCCAAATACCGTACAGATCCTAGCAGTTCACACACTTGACAATCAGACACTTGCATAGCAGCAGGAACATATGCTGGGTTGTTTAGTAAGATGTCATACCCTTATCTTATCACGGACCATGTTATAGACGCACAATACATGAGAGAATATCCTCGAGCCACAGCCAGCCAAGATACTCCGTTAAAACTCTGCATCAAGCAATATACCCCCATAGATAATCCAGATCCCAAGAATGGCGACCTGACAATTGTTGCTGCCCACGGGACGGGTTTTCCTAAGGTAAGGGACCGGACATGGCAATGAGAATAAGTACTGAGACGTGTACAGGAACTCTACGAGCCCCTCTGGGAAGACCTTTATGGCAGGAGCAGAAAAGAAGGATTTAACATCGCCTCTATCTGGATTGCTGATGCTACAAATCAAGGTGTCAGCGGTATTGCTAATGAAGCTGTTTTGGGCAACGACCGTCAGTGGTAGCATCAGACCAAATTTCTTGTACGCGTTTATGGCTAAAATGAAGCAGCATCGGCGTTCGATCACAGTCGGGACCTACTTCTCATGATGAATCATTTCCGTCACAAGATGACCCGACCCATAATGGGGGTTGGGCACAGTCTTGGTGCAACGCAGCTGTGAGTTTACCTATCCCAAAGGTGCAATTCCTTCTGATTAGTGTCCTACCAGGGTTTTTCTTTCTCTGATGCATCCCCGCATATTCCAATCTCTCATTCTCATCGAACCATACATTATCGAGAAGAATACTGATGCAGATGCTCCGCTTCTCGTTCACCTCACCATGCACAAGCGCGATGTTTGGCCTTCACGGGCCCAAGCGGAAGAGAAGGCTCGGCAATACCTGCGGTCCTGGGATTCCCGGGTCCTCGAACGCTGGTTCCAGTGGGGCTATCGGGAACTTCCCACCGCCATTTATCCCAACAACGGTGCGCTTGGCTCTGAGGCGCCAGTTACTTTGACAACAACAAAATTCCAGGAGGCACTTACCTATGCGCGTGCGAATCCACACCGGCATAAGGAGCTGAGTATACGAACTACAAACGACCGCCTTACAGAGCCCCCTCATGATTCCCTGTTCTTCCCTGATGTGATGGCCGGCTTGCCACCTGGTCAACAAGCATATCGGCCTGAACCTATTGTGGCTGGGAAATTGCTACCACACCTTCGTCCTTCTGCTCTATTTCTGAGTGGGGCATCGAGCCCGTTATTCAGAGCCGGGCTTCATACTACCATGGCAAAAAGAACAGGAAGTAGTATTGGAGGTAGTGGAGGTGTGTTGTACGATCGCGTCCGACATTTGTGGGTTGAGGGTGCTGGTCATGCTTTGCCTTTGGAGAAGGTTGATATGACAGCTAGCACCTTGGGAGAATGGATTCAGACAGAAATGGAACGATGGAGGACTGATGAGCATCGCATTACGGCAGGATGGCAAGATTTGTCGCCGGCAGAGAGGCCCCGGCCCACCAGAGAATGGGATAAAGTGATGGCGGAGTCATTGGCCTTCCTACGCATTACAAAAGGTGCTAAGTTGTAGTAGTCCTTTCATTTTCCAGACCATGATGGTCGATAAATTATGCTACTCTACATTCTGGCCCAGTCAGTCCAAGTCTTATGGGCGTTTTAGTCAGCATTTCTACCTACTTAACTGACATAACGAGTCAAATTTTCAATTTGATCAAAATTTTGATTTAGTATAACACATAAATTCGTCACCTATACGGTGCAGCTCATAAAATATATAGTATCGTTGGATGGTAGCCCATGTTACGCAATGGTGGTCTTCATGCAAATTTTGACTTTCCAGATGCCCTAATCAAGATTGACTTCAATTTTCATAATAGATTACCCGATTTGATGTCCTCGGCCTTAAAGGCACCATGCAAGGAACTTTGGGCGATACACACTTCTCGTAGAAGGCCAAGCAAGTCTGCCACCGTAGGTCTATCGTAGTTTCACTTTGAATATCCGTATATTAGACTTGAACAAGGTCCCCAGCGGTTCCATATAATCATGATCTCATCGTCGCATTACATGTGAAGGCAATATTCAGGTGTGTAGCATTTATATCTCTACCAGTCACTGAATGGTGACTTTGAGGTCGATGCAAGCGATGTCAGCAGACTTGACACTAGGACCAAAGTAAGGGGCTCTGACAATTCAGAGCCAGCTATAATATCTTCCAGTTAGACTATGCTAACATTCCAGAGGCACAATCGGTACGTGAATGTTGGAATCTATTTCCTACGAGTGGGGCATTGTCTATTTGGCTAGTTGATGAATATCGTAAGACTATGCCGCGATTGCAAGAAGACACCTCACCCTTTACTTGTCAAGAACACAGTTCGAAAGAAATGATACCATACTGTTGCGGATTAGAGATGAACAGGCGACACCACTTTCCAGATGAAAATAAGGCACTGCTATCTGAATTCACACGAAAAGTCCATAGGCATGGTTTTTGGCTATTGGATAACCGCACACAGTATTATTTGCGGTCATGGTCATGGCGATGCTCTTGGAAATCCGGCCTCCCATTGATCCAATCCGAGTGCAGTGCCACCCCAGCCCCCGTGGTGACCTCGTCCAGGCCTTCTTCCTCTTTTATTAAAGCCTTCAAGCAGTGCTCAATATGTCCCACATTGTCATATCTCCTCTCAATTGTTGTTCCGAGCCCTCGTGACAGGAACATTTTCTTCCAATAATACATACAATTGCACTAAATGCCACCTGTGGGTCGTGAAAAAGACGTTTCTTGCCTCTCCACCCCCTGTTCTAGTATCAGGAAGCATAGACACCTCTTCCAGGGACAGCGGTCGCGTCATGTTCACTTCTGCAAAGTAAGGCCAGCTTCCATCGTGATTGGACCCCGCCTTTTCAAAAGCGGTGGTGAGGTCGTCGTTCCGACAAGCTGGCGGTAGCCACGCCGCAGCTAGAGAGTCGTATCTGCAGTTGTTCGAAAGGGCTTCGGTAATAGTGTCTCCGCAATTACAAGATATATCAGGCTCGCGCTGTGTAGTTGCGTGAAGATGGTTGTGGTCCATTGTGCGAATGCTACTGTATGCTTGGTAGCAGAGATCAATGATCCCAAAGGTGGCAACCAGAAGTAGAACAACGGCTGAAATTTCTTCTACTTTGAGATACCAAAACCTCCGCTTTGGCATATCTTTCACATTAGGCAGTGATTCAAAGCTGGAGCGCTGAGTAATCTGCTCGTACATAGTGTGACTATTCGGTATATCGCAGGAAAATGAAGGCGTTCGGACAAGCTGGAGAAGGAGATGTGGGATGATTAGATAACGAGCTTAGTTCTCTGATATACTTATCTTTTCACGGAGTATATATAGTAGATGAAGAAACCCAACCGTATGTATTTTGTAGATCTCGCACCTTCTATGACACATGACGACTTGTACATGCATTCACGCTATTGGAGGCGACTCATGGCTATAGGCAACTGACGACTCAATTTGCTGATAATCTAGTGTTTGGATGCCGTGCCTGAGCCCAGTCTGTGCTTGTCGATTACTATTAATTGGCCCCCTCCCAGACCGCAGAACTGACCATCATCCGCAGCTCGCAAGAGAGATTCATAACTCTAATTTATTGCCACTACTCGGTGATATTCGGGCGAAGAAAACTGATTTTGCCGGTAACCTAGACATTTACTTTTGCTGTGTAGGTGCCACACCGATGATCCCGTCTAGGTGGGAAGAAGGCCAATCACCAGTATAGATAAATAAAACAAGCCAGTATACTGATATATAATGTCACATTTTCTAGCATTCACTGAAACAGATACAAGCAGTGATACTGTTAAGAAAATCCTCTGTATTAGTAGTTCTGCTTTACCAACCATCTAACTGCCCTCGTTGCTATTGTTATCCAGGATATTAAAGGTTCCAGCTGCTCGAGACATGATCATACAGTTCACCCTAATAGAAAGAAATATATATTAATAAAACTTTAATATCTTCATTTGAATTAGGCCCGTATCATATTTAGACTTCCTGATTTCTGAGTAGTTCTATATTAGACAAGATATAAGCCAGATGATCCATGGACAGATAAGCAGCTTTATCTTTTGATAATAAGATGAAATAAGAATATATATTATCTTTAATAGGCATGCATGAGCTATCATTCACTTAGAGCCTAAGCAAATAAATTATTTATATAGTAAAAAACCGGGATCTGAGTGGCCTGTAGATCTTTCCTAATTAATGATTCTGTGGTAGGTAGGTCGGCATCTGGACTTCCGTAATACCAATTATACATGTTAGCACATTCATGTTCCAGAGGCACAGATTGAAGACCATGTCAGTTTCCAATAACCCTATTTATGAAAGCTGTACTAGTCGAGCTTATTATGATAACTGATAGCTAGCATATCTTTGAGCTGATCTGAGGCTGTTAACTGCTTATTCCAAGGTCCAATCTCGCGTTTTAGCCAGGGATGAACATGGGGACAAAAAGGGCAAGAAGGAACACCAAAACAGTTCAAGTGCATATACAATATACAGCTATTTACATGTCTTTCACGAGAGTAACTGCCGTCTCTGGTCATCAACAAGATATTTTTGGATAAGGAACCCGGATTCAGTTTATAACACCACAGTACTGTCAATTATGTAATCTGGTTAATTTCTCCTTGTTAAATGATGTGGTGGATTATTATAATTCAGATTAGTTTTTATTAATGAAGCTATCAATATAATATATAAATGATATTATCATACTTTACCTCTAAAGACGAACGTGCTTTTTCCCGGGGCTAAATACGGCCGAGAGAATCACTGGCTACTCATAAGATTTTAACTCATCTTCTCCTCGGCGGGGGTAAGATCTAGCATAGTCTAGTCTCTACTACTAGACATGTTATTTGTATGTTTAGTGAGAGATATGATTGTCTTCAGTAGATTTACTTAATTTATATTACTTATTTTCCTGGATGATGCGTGTGATTAGCATAACTTAGTAAGTTTTAATCTATTAACACTCAAAGCCGAACTCCTTTCGAGGACCTCTCTCATCACCACAGCCGCTTCAGTACAATCAGCTCGGTCTTCTTACCTCATCAAGCATAGCAGGGCAGTTCCGCATACGTTAGGTTGTGGACATGGCGCTTTACCCTGTGCTTCGAAATGCCGCGGAGTTCGGGCTATCCCCCATCTCATGTGAGACCTTTTGCCAAGTCAATGAGGAGAGAGCTCTCGTATCGCCGATTTGCGTGCTGAATGTAGGACAAGCTCTTTGAATCCAGTAATATTGCAGCAACTTGGTCAACGTGGGCTATATGATAGTTGCCTCGCACACCTTACACGATAGTGACAGTGGTTGCCTCACACAAAGCAAATCAGAAAAGAAATATGCCCTTGAGAGAAGGCATATAAAACGAGTGACTCCTCTTCATATCCTATCTCTTCATCACACTAGCTACACCAGAATCCTAGATCCTATTCCCCGGAAGACTCGAGAAAGCAAACAGTTCATCATGAAGACCTCTTTGGCCTCTGCGGTTATTCTCTTTACTTCGGTGCTGGCAGCGCCTGTCCCGAAGGTAATACCATGCATACTCAGGTCTTTGTGTAGTGACTGATGATAACAGAAGGGGAACACACCTGCCGATAGTGGAAACGCCAATGCGAATGTCGATATCCCCACTGGCCCCGGCCCCGTGTGCACCAATACCGAGATCTGTCCATATGAGGCCGGTGACAGTCAGTATGCGCGCCGCCAGGAGCCTATCCCGGCTGACCTTCTGGCCTCCATGCTTGGGCGCCGCTAGGAGCCTATTCCTACTGATGCCATCATCTCGCTGGCTGGTGGAGGCCTAAAGAGAATTGAGGAGGACGCTATGGGCTCGTACTAAGTCCGTCATATGGTATTCAGGATGCTGTTATGCTCCTCGAATTATGCCCCTGTCCTTAAAGTGTCTTTCTCTCAGTCCTTTCTTATTTTCCAGAGCATTCAACATGCGAAGAAAGCGGGAAATGACAACTGAGGGTGAACCTAGTAGCGTACACGATTGGAAGGGTTTTTTTTTTTTTTTTTTTTTTTTTTTTGGTGCATTTTAGGGAATTGGATTGTGCGAGGCGTGGTGACGAATATTCTTTTCATCCATGGTGAAGTGTTTCTCGCATGTTGAGACCTATCTTGCCTCTGTACTCAGCGAATTAGTCAGGAATGACAGTCGAGCTGGAACATATACTTGACTTATCTGGTGTGGGACTTGAATATTTCTTATTCTTCATGACATGTATCCCATATGCACACGAAATTAGCCACTGTTTCGCTGGACTAAGTCTGCCTTCTGTAGGACATGAAGGGCAGTGACTCGGTTGTCGCTTATTCAGCGGCTGTCTCACAGACTGGTGGCAAAATGCTCTGTTGATGGTGGTAAGCAAAGCGAGAATCCTAGGACCATTACGAGACAATTTGCTATAGTCAACAAACTCATGCTCGGCTCACCACTCGGCCGATCGGAGAGGGATTCACTGCAGCACTACATTCGTAAATCTCGACTCTTTCGGTTTCCAATCCATCGGAGTATGTATCATCGAGTGTCCTATGACATTGTTTCGCTTTTGGCGAATGGATGATCTGTGAATTCTACCTCAATAGCACTCAATCTCCCTGCCCGCCAACTCGCTTTTTTGCCTGCAATTGGATTGTCCCTTCGCCAGCGGAGCAGAACCTCTGATGAATATCTAGGTCATATTGTCCCATTGGCTTGCAAGCTTTTCGATCAATAGGGATATATCAGCCGCTTTTTCTTCCATGGGGTAGTGGCCTCCTCCTGAAAGCCATATGCCCCGTGGCGCCCATTCGACCATATGTGCCGGATGGATGCAATCGACGAGGATGTCCTTGTACAGCTTCAAGAGCGGGTCTTGCTCTCCGAACACCACCGCAACCTCTGGGTTACCCTTTCCGAGGCACGCTCTCCAGCTCTGTCGGACCTCTTCCCCGCGCTTTGCCAGTCTGGCCTGTTGACTAAGGTTGTCAAATTGACGCGGTCCGCAGAGACCCTCCAACAATTTCCACATCCGCGTCTGGCGAAGGCCATGTAAGGCAAAGCGCGGTGTAACCGGGACAATGTGCCCGAACCGGAAGACACTGGCCTTGGTGGCTACTGGGAGAGATCGAAACGGCGCACTGTATCCATCGATCTCGGGTTGCGACAAGTGTGGGGCCATGAAACGCATCACTCCTGACTCGGGCATATAGCCGCCCAGGAGGCCCGTCGAAAGAAACCAAATGGCATAGAGTAAGCTGTAGTGAAGATTCCATTCGTCCGGACGCGGTGGCAGAAAGGAGTTCAGGAGAAGGAGGCGAGTGCAGGCCATCTGAGGCAGCTGCGGGATTGCGCACAATGCGACGCACCTGGAGACAGTGAGCCATGGACGGAGACAGCGGGGATACTAGCGGGGTCAACGACGTACCCACCCCAGTCATGCGCGACAATGGTTGCATGGCGGAGATTGTGGACCTTGAAGAACTGCATAAGCGTGTGGATATGCAGTTCAAAGGTAACCGATTCGGGACGGGTCGGCTTGTCACTGCGACCGTGCCCGAGCCAGTCGAGCGCATAGACTTCATGACCTTGGTCCAGCAGATGAGGAAGGATCTGCTGGGGTCAGCCATATTTCGATTTAAAGATCGATATTTAAGATCTATACATTTCTCCAAATATAGCTCCAGCTTGGATTCCCATGCAGGAAGATGATCGGGCGCCTGCCGCGTGCGGGACAGTCGAGTGTAGGTTTCTGATGCATGAAGCGGACAGTGGCTCCACAGATGGCCATCTCCGCCATGCAATCAGCCCAGAGGATGTCGGGCATCCATCCTGGTCCCTGAGGACGGACTCGATACAGATTGGACTCGCTGAAGCGATATGTGCCTTGGCACTGGGCGATGGCCAGAGACTCACATCGGCCCCGGTGCTCTTCTGCCTCTCGGATGAGCCTGTTCCTCCCTTGACTGGAGAACAGGCTGAGGAAGTTCCAAACCACTGTGGGGATGATGGTGCATGACAGCTTCCCCAGATATAATGGCAAAAGACTGCCAAATAGAATGAGCCGACAAACGGTAAAGGACATAACGAATGTAGCGGCGTAGCCATAGGAGGTCATGAGAATGGTCAGCACTGCCTGTGCCAGGCTGCTGCCGACGTGCAGCGTGAGCAGCGACATGATGAAACAGTAATCATGCACGATTCGTTTGTAAAATAAGAATCGGTGTTCACTTATATTTGGGGAAAGGGGCGGGGTGGGCGGTCGGTCGAGGATGACGGAGGACTGACTTCATCCGTGAATGTATAATTTCCTGTTATTATAGCCACCGGGGCCACCCTCATTAGTACTTATCGTTCATCTTTGACTGCAACGAGACCGTGTAGGGTCTTATCCCGGACAACGAGAGGCTGCTCTCTCCAGTCGCTGGGCCGGTCGGGAATGCGGAGAATCAGGCCGCGGTCGGCAATCCCTTGCCCTTGACTGGAGATAAAAAATTTTATGATACCCTGCTTGTCCAACATACAAACAACAATCATGATCCTCTACCTTGTCTATCTCATTTATAAGCCTTATTGGTAATCTTATGCTGACTTGGCGGGCTGCCTTGTTTGTTTCTGCTCTGCTTTTCGTTCTTCTCGTACAAAACTACTTCTTTTTCTATTCGGCGACCGGGCCGCATCTTTAATTTCAAACTCACAACAGGAAAATTATAGTTTCAAGCTTACTTTCATAGCCAACTTTATTCTTAGTTTCCTCTGATTTAAGTTTTTCTGACTCATCTACTATGTTGTTAGTTAGACTGTGCTTCCACGCCCTACCGTTAGACCATACCTTAACCTGTGCCCATCAGTCCTCTAACCGACATTACCTCTTAACATCAACAGCAATCAATACTATATCCGTTTACCCCTCCACATCGTTGACAGACCCCAACACTTGATCCCAGTCCTCCGCCGCGATCTTAGGTCCCCGTTTGATGGCCTCCATCATCCAGTCACCGCGAGGCTTCAGCCGCATCCTCAGCTCCTTGGGCATCGTCATGAAACCCACGACAGTCATGGCCCATGGATCCATCTCTTCCCCTTCCACGGACATGATATCAAACACCCACAACAAGTTGGCTACCTGCAGAAAGGCCCCATCTGTAGCAATTCAGATGCGTCGACCCTGCACAAACACGGGCAGCGGGAGGTCGGACCGTAGCTGAGCCTCTGCGTTGACGGGAAGAAGTCTCCATCCAACCTTGGATAGATGTGGCCAGAGTAAATGCAAGATCCAGACCTGGTACCGCCGTGTACTTCTCGGCCGTTGCAAGGGTTTGCTTTGTGGGGTTCCAGCTGTCTGAGTCCCTCCCCCGATGAAATAGACGCATGTAGAGGTCTGATTGGGTTGCGAAGAGCTCATCGGCGGCACGTTTCAGGGAGAAAGAAATTCAGGCAGTTGGCGCAAGGTTGAAATACTATCTTGTAGGCTGGGATTAGCAGCCAGATGGATCACTTGGGCCTGGGTGCCGATAATCTCCTGCAGACGTTCGTCTTCGGGGGGTGGAGGATTCGCAGGCCGTAATGTAACCCTAGATTAATACTTGACTGGGTGCGTTCCAGGTGGGGATAGATCGTTGCAGTGCTGATGGTGGCGCTATCAGGATATCCGTGGAGAGCATCAGACAGGTCACAGAGCAACTGTTTGTTCTCTAGTGCCATTAACGGCTGATATCTCGGCGCCGCGAGGGCCCCGAGACTGGGAGCTAGCAGTCTGTGAATGCAGCCTGAGGTGATCATCGTAGTCATGCATCAGAGTGAATCGAGACTGTCCGGGCTCTGCTCCGGTACTTATCTCCCTCGTCGCCGAACGCGGCCGGTTGTTATACCACTGGCTGCGGCGACTTAACAATTCAGTGACCGCCTCGTAAGAGTTGAGTATCACGACTAGGACGATCCCAAATAGCCTGGAAACGGTGATGGGTCCATTTCGTCGCACCCAGTCGTCCCAGTTGGCGAGGGGCTTATCGATTGGAGAGCTATGAAGATTACCGATCAGCGGGAGCTTGAGAGGTAGCCGCTTCTCATCAGTTTCTGCTCGTCTGCTGGGCTGATGCTGGGTGATCATGTATGGCAGAGTCATCAGACCAATGCCGAAGACCATTACGATGGCTAGGTTGGCAATCATTCTGGTGAATATAGTGCTGCGTAATATCAATTGCTCACGACGTGAAATAGCATGGATGACAGACACTGCACTGCTTTGGTCTCCCGCAGTTGTGCCGTGCCCCGCCAAAGGATCCGTGAGCCAAAACGAATGGAGGTAGTGATTGAAGGGCCTCTCCCCTTTGCCCTTCAGACCTTCAGGAAGTCTACCAGTGGGAACAGCACGGCGCACCGGCTGTCTTGGCGCGGTCACATTTAGTCAGGAGTCTCCATCTCCACTCTTTCTCTTATTGTCCTCTTTACATTTCGGAACTTTATCTCCTCTGCGACTAGAATAGATGTGAATAGTGATGCACTGGATCATTAGTCAAATAAAATCGCAAGTATGTTATCATGTCCAGTGTGAAGGGTCACAAATCTGACTACTAAGATACTATGATACAGTCAATGTGGTACAATACGATCGGCTGGCTATCTTTCTTGTTCCAACCCCCTCGGATGCCTCAACAGCAGATCCAAGCACGTTAGAAAGTGTGAAAACACTCAGAGCTTTGCTGTGGCAGTGGCCGGAGTGGCCAAAGACAACACAGAGCACGAATCCGATCGCTTCTGCGCACTGCTTTGCGAAGCTTCCCAGATGGGGCCACTGGTCTTGCCTCCATACCAGACCTGCCAGGTGGGACTCGCACAGCTGCCGTGATATTGGAAGAGAAATTTACCCTCACCATAGGTGATGTGGCTGCTCATGGCCTCATCGCTGTCATCTTTGGACTTGATCGTCTCGTAGTCATATTCCGTGGGTTCCGCTGACAAGCCCAGAACCGAGTTGACCTGCGCAGCGATAAGTTTCACTTGCTCTGGATACCGTGGAGCCTGTTTACCTGTCCGGGCTAAAGGGGTTCCAATGTAAACCTTGGTGTCGGGGCTCGAATACTTGGACGACCCAGTTAAGCGCTCGTCCTTGAGATTTGCATCGGAGGCCAGATAATCCAGGATCTTGGTCTTGAACATCTCTTCATCCAAGACCGCTCGACCTTCCTTGACAACAACAAATCCCGGCTTTTGCCACAGATGGGCCTGATAGACGGCATATTTCGACACAACAACTATGACCGTACAGCCTCGGATATTGATCTGGCTGAAGTTGAACGGGTCATCACCAAAACCTATAATTTCCGAGGTAGATCTCATGTTTGAACTATCCTTCGCCAGCAGCCTTCCCTTTCTCATCTCCGTTTGCATCCATTCCAAATATGATGAGAGCCTACGTATCAGGCTCCTAGGACCAGACCGCTTGGTGGAACCAGAAGAGGCATCGATATCATTGGACAAGCAGCTGGAACAGTCCGTTCCACAGAGCACTTCGGTTGCGGACGCAGATGCAGACGATGAAGTGGATGTCTGGGAGTGGGATGATTGCTTTGTGGTTGGTGTGACTGTATCCTCGAAAGCCTTGCTCGTTGAGGCGAAGTCTGAGTGGCCATGAGACTTGGTGGTGTGAGTACTGGTGACGCCGGTGGATTTTCCCTTCGTGGATGTGCGTGTGGAAGTATGATGGTCCTCCTCGTTACTCGATATTTTCGAGGCGGAATCGGCGGGCTTCGGGGTGGCAGGCTGCTCACTTTTCGAGGTCTCTTTTGCCTTGGTACTAGTAGTCGGCTTCTGTTTCGTTGTTGTGGTAGTGGTGGTTTTGTGCGCCTTGGTCGTGGTAGTAGTCGAGATGGTCTTCGTGGTGGTTTTGTTTGTCTTAGTGGTCTTCTTTTTCGTCTTCGTCTTCGTCTTGGTCTTTTTCGAGTGATGATTATGACCTCCTTTGCCATGACTACTGCTTCCCTTGTGGCTGCGAAGGTGCAGCTGATTGACATCCACTTCAGTTGAGGTCTCACCATCGTCCTCATCCTCCTTACTGTTGCCATCGCCATTGTCAACTGCCACTGCCGGAGGTTCCGCCGCGTAGAAGGACGGGATTTTCTCCACAGCAGAAGAAACTGTGTTATAGTAGGAGCAGAGGCTCCCAGGGCGCTGCCATTTTGCTCGACTGAACCGGAGCCAGCAATAACTCCACTAGCCCACAGGGCAAGAAACAAAGCCTTTTCGAGCCAACCACCATTGTAGAAGATTAGGAATGAATGACTGTGGTTGTTTAATGGGCCACTGGCTTGAAGAATCTGCTTTTTATATCGTGATTATGTGCCGTCTGTACGCGCGGGATTTTACACGCAGATACCACATTCAATTATGCATTTCCTGCCCCCACGAGAGGGGTGCAGAATCGGTGGAAGGAAGACCTGGCGTCACACTTTGAGATGCAGCGTAGGAAGTGGACCACCAAGTCCTTCATTATACTGACTGGCCACTCAACCAGCGACATGGCCTACAGTGCTCTTTGGCCCTGGAAGCATGCTTAACCACATCTAGCCTGGAATCTTTGCTCAACATGCCGAAAGGTCGATGGCTGTAGCCGCTGCAGCCCCCACGCCTAGCTTCTCCACCGCAACATCCACCGCCCCCCGGGCCTTCATCGGCCGCCGCTCACGGATTTGACAAACTCAACAAAGCTTCACTTCCTCACCATCCTCACCATCCTCACCATCCTCACCATCCTCACCATCCTTTCAAAAATCAATCCCATTTGTTTCATCACGCACAATGTCACTTCCATTTCAGGTGCTGGAGGAGGCTAATCAGCCCTTCCTGGAGAGCTGCCGTCACGGTGACTTGGCCCAAGTTAAGAAACATCAGGAGGCCAAGGCTCTAGACCGAGAGGTTCTGACTATGGGCTTGAGGGAAGCTGCCCAGGGCGATCACATCGACACTATGCGTCATCTACTAAACGCTGGCGCCAAGCCCCAGTCTCCCAGCGTCGTGGATGAAGTACACTCGGCTGAGGCAGTCAAGGTCTTGCTAGACCACGGTCTCACTTTTGAGGCTCGGCTATACCCCCTTAATACAGTGCCACTTGTGTGGGTATCCTTTGCTTGCCTGTTGGTGATCACATGTACTAACCAAAAGAACAGACACATAAGAAGAACGACCAACGGCTCGTTCACTGGTGCCTTGAACAAGGTGCCGACCCCACCTTCGGCTGCCCGAATGCCCAGTCATTCAATGACCTTGAGAAGCCTGATCGGTCTCCTACGAAGGGCTCAGGGGCAGTCCTTGGTATGGCGTCCCGTCGAAGTAGCCCAGTGATTGTTGACCTTCTTCTTGAACACGGTGCCAATATCCGCACCAGTAATGTGTTACATTATGCTGCATGTAGGAAGGATGGACGAGCCATACCAATCATGGAGCACCTGCTACATCGTGGGGCCGACGTGAATGAATTTGGCTATCCTGAATTTCTACATCTCGGCGGCACTCCCCTTCATGCGGCCAGCTATCAAGGAAATCTCCCGGCCGTGAACTGGCTCCTGGAGCATGGTGCAAACCCCGGCGTGGAAGACGCCCAAGGTAATAAGCCGCTTGATCTGGCAGCTTTATAAGAGGAAGACGAAATATGTGATGTTCTTCATGAGTGTCGCGTTTAGGCCACACTGGCAAGGCTGACTGCGGTAGTTCAGATTAGCCAAAAGCGAACAGTTCCAGGGCATGACAGGGTCACCCCTTATTGGCTTAGGGTCTGTGGAGGACAACGAACAAAGGACCAACTCCCTCCTGCTTATGTGCGCATCGCCGTATAGTTGTTATATATCTCCACTCTACAACAATTCAACACCTTCAGCGCCGATATTGGAACGCAGTGATGGCGTTTAGGTACCACAATATCACAAATGATTTCGAGTTTCCAGTAGCTCGGCTTACTCCTCATCGATTGTTTGTACTTAAGTTCTTCCCGTGCTGCTGCAAAATGTGCGTGAGATACTATTGCTGAATAAAGATGTCCTCTTAAGGACACGAATTGTAGCTAAGCAGCACTCAGATTCTCTAGCCTCATTCGGCCGGAACGTGGATATATTTGCAACAGCTAGTACACTTTCGCGTCTGCCTGGAGTTAGTGCTAACTTCAGCCCCGCAATCAAGCTTTCTCAGCCCTGCCAGCCGACTCGCTCGACCTTCTGCTTCGGGTGAAGGGTTCCTTGATGATCACATTTCCAGCATGGAGATTAGCCGACTGGACAAATCAGGTTGTGGTTGATACCGCCCCCATGTTGCATCACCCACCATGCTTCACTGGGATGAACCACGCCATCGACAATGTTGGACCAGCAACTCTACGTTTGTTCGGGATAAATTCAGTGTCACAAGTGAATTATTGATGCATATGTTCCGCTGAGTGGGGTCTAGGTTACATAAACCCGGAACTTGTGGGCGTTGCTGCAATCACTCACCATGACCCACGCAGGAGTTGTTAGGTCATCTACGGGGCATCTTTGCCAGTGACATTGGAGTAGAATTGCATCCATTTTGTGGTTCTTATTGCTGTCATTGTCATTGCCGGGGTCTTGCCATGGCACCCCACATGAGTATTGCAGCCTCTCTTACCTACCAATATCGCCCTTACATGGCATGAGGATGGCAAGCTCTAGGTTAACGATGTTCCTCATAGATCTTATAATATCGACCGATAGTGATCAATTTAATTACGATCTGTCGGGACGGCACTCTAGGATATTCCGTGTCAGGATTGTTAAGTTGCGCTGCTGCCTGAGGCCACAATATCATTGTGTGGGTGAAACAAACCAGCGATTGATGATCATGCCCATCTCTTGCTGGGGGCCCAACACTTTATCATATAACTGATAGTGATTCTGGATACATTTTAGCTGATAGAGGGTTGTTTATGAAGTGCTAGCAGGCTCAATGCTAAACCACATAGTATGTTAGGGAACCAGAAGTGACGCTACACACCTCTAAAGTCACTTTTTCCCTGCGTCTTTTGCTGATTTTTATAGTGGTATTGACGATTCCCACGCGATGATCATAAGTTTTCTCTTCTGGATGTGGGGTCAAGGTAGATGTTGGTTGCGACGCTTCAATGATCGCCGTGTGCCTCCAAGGTACTTCCAAGGACCCTGTTGCATCCATCTCGCTCCCTTTAAAGCATACGCGACCGCGCCTGGCCGTCGCCCTTTCTCCTTCTACCCCAAAGACCGAACACAATGTTAGACTCCATTTCAGAGCAGATGATGTGCAAGCCTTCCCGTTTATCTACTCTTCCGTTGGAGATGGTTGAGAGGATTTGCCACGAGCTTGCAACGCAAGATTTGGCCGCACTCCGAGGGACTTGCCGCGCCGCTCATCACCTCACCAACCGGTGTTTTGCGCAACGGTACGCGGAGTACTACACAGACTTCTCTGCACACTCTTTAAACCACTTGCATGCGCTGGCCGAGAATCAGCTGATACGAGGCTATATTCAACACCTGGTAATCCTGAGTCCGGAGCCGAGATTGGGGGAGAACATGGACTGGCACTGGACGGCTGCTGGCCACCTCCGATGTCCCCTAGACATGCCCTTGATCCGGCGGCTGCAGGATGATCTGACACAGAAATTGGTGAACTGCCGATCTTTTATCCTATCGCCCATTCTGTCAGAACCCCAAAGTAAGGCGGACCTCCATGACAGCCCGACCTTCAATCCTGACGATGTCGCATGCATCCTCCTTGACCTCATCGCAGACGCCTCTCTTCCGGTTAAACTCTTCTGGTATGGCAAGGGCATGAATTACACCTCCAAAGTCATGGACATTGCGCGTCTCCCAAAGTCACTTTATAGCAATGCCGCTTTCCGGACGGGCTGGAAATCCTTGGACAACCTGCACCTAGAGCAGGAACTGACCCCCCAGAACTATACTTTCGTGATGGACATGATCCTCAGTGCGACTGGTCTCCGCAAACTACATCTTGGCCTTGGATACACCGACCTCGCCGTCGAGTTCTTTTCACAATTGAGTGCGTCCATTGCAGCTCTAGATCACCTGGAACGGATCAGTATCTGGGGAAGTTCGATGCAAGCTGAAGATCTCGTTCGGCTCCTCTGTAACTCGCGAACAAATCTGAAGAAGCTTAGTCTGCGGTCAGTGACGAGCTTGACGCCGCAGTGGCTAACGTACCTCTGTCAGCATCGTGACCTATTCCCATGTCTGACTACCATTGACTTGAGCATGATCCATGGACCTTCTGGTATTTTGTCTTTTACGCCAATGCAGAACTTGCCTCCGGAGCAGAAGAACATGTTTGAACTTGAGCGTTGTGTCTACGAGGATCCCTCAGACACAGGTGGAAAGACAGGCGATATAGTCGGTATTTCCTACAGTGGTTCGGATATTCGGACGGCATTGAAAGCGCTGCTAGAAGTGTGTAGCGAGCCTGGTGGTCATCAATGAGGAATCATGGTGGTGTTGTGGCGATGGGGTATATGCGTACAAGGATACCCAAAGTGGAATTTTTGTGCAATTTTCTTGCACTGCTTTATTCAAGATGCCATGTCATACATATAAGAACTGAAATAATATTCACATACGCCTAGAGTTGTTTTGGAGTCAAGACAGGAAATATTGGTGTCAGAAATGCCCCCAGACGATTGATAGCACCATTATTGGTTGCCTGTGCTAGGGATAAATTTCCTTTCCCAGGTGATTCTCGAGTGCGCAACACCACGAATAGCGGCATAATAGCATATGGTAGATAGTTTTTCATGAGATGATTCATTCAATTCAATTTGTCTACTTCCCTGAGGTGGAACATCTCCAACAGATACAGCATCGTCTTCGAGCAGCATTTGGAGATTGAGGATGACGGTGCAGGGCAAGCCACATTCCGACACCGGGCGGCACGCAATGTGCCGACTATTCATCTAAAATTACATCTATGCCATTACGGACAGAATGCTTATCTTAATGGTTGGAAGTCAAGGCGGAGATGAAAGGCCAAGATAGTAACGATGGTATACCATCTGCTTGCGGCATGCCACGCAGGCCGTGATGCGACGGGGTCCCCGAAGGGCTCCCGCAAACCGTCGTCAGCGGCGGGAGAGGGCCGAGGCATGTCCATAATGCCACACACCTGTAGAGATAGTAGAATAAAAAGGATACCAATTGCAGCTGACAAGATCATTGCATTTATTGGACAATACTTTCGGCTTTCAAGTCCGAGGAGGCATATCGCCACGACGGCGGCCGGCTGGCTGCTTACACAGAGACGCACGATATTGGAGATAGTTAAATAAGTAGATGTAATTACATTCATAGATTGATGTCTAAAAGATCACCTGCTCAAAGGCATGCTGCAATCCGCGGGCTTGCAGCCACGCCTCCAGGGCCTGCATATCCCCCCGGTTGGCTCGTTGCCCGCTGCGTTCCCCCAGGGAATCCGTGATCTCCTCCATCCCCTCAAACACCCGCTGCACCCCTTCCGTCTCGCGAAATCGTTCGCTGACTTTTTTCTGGTGACTGGGAATATCCCCCCAAGAATGGGTTTTGATGAAACTCATGTACGCATCGATATCCGGCGATGTCCCCTCCAGGCATAACACGCCTGGTTTGCCCGCCAATACAAATCCCGTGAGCCCATAACCTGCCGCGTGATGCACCAGATCATCCCGCTTCTTGCGCGTGGATAGGGAAGGAAAGTAGAACCAGACCCGCACCAGAGGTCCTGACCCCGATTGACTCGGTGGGAGATCCACCGGCTCTGTTGGCTGGGCTTCCAAGAACCGCGTCGCTTCCTCACGAACATGGTCCAAGGCCGTAAAGACGTCGTCCTGCGGCATCGTGGCGGTCAGCGCAGCGACCTCGGCCTTGGACATCCAGTCTGGTTGGCGCAGTGTATACTTCGCCGGGGGTGGCTGATCTAGTGCAGGGCCATCATGGTACAAGGGAATGGAGACATTGACCTGGATTGTCTTCCCGCCGTCCTCCAGCGGCAAACACACTCCCAGCAAGAGGCTGGCAGGGATTCCCGTCGGCACGGTCGATGGATCTTGACACCAGGCCCGTAGTTGATCCACACATTGCGATGTAAATTCGGGCAAGTCCAGCTCGCCCGGGCCCGGAAACATGGCCGTGAGAAGATCAATGATCGCCAGCTGGGACTCTATCATATCCGCGGGTAGGAGAGAAAATCGTTGTGCCGCCATCGTTGGAGCGATTTCCCACGGCGGTACTCTCCAAGGGGCGTTATTGGAGGTGTGATACTTTGAAATAATTGTTTGTGCAGCACATTCAATTTCCAGAGTATGATGTATTATTCATGTATCTTGTAGACGGATTTCCTCTCTTGGACCTCTCTGTTCACGTTCAGCGACGGTGCGTTTTTCGATGGATCGCCGGTGCCGGCCATCAAAACTGGAGCAAGAAAGGGGGGGTCGGCGATTGGCTCTCTCGGGCCGAGTTTCGGGGATACATAACTTCTATAACATGACTAATCATGCTTCCCAATCAGTCACTTTGTCGATTATTGTGAGCACTACTATTGTGTAAGTACATCCTAGAGTCACGGCTCCTACATGAATCTCTGAATAATTATGCTCAAAATAATTTTCTCACACTATTGTTCCCAGCTGACGTTAACTATTTACGTGATCACCTTTCAAGAGGGCCAGTGTACGACGACGGTCCTTGGCCATCAAGGGTACCCACCAGCATCTCTCACAAGTTGGCTTGATCAGACGAGGCAATCCAGTCATATTTATCCCCCAGGTACTTCTGGGCCCGTAGATCTCCCGAGCGCGCATGGCCCTCAAATTGCTCCGCCCTTGCAGCTCGACCACACAGCCGACCCAGCTCCCCACTGGCGGTGCTACTAGTCACTTCCTGGTAAGTCACCGTGCGCAGATACTTGCCCACCCAAAGACCTCCTGTATACCGCGCTGCCTTTTTGGTGGGTAGGACATGATTCGTTCCGATGACCTGTTTGAAAAAAATAGCATACGTTAGAAGCAGCCTTCCGAATTCCATGTAAGCTTTCCTATGGCGGAATCCAGACCTTATCGCCATATGACACGCATGTCTTTTCTCCCAAGAAAAGCGCTCCATACGCTGTCATCTTCTCTAGTGCCTCACGGGGCCGCTTGGTGAAGATCTGCACATGCTCACTCGCATACTCATCCGCCAGTCGCCACGCCTCGTCAAGGGAGTCCACCAGGATGGCTTCTCCAAACCGGTCCCACGATGTGCCCGCCAGCTCGCGCGTGGATAGATTCGGAAGCAGCTGATTTATGATGTCAATGGCCGCCCGTCCCACGCGCTCCGAGGTCGTGATGAGCACAGCCGGCGAATCCGGCCCATGTTCAGCTTGTGACAGAAGGTCGGTCGCTACCGTGAATGGATCGGCCGTCTCATCGGCGACGATCAGAATCTCCGTCGGGCCTGCAAAGAGGTCGATGCCCACCTCGCCAAACAACTGCCGCTTTCCCTCCGCGACAAAGGCATTTCCCGGTCCCGCGAGGAAGTCCACTTTTCGGATGGTCTCTGTGCCCACCGCCATCGCCGCGATCGCCTGAACCCCGCCAAGCAGATGAATTTCATCGGCTCCAGCCAGATGCATCGCGGCCACCGTGGCATGGGGGATCTGACCGGCAATTGGGGGAGTACAGCCAACCACATAAGGCACACCAGCCACCTTGGCCGTCAGAATCGTCATGTGGGCGGATGCTAGCAGCGGGTAGCGTCCTCCGGGGATGTACCTGGTATCATCGATAAGTATGGGATTCAACAATTAGAAGTTGGGTTACCACATACGCTCCAACGCTGTTGATGGGAAGGTTTTTCTGGCCCAGGTGCACTCCCTTGAACTGGTCAGTGGCGCCTTCACAGGCATATGTTTCATTTAATTTTCACATGCTGGATGGGCTTACCGGCTGGATCTCATACTCAAAATCGCGAATAGAGTCTCGCTGGGCCTGCGCAAAGGCACGAACGTTCTTCTGCACTTCCTTGATGTCGGCTATCGTTTGGGGCGAACAGGCCGCCAGGGCAGCATCTATATCATTCTGGGAGAGCTTGAACGAGGCTGGCGACCAGCGGTCAAATTTCTCCGAGTACTTTCGGACTGCTGCATCTCCATTGGCACGAACGTCGTCGATTACCCCCTTTACAACGCTACTCACGTCCACCTGAGGTCTCGCAGCTGAGTTCGGGGGTTGAGACTTGCTTTTCAAGTATCGGACCGTCATGTTGAAGTCGTATTAACTATTTGATCAAGGTAATCAAGGATATGGGGAGAGACCTACAACTACCATCGGACAATGGCTTACTTATATGATGAATAGCTACGGTAAGTAATGTTCATACAACTCTATCGGCTCCACTCGGCGGTCCGCAACAGCCTTCGGAAGTCGGCCAGAAGTCCGAGTATAGGTCAGTGCATTACCATCACAAACTAAGCAATTGACGAAATGGTGTGTTATGAGGAGGAGTAAGGCCGTCGGACTCGGCCGGAGGGGCTGGTAATTCATGTAATGGCACATGCTTCCGAATTTCCTTTGCGTTTGGTGATACTCTCACAGATAGTCCGTCACAGAATCCGCGTTCTAAGGGCTTCTTCCACCGCGATTTATTTTTGCGGACTATTAACCCATATCGTCTCTTAAGGAGTCTGTCGCTTCTTCCCCACTCATATGGGCATAGATCGCCCCTCTTGGTGATCCTTGTTCCCGTCCCCGTGGGGTGGAGCCGAGGTCCTTCGGCACAGAAGGTACAGCCTTCACCATTCGAGGCGGAACATCAACCCGACATCATTGTGAAGGTTGCTGAACACGATTCCTATGTGTTCCATCCATTTTGGGACAATGGGAGGGAGAAGCGCTATTTTCAGTCCACGTCACATGATCTATAACGTTGAAGTAGGTAATGTTGCATCACCTACAGTTAGCCTGTTGATGCCAATGATGATCCTTTGCCACAAGACCTCCTATAATACGACTTGGCTGTGACATTTGACACGGGCATAGGTGCATCTCTATCGTACAAACTACCGGATGAAGCCGTTCTGCTTGTGGGTGATTTTTCTGTTTCAAATAGCTGTATGCCAAGGGTGTGACATACAAACATCCTCATTCCATTGACTTCAAGCTTCCGTGAAGTTGGGCGAGGAAAGTTACGCAAGTATACCACTCAAAGTACCGCTCTATCTCAGCATCAAATGGTGCTCATCAACATTTTCACAGTGACTCCATAGGCACGCCAACTTGCATGGCGTGGCAAATATAAATAGAGAAGATGAGTTAATCTGCTGCCAAAGTCTAACCTTGGCATGCTCCACATTTTAGCCTAGTTACTTGACTTCATGGGTTACAAAAGCATGATCGGCATTCCCCAAATGGGTCAGGTACGGGTCACTTTCGACCTGTCGTAAATCCCGGGGTAACACTTTTCTCCTTGTACATGAGACCTTCGTATCGTCTTTCAACATGCATCGCCATGCTGGCCATAACCATAATTCCCCACTGATCTTACTAGGGTGCTCTAGCCGGCATCATGCTGGTAAGCTTGCCAGAAAGGGCAGGCTAGGCGGCTTTTGAGAAGGCCTCGGCCTTACCCAGGGCTCACACACCGCTGACCCTTCCATGACTTTGTGACCATGTCCAACGTGTTAAAGCTGATAGTATAGAGAAGATCGTTGCCGGTCACCTCTCTCTGCTATGCTGACATCGCCTGATGCCCGATATTATAACGCATCGATCTGAGTTATGCCTTTTATCTTAAATCTTAAAATTTGCTCAAAGAGGAACAGATACTGGTGAACAATGAGCTGTCTCCGCAATATGTGAAGCGAATGTGGCCGGTAATTGCAACCAATAGCAGTACTTCTGCTACAACTATAAGCCTAACATTGATTGAACTCGTGAGGTAGTGAACATATATCTTGGACTCTGCTTTCTAAACTTCAGGGGCTGTCCGCATGCAAACTACTGAGTTCGGTGGATACTACTAGTGATCTTTGCCTATCATATAAGATATATGATACGAATATCTCAAATCACATTGATCTGTCTGGCTTGTCCACTGTATCTCGAATACCTTATCTTCCCGTTTCCCTATCTTTCGCTGATTATTTCTCGGCAGTTCCTCGGATGGGAGCCGGGCACGTGCATGATGACCGTCATGTGACTAAAGAAGAGGCTCTGGCTCACCGGCCAATCGGAAGGACGGAAAAGCAAACTTACGCAAAAGAAACCCCTCACGGGCCGACGAACCCCTCACCCCTCATGAGGGGACAAGCCCTAAACTGGTTAAACCTGGCCCGAGTTATCTAATTTATACTGTTAGCAGTTAGATCTGGCCCAGCGGGTGTCGAGCTGTCACCAACCGTCGGGTCCTAGATACGGCCTCATCCACTTTTGGCGCTAAAGGGCGGCCGGGAGGGAAAAATTTTATCTTGGGGGCTTTTCAGCGTCAGGATGTTTCTTTTTATTTCTGTCTCCAGTGACTCTTTTCTTCCTCTTCTCGTGTGCACCGTAAACCCCATCCCTCAGAGCCGGCTCTGTGGACATCTTCTTTGACCCCCTTTGGATCCTCCTCGCGGATAGCTTTACTAGCGCATCCTCCCTTATTCCCGGAAACTTTAATCTCACGTCCATCATCATGTCGAAGCCCGTCTACACCCTTGCCGAGGGTAGGTGACACGTATCCTTTCTCTTATCTGTCCAATGTCTCCTCTAACGATGTTCCTCCAGGCCAACCCCTGCCCAACCCCTCCGTCAGCACCACCCTGCCGACCTTTGGCGGCGGTGCCATCACCACCTTGGGTGATACCTTGCTGATCGAGACGTTGACCCATTTCAACCGGGAGCGGATTCCGGAGAGGTACGGCCGCCCTTCCGGCTGACCCACCGCTCATCGGCACTTTCGTCCACTAACCTCGTCAATTCATTCAACAGAGTTGTTCACGCCAAGGGTAATGGTGCCTGGGGTGAATTCCGCGTCACCAAGGACATCTCCCACCTCACCCACGCCAAGTTCCTCAACGGAGTTGGCAAGACCACCAAGGTGCTTTTCCGCGCCAGTACCACCGGTGGTGAGAAGGGTAGCGCAGATACCGTGCGTGATGTGCACGGCTTCTCCGTCAAGTTCTTCACCGAGGAGGGCAACCACGACATTGTCGGCAACCATGTGGTAAGTTGACTTGTTTCTCATGGACATCTGAGACATCGTCTCACCTGTAGTAGCCCGTCTTCTTCGTTCGTGACCCCGTTCGCTTCCCCTCCCTGAACCGGAGTCACAAGAGGCACCCTACCACCGGTCTTCCCGACATGAACATGGTAAGTTCAACCTCTTTAGACCACCATCCTGATTGTCGACCTTGCCGAATTAACTGGGTATCTAGTACTGGGATTTCCACAGCAACCAACCTGAGAGTGTCCACACCCTGATGCACGTCTTCGGCTCCCGCGGTCTGCCCCAGTCCGCACGCCGCATGACCGGCTTCGGTATTCACACCTTCAAGCTGGTGGGTCACGACGGCAAATTCCGCTACTGCAAGTTCCACTTCAGACCTGTGCTGGGCTCCCACAACTTCACCCCCGAGGAGGCCACTCGCATGGCTGGTGTCAACCCCGACTTCCACAACGAGGACCTCTTCCAGGCCATCCTGCGCGGTGACTACCCCAAGTGGAAGTTCTACATCCAGGTTATGGAGCCCGAGCAGGCTGAGACCTACGGCCGCGCCGTCTTTGATATCACCAAGGTGTGGCCGCACAAGGACTTCCCTCTGATCGAGGTCGGCGAGATGACTCTCAACCGCAACGTAAGTAGTGTTCTGAGCAGTCCTACTTTTTCTATTAGTGCCACTGTGCTAATGATAGCCGATCAGCCCGAAAATTTCTTCGCCGAGATCGAGCAGGCCGCTTTCTCGCCCTCCAACCTAGTGCCGGGTATCGCCGTGACCCCTGATCCTAGTAAGCTTTCTTCTTCCAAATTGTGTGATGTAGATGATGAGTCGAACTAATCCTCTGTAGTGCTCCAAGCGCGTATGTTCGCCTACCCCGATGCCCAGCGCTACCGTCTGGGAGTCAATTACACGCAGCTGCCGCCCAACCGGGCCATTTGCCCCGTGTATGCGCCCTACGAGCGTGACGGTCTGGCCACCATGGGCCGCAACTACGGTGGCGACCCGAACTACATCAAGAGCACCCTGACCCCTGGCGTGTTCAGCCAGTCGGTGCAGGAGGTGCGCCACCACGAGTGGCTGCGCTCCGGCGCGGTGCTGGGTCTCAACGAGATCCCCGTGGACGACGAGGACTTTGTGCAGCCCCGTGCCTTGTGGAACAACGTGTTCGATGAGGCGGAGCGCAGCCTCTGGGTGAACAACGTGGCGGAAGCCTTGGAGGGAGTGGTGCCGGAGATCCAAAAGGCCACCATTGCCATGTTCAGCCGGGTGGAGCCACAGATCGGCCAGAGATTGGAGGCTAAGCTGAAGAGCTCCTCCCGGTTGTAAATGGACAGCGGGAGCTTATAGATTATAGATACATAACGATAGACGATAGACAATATAGAGAGTGGTTCAAACAAGAGATGGTCCCTGAAACGTCAACCTGGTTGACTTGGGGGGGGGTCATGGTCCCGTGACCTCACCCCGCATAACCCCGCCAGTTACCCTTTGCGATCTGACCAGGATCAACAGCTTACTACAGAGCACTCAGCCATGGCGGTGCAAAGTCTACTAGATTCTAACCGATATAATCCCAGCCTGATGGACAATTCTCCACATCCAGCCGAACCGTCGATATGGTCCGCTCGGGCCGTGCAAGAGGCATGCCTGATGCGCTACTTCGTTGAGGAGCTGGCCCCTTGGGTAAGGTCTATTCCCTCAACCCTCAATAGCAACACGACCCCTGAAAATGTTGGATGAAGTTCGATTCCTGCGATGCTGGTAAACATTTTGCCCTTGTAATGCCCGATCGCGCGGCCCAGTGTCCAGCCTTGCTCTACGCTGTCTACTCGGCAGCTGCACGACATCTCGGCCGCTGGCAATCCACGGGGACCCGCCCGGTCGCCTTTGCGGGGAGACATCTCCCCAATCTTGGGGATGGCATGGCCCTTGCCTACCAGTCCCTCTGCATTTCCCATTTTGTGTCAGCAGATGACGCCGAGATCCACAACGTGGATCTGCTGGCAGCGTCCGTCATCCTGCGTTTCTACGAGGAATTCGACGGTTAGTCGGTTCGTTCAACTACATTACAGTCTGAATTGCTAACAAGCAGGAACCACAGCGGCCCTGGCTGGCGTTGACGGGAAAACCCATCTGCATGGCACCCAAGTGTTCCTCAACGCTCAGGGCCACGCTGCATTGCGCTGTGGCGGACTCCAACTGGCGGCCCTTTGGGTTGGCATCCGACAAGAGTTTCACAAGGCCTTTCTCGAACAGCGTGTCGCCGAGCTCGATCTGAGCTGCTGTGACGGGTCTGTCTATCGACAGTTGGGTTCTACAGACGATCCCACCTGGGCGAATCGAGTGGTGCTGCACTGTGTCGATGTGCTCCGGTATTGCTATCGCGAGGAAGGTCATGCTCGGTCGCAATATGAGGAACTGTGTGCCTACAACCAGCAATGGCAAGCTCTGACTCCGCCTACCTTCGATCCCTTGTATTGTCGACCCCCAAACACTGTCAAGGGGGAGATATTTCCTATTCTCTGGTATTTGGATGACTGCATCGGTGAGGGGTAGTCTTCAAAGGTCAGAAGTATCGACACTGACGACGCTTACAGTCACGGGTATTCAACATTGGCACCTTGCCCGTCTTCTCCTGACCGTATTCGACCCTACAGTGCCCCGCCTTGGGCCTGGACGCAAGGCAGCCATCGCACGAAGAGAGGTATTGCATGTGATTTCCGTTGGTAGTCGAGCCTGATCGCTAACTGCGATAGGCCGAGGTCAAGCACCATGTGTTCAGTCTTTGTGGGATAGCCATCTCAAACAAAACCGCTCCAGCACTCGTTTCCGCCTGCATGGGAGTATCCATGTGTATGCTGTCTTTTCTTCATGGCAAAGAGATTCTCTGATTGACTAATGAATTCCAGGTGGTGATCGCATGACCGATAGACGGGAGCAAGAGGCCCTGCTCGATATCTTGCTCAAGACCGAGCAGATTCATGGACTAACTACAACCCATGCACAGAATTCTCTCCGGGCGGCCTGGGAATGGGATACTACAGTCTCGCAAGTGCCATCCTCTAATCACAACACCTGACAGGGTTCTTCGGCCGGGAATTGCTCTTGATTCCCAGAAATGCACCTATGGTTGCGTCGTCACAATTGGGTGATTGTAAACTGTAAATCAGCTCTGTTGCACCTGTTGAAACCTTAAGAGCCTCTACCCCACCCAGTAACCCTACACTGGTGTGCAGGATAGCTTCGGGTCGACTCCACGATATTGCGCCGATGATCTGCTGTCCATATCGTCTCTGTGGCCTTGCGAGACTTTCCGTCGATGTGATTGCTATTATATCAGCCATATCACCCCGCGAAGCCATCGGTTGAACGCCGCATAGCATTTCTCTCAAGCGCTCTGCGAGCATGTGAGACTCGAGTCTGAAGTTCAAGTGTACTAGGTTTAAACCTTCCAGTCCACCCATAGTAGTCACATTGTCAACAGAACAGCCCCGACCTGCCTCTCCAACTCAGCCATTTCCAGCCCTGCAACAGCATTGGCCAGTACATATAGCTCTTTAACTTTAACTTGGCCTTTATACTTCGCCTACGATAGTCTCGTTACACTATGGCAAACCTCTGCCCAAAGGATCAATGGCAGGTAACCTGCGCATCATTCACGGTCCTCCAGACAATGGTGTGACGATTACGACACACTGTCCATGTTTGCAGCAGGGTGCAGAAGGTTTAACTTGCTATATAAGCATGTGCTTATCACACGTCCCACATACCCCTGGGTGTGTGCCCTTCAGACGCCCTTGTACTTGAGCAGCTACACTGCAACCTGCATCTACACCTGATCAGCATGTCTGATTTCTTGGCCTGGGCCTTGATAGTCCTTACGACCACGGCACTCTTCAAGCAGGTCTACGGTTACCCAGCCCTTCAGCCGAATCTACCGCGACCACCAGTCACCCCTACCCTGCCTGATCTTTCGCCACTGGCAGCTGACGATGTTGAATACAGCCTCGCGGACGATGAGAAAAGACCAACCACCAGCAGCCTAGGCATCCACTACGGTGAATGCTACTATATCAAAGACGTCAACAGCGGCAAGACACTCGGATCGGATGGCGGCATATACAGTTACTACAGGTTCGGAAGCGCACGACGAACCTTCCAAGTGTGGAACACGCGATCATTCCCAAGCCCCGCCGATGCAGATTGGAAGTATGCAGTGCGCGATGGCGGCAAGTTCTTCCTGTGGGATCCGCAGGGCAGTACCCAGACGAATGGGGGCAGTTGGGTAGCGACCAATCTAGGCGGCTACACCTATCCCGGCTTCGGCGGGTACTGGTACTATCTGCATTTCAAAGGTCAACGGGCGCATACGCGGCCTCATCGGGGGACAGCTGTGACGTTGGGGATTGCTCAGGTTGAGCCTCCCTCTCCGTTGCCGAATTATCGCGGTCTCAAAGTCTCAGGTGATTATGTATTGAATGAGGACAACGAAGATACTATCGATGTTATCTTCGTGTCGACAGGTTGCCATGATGATGATAATGATGTCGTCGATGTGTAAATGGAGGCTAAGTAAGCCTTGCAGCCAATTGATGGTGTGGCACGTATGGGTGCACCCGAAGGAGCAAGCCTGGCTCTCTCCGGCTCTTATGATCATGTTGCCCTGAAAAGTTTGCTCCGCCAAAGGAAAGTTCACTGTCAGAAAGGCAAAATTGATTCGCGAAAAATATGTGCCAAATTTCCCATGACCTGTAGCGATGCCCATCAACAATCCGAAAGTATGAGAGAATCCAGCCCAGTCTAGATCCAGCCTAGTCAAATATAGATATTATGAACGTGATACATTTCCCAAATTACTCGTGAATATCGTCATCAACTCGCTCGGTCATCATCTTCACTCGTCGAACTCATCATCCATGTATTGGTCTTCCTGTGCCCGCATTGCCTGCATGAGCATCGCCTGGAATATGCTGTTACCCCCTTCACGGAGACCCAGTAAGCCATATTCATCAGTCATATCGTAGGGGTCATCATCAGAGTAGTCGTCGAGGTCGGAGTCGCCAGCGATATTTTGCGGACAGTCCGGATAAGGCAGGATGTCAAAATCAACGGACGTATCCTTAAACATGTCCTTAATGCTAGTATAACACTGCTCCGGTGTCTGGCCAAATGGGATCTGCTGACCCGGGAGTTTGACGGGGTCGGTGATGTCCACGGCGAGCATCTTGACGCTCTTGAGTGCGGGAAGGCGTCCCTGGCGACGCTCCTGTGCCAGATGCTCGGCCAAACCTCGGACGGAGAGGTTACAGTCCTCGACAATGAGCTTTTCGAGGGTGAAAGGGAACTGGGGCTGCGGCGGCAGGAATGCTTGCTGGACGGTCAGTCGCCGGAGCACGGAGAAGTCGCGCAGCGGGCCGATCTTCGCCTGGCGGGCCACATAATCCTGGATGTTCTCTCGCTCCCAGGGTTCGCGGTTGAAGGTCATTGTCAAGTCTTCTAGGGTGTCTTTGTGGGGTAGGACTGCGGCTCTTAGTTCGGGAGCAGTGGGTTCGCGAACGGGGCGGAGGTTATGAGGTTGGTCCTCAGGGTCGGTAGTAAAGTTGTCGTAAGTGAAGGAGGTCACTGTGCGGCATGCGCGCAGTAACTTGGTGACAGAGGGGGCATCGAGGTGGCAGAGGCGTAGGCCGATCCGGCTCATGGTCAGAGACTGTGGAGTCCAGCAGGTGGGGAACAGGTCGTCACTGAGGTGGGCTTCTTCAATATCTATCGAGCGTAACTGGAGCCGACTGATCATCTCCTCATAGAAAGCAAGCGGGTAGCCCTTGAGAAGATCGTCGCCCTCGAACCACAGGTCCTCAAGTTTCGACAATACGGCAGGATGGCGCTTCCAAGCTTGTTGGAGTGGCTTCATGGCAAAGTAACCTCCCGCCAATGTCAACATGCGGAGGTTTGGAGCTTTCAAGATAAGCAAGACGACCATAAGACTGTAGTCAAACTCCTCCTCCTTCAATACACTCATCCAGTCGCGCTCGTCCTCCTTGTCCAAGCGGAGATCACGTATGGATGAAGTAAAGAGCTTTCGGTCGTTGGCAGTCAGGGGCCGCGGGCTTTTATGAAAGACATGATGATCGTGGTCCGGAAGAACGGAGAGGCTGCGGATATGTTCGCCTAGGCTGGGACGACGGAGGACGGCACGGGTGATGGAAACGAGATTTCGCAGATCGCCAGGGAAGCCAGACAAGTCAACATGCTCGAACAGCAGGGGCTGGGCGAGTTCGCGGAACAAGTGGCACACCCGACACAGATTGTACAAATCGATGATTTCCTGGATCTGTGCGCTCACTCCCTTCCCATTGTTCCCCGGATCCTCCTCATCAGTCTCGTCAGTCTCATCATGATCATCCTCGGCGACCCAAGGAGGGCGTGGGAACAGTCTATCGGCAGGGGGTTGTTGAGATTTGGTCTTAGCGTTTTCATCGGGAGACTTGGTGGTCTGATCCTGCGGGTTGGAAGGATCGCTATGGGCAACGGAGGAAAAAATCTGCAGAAGCAGCTCCCCGGGAAGGTCTTGAATGTGAACCATGGTGTTCAAGAAGCTGGAAAACTGAGATGACGGGACCAGCAGCACTAAAGGCCGCCGAAACAATAGAGATGAACAAGAAGGACAATCAAGATGGGAACATTGACACCAGATCAGAGAGGAAAGCAAGCTTAGTACCTATACGGAGTACCTGAGCTGCCAACTAGAAAGACGGTGAAAAGATGAATATTTATCAAGAAACGCGTCGCGTAGGAGATAAATTGATTGATCAACTCGTTATTTTGGGATTAATTGACTTCGTGACGCGTGGGTCACGGGACTGGCAGAAACTCCCCACCGCTCTGGTGTCTTGGTGCCTCATCGCCTGATTCTTGTATTCCATGACTATACCAACTAGTAGCACTGTATCGGTTTGATACATCTGGAGTAAGTATGTCAGTAATTGCTCGTGACAGGGGTTATCTGGCAACTAACGACTAGGAACGGGGAACCAAAACTGGGTCCCTTATTTAACTTCTGACACTCTTGAATTCCACTCCGCAGTCAATTATTGCAGGAACCTGGGTTCGTTAGGACCATTATATATATTCAACACTACTACTCTCTATCATATTACAGAGTTCAAGTTCAACGATACCCCGGCAGTTGGGTTCACTAAGGCACCCAGTGATAGGACTGGAGTACCTTTGATCTGACATGTAAGACAAACAAAATGTCATATAAGTAGTAGTACCTGATCATGAACAAAACCCCGGTTCATGACGTCATCACGTGTCCTGCCCCCGCCCTGCTTTGTCTATCTACACCCTCATCCATCCCCTATAAAGTCTGTCACTGATCATTATCCCTCTCTATAGTACTTCAATACTAGTAGTGATACTTTGTCTATATTCACCCTTATCTCATTTTGATCATGCCCGACTTTTACCCCGCTCTCCGCAATCGCCGCAACAACGAGCTCGCCCGTCTGGCGGAGGAGCATCTGCAGCATGACCTGCGCTCTGAAGACCGCGACGCTCTCACCACGGCCACACAAAAGGTCGCCTGGTGGACGACAATTGGCTCAGCCGTTGGTCTTGGACTCGGTCTTTATGCTGCCTTCCGTCTAAGAAGTTCACGCAAGGCCTTCTTCGAGGTCTTTCGCGCCCGCGAAAAGCCCACTCACGTTGTCTTTGCCGGCGGACGTTCTGGTATTCACTAATTCCAGTGCTCCTTCTACTAGAATGCTGTATACTGACATTGTTGCAAAACAGAGCCTATCCCAGATATTACTCCCCTGCTGAAACCCACCACCATGGGTGATTTTACCACCTATTTCTTTGCTAGCGCGGGAGGGTTCTTCTTAGGCGGCGAACTTGGTAGGTTTCTGCATCTGAACGATCCCACTACCCTATTTAGAGGGCTTCTACTAAGTAATCACCCCACTGTAGGTTTCTTGGGAGGAGCATGGAGTGGAAGTCGCTGCATCACGGCGGATCCCGATCGAAGGCAGAGAATCGAGACGGCCTTCCGAAAATTCCGGGCGGAGGTACTGCGCAAGGAGGCGGACGAACTTGATCGAGGGCTAGATGTATCCGATCAGATGTTTTGATCGAGTGACATCGTGAGATGGGAGGAATGAAAAAGGATACGCTCTTTTGTTAACGATTTTGAGAAGGCGACCACCCTACGACGGCTTGCCACCACTAGTATGATCCGCTATCAGTTGATATGACGAGCGAGACGATTGTATAACTACGAATGTAATCGAAGTACTCTCAAACCAATCAAATCCTTAACTCCACCGGGTTTTCTTTTTTTTTTTTTTTTTTTTTTTTTTTCTTTTTTGATATATGACCTGCAGCAGTTAACAACCCCGCGGCCACAGCCAGCGAAGCCATTCTCGAGCACATGTCTTCCAGCTTCCCGAGAAATAATGCTTAACCAGTACATCTGGTGAAGTCTGATCTTCGCCCTGGAGGACAGCAAAGGATCGTCGTGGAAGGATGATTACGTCGCGAACGCGAACCACCTCGTGGAGATCGCGGAGCTGCTGAATCTGCTCGTCATCGCACTGTAGATATCCCAGCACCGCATCTGTCCACGCACTGGGACCAGTCCAGCTCATCACGTCGATGTCCGCATCAGCCTCTGCAGTCTGAGTGGAGATATAGTGGGCTGTGCGGTCAGTAATGGACTGCAACACGTCACGAAAGATGGGGTGACCAGGAACGGATGCCATGGTCCACTGAACAAACTGCGGAGATCGGGGCAGGCCAGTTGTGGCGGCATCGCCCTCCAGGCCCACAATCACAGCGGGTGGTTCATCAACACCATCTTTGACTGCACCCATGATTGGCCACGGCAACGGGTGGAGGAGGTGGACATCGAGGTCATTGTAAATCCCACCCCGCCCGAATAAGATCAAGTAGCGGCAAAAGTCGGATTTCAGGATAGGAGCGGGTAGGGCTTGGAATGTGGCTGCGTATGACCCAGTATCATCGAGTTCCTGCGCAAGTTCGTAGCAGGAAGTCTCCCTCCAGTACTCGACTTTCCATCCTGATTGGAGCCACGAGATGCTATGTCTGTCCGGATAGAAGCCGGATCCGCGGGATCCTGATGTCGAGATGAAGAGTTGGTGGACTGTCTGTGGAATGGCAACCTTGAGAGGGTTGATAGTGACAGGGTCTTGCTGTAGAAGCGCCTGGGACTGTGATTGTGTGAGGTAAAATGCAGCGAGCAGGCCAAGCAGGACGATTGCCTGGGTAACCCACAGGCAGCGACGCCGCATTGGCAGGGCTGGAAATGCGAGCTATAACGCTGGACCGGTAACCACGCCTTTGTCAATCAGCACATCGGCGAGACATGGCCTGACAAGTGGGGGAAAAGCTTTCATGACCGATTCTCTTGCGTTGGACCATGGGGACTATTTAAAGTCTTGAATAGTTCTTCCTCAGTGGGACAGCGACCCACCCGGCATGTTGCGGAAAGGATGCACTTTGTCTGCGCGCATATGAGAGAGAGCGAGAAAGAGAGACGGAGGCGAGGGTTGGCGTGGGGATGAGTTAAATCCGTTGCATTTAGTCTGCGGAGGGTTGTTCTGTCGCTTATGCTGAAGTTGCAGGCTGATTCTATTTCATCAGAGTACAATGATGCCTTGCTGTTTTGAACTCGAATCCATCTTCAAGGTGAGGGCGTATCCCTGTCAGCTTCTACCCTGAATGCTCTCTCACATGCACGATGTTCCGGGTAACCAACCCACTAACGAAATAGCTCCCCACTCGGCGTCGGCACCAATTCACTCCTCCAATCCGCCATCACCATTGCCCATGCCCAGACTTACTAGTGCCCCAAATATGTCCCTGAACCATCCACTAACAAAACTGCCCGTCAGGCAGACGAATTAGGGTTGTGGCCGGCGCCGACAATGCTTTCAGGACCAGCCAGTCGGAGCAGCACCGAAGGACGCCTACTGCTACGAGGATCAGGTGGGATATCAGCCATTGTGGTGTATTAGCGGCTATTCATCGGGTGCGGCTGGACTGGTGGCGTGCTAGGTACCGCTAGGATGAAGCCTAAAACAAGGTCGTTGGAAACAGGAGAATCAGAACAAGTTTGGACAAATTGCGGAACCTGCAAGGTAGTACTTCATAGTAACATCAGCCCTAGTGCCCAACAATCCTTCATCGTGATGAAGTTTATTTTCCTAGATGTGTCAAAGACTCGCGGGCTGTTTTTTTTTTTTTTTTTTTTGAGCCCAAATGCAAGAACCAAATTTTCGCGACGCTATGCAATGCACCGCAGAGAATCTCTGCAACCATTTCCACCCAGCAGTAGCCACCCACCGAGTGGACCAACCAGGATAGAGTAGTAGTCATAGTCGTAGTTGATAATGGCAGCAGTAGTATATACATTCCGTACACAGGGGGGAGGGAAATAACATGCAATGAACAAACAGGTAGTAGGTACGAGTAGATGCCGGCTAGAGGAGAAAACCAAACCATAGACGCAAAACAAAATCATGACATGAAAAACCATTCCTCGGAACTCATCGAAAATGACCCATTAAACACCAATTCAAAACCGCAAAGTCGAATACCCCAGAACAGCCCAGCTCGATCTGGGAGATTAGCAGAGAGGGAGACGAGTGTGGATCCCGTGAAGAATCCGCCGGGTACCGGAAGGACTCAACCCACCCTTAGGTGGAGGCGTTGTTGGCGCACGTCCAGCTAGCAGAGGAAGAGCTGTCGTGAATGGCCTTGCCAGAGACGTAAAGACCCAATCCGCACTGGTCTTGTTAGTATCAATGTACAATTGTAGAACGGGAATAGAAAATTTGACAACATACAATAGCGCAGGCAATTGCAAAGATGACGAGGTTGACAATGGTCAAAAAAATCTTTCTGGGCGAGGCAGTATACTGTCCACGGTTCATGACCAACCAGAACATGGCAGGGAGTCCGTCTGAAATGAAACGATAAGCCTGGGGTTCCCCAGAAAAGGCGGAAAGGGTGAGAAGGGGAACTTACAACTGAACCAACTGCCGAAGAGAGAACTCTGCAATCACAACATCCGTTAGTGACATCACATTTACCGCACGTCTCAGGGGCTAGGATAGCATACGATCAAACTCAACAAATCATTGAAGACGGGGATCGACTCGGCAATGACCCAAGCAATCACCCACACGCCCAGTGCAATGGCGACCCAGGATCCGACAGCCGAAAGACTGTTGGTGTGCATCTGGGGAGAGCCGCGCCAGACGCGGACGTAGATATACTTGGACGCGACATGACCGAACACAACTCCGGCAATGATCACCTACCACCGAGAGTATATTAGTACGCAAAATCGAAACGAGATATGGAGGAGACACTCACAGTAGGAATGGCAAGGCCGTATGCAACCTTGCTCATCAGCGGACCGGCAGAGGACAGAGCCGGGGAATCAACGTCCGGACCGGCGTAGCGGTAAATGACCATGGCGGTGACGATGTACATGGTCGTATCGGTGACCTGCAGCATAGCCAGCGACTTGGGGAAGTCGCGAGGATCCTCCATTTCCGAGGCAAATCCGAAGAAGGCCACGTGAGCAACTGCAGAGCAAGGATTAGGAAGGACGCCCCGAGAAAAGATAACAAAATGCACAAGGACATACTGAAGGCGAAGACGATGTTGGTTACTGATAGGAAAGCGGTCGAGAAGCTAGGATGGGTGGTGATGTCAACCTGAACATGATCAGGTGCTTGCACGGCGATGGCCACCATGGTGACGATCGTGGCAACTGTGATACTGGTACAAGCTGTTGAGAAGGTCGTCAGTCTCGGTCTGAAAACCAAGCAGCAAAGAGGGGGGTTTGGGCTGGACATACAGGCAAGAGACATCCAATACACCTTGCCCATGGTGCGAGGCAGGGCACCGATGAAGCTGACGACCAAACCGACGACACCGAAGACGATGGTGCAGGTGCCATGACCAGTGATGGTGTTGAACAGCACGGTGAAAGTGAGAATGTGACTGGACATCAAAAAGATGCAGAACAGCAATTGGCCGAAGAATAGGATTTCGCGGCCAATGCGGCCAAAGAGGATTTCTCCTGCATCACCCATGCTGTGGACTTGGGGATAGCGCAGCTTGAACTGGCCGATGACATAGCCAGTGTACCAGGAAATGCCAGACAAGCCTAAGATGAGGAAGATGGAGCTGAGCGATGCATATTAGCGAGGGTACAGAATAGAATGAAAGTTGACAAAGTGGAAGCACTCACGGGACAATTCCGAGAGTCGCCACGGCCGACGGCAGGGACAGAATTCCCAGGGAGATATTCTCCGCGATCATCACTATCACATTTCAGTTTAGACAATATTTCCTCACCCTTGATGGTGTTTGTGTTTGGGGGGAAGCCACGGGGAGACTTACATATACCACAGTGCCACCATTTCATGACACGGTACTTGACCTCACCACACTCCTCATTGCCAAAAGGGTCATTTTCCGGGGGGGATTCATGGGCGGAGATCTTCTTCTCGGCCAGATCATCAGCCATGATGTCGGAGTCGTGGTGGACGGCGAGAGCCTCAGGATCCCGGGTAGTGGGAGCCATGGCGAGAAGAAGAAGGGAGCGGAGCGGAGAGGTGGTTGTAAGTTGTCAAGCGGAAAGAAGATAAGAGGCGCTACACTAAGAGAAGGAAAGAAAAAGGAAGGGGAGAGAGGAGAGAGAAACAGGAGCAAGACAGAGAGGAAGGGAAAGGGAAAAGAAAGAGAAAAAAAAAAGATAGAAGAAGTTTGATGGTAGCGGAGGGCTGCAGACAGACACACCGGGGGAGGGCTATACGTATTATGGGCGGGCTGACGGGGAGTGGAGGAAAGGCTGGCCTTTGCTTGACTAGTAGACTAAATAGCAAAGTAGCAGTAGGGTGCACCGTAGTATCTAGCACGTAGCACGTAGTTATCTACCGTTGGTTATTATTAAGAAGCTGCGGGTTTAGGCTTTTTCTGCATTTCACTCAGATTGTGGGGGGGAAAAGAAAAGAAAAAACGAGGATGAAGTTTCGCCCGTGGCCACAGCGCGGTGGAGCCATCCCCGAGCCCGATAATCAATCTCCTTACGTTAAAGGCAGACTAAGTCTGTCTGTCCGGTGGTTCAGTTGGGAAGGCAGAGCGAATCACACTGGAGAAGTCGGGCTGGATTTCCCCCAGAGTATCACCCGCTGGGTTGATCACTCCAACGGAAAGTCGTTACCTGGAGAAATCCATGACGGTGAACTGTTTGACGTGAGGTGACGGTCGCAACATCGAAGCGGATAGAGTTTGGGGCACCCCAGGCGTTTCCTGATCAATCATCCATCATCTCCAAATGCTAGTACGTACTTAATAATTTTTAGACTGCTAACTAGACTACCAGGCTAACTAATGCTGCGGTTATGCATGTGCCATGGGTAGGTAGGTACTGGTGTAATATCTGATTGCGGTAAGAACTCTGAAAAAAAAGTTATGCTTTCAACCAAGATGCCCCCGTTGCTGGTGGATTCTACGTAGCCCGGTGTACCTGATGGTAATAGTGTGTATATTTCCAGGCTGGTTATCTCCTGTTGCTCTTTCTAGAACTACGGTGTGCACCAGTTATGAATCATTATCCATCGTAATCATGACAATCGAAGAGGTATGTACCATGTATAATAATCATGATAATGAAGAGGAGGTAAAATAACAAGAAAAGCGAGGGTTAGTAAAAGAGACAAATTGACGAAAACGGACAAAAAGGCGAAACAAGTTGAAAAGAGAAAAGATTTTATTAGTAGTGAGGAAAATGAGAGAGGGGCACATGGAGGTTTCTGATTGGCCTTGAGTGCTAAGCTAACTGAAAAGGGTTGTTCACTAGTTCAAATCAGGACATGCAGACGCTGGCTGCTGAGTCAGGATCTGGGCGATGAAGGGGCAATGGTTCCAATAATTATTGTCCATCATGGAATGAATATATGAGCAGCTGAAGCGAAGGGAGGTTTTCATTATTTATTGTTTACTTATCCGCTTGGTCAATGATTTGACTCAACAATGGGCCTCGATCTGACAGGAATCTGCACAAGGACTCTTAACCTTCACCGGACCATTGATTTCAGCTACATTCTTTTCCTTAGTGTACCGAACCCAACGTAACCACTATACAACTAGAAAATAGAAATCAATAAGTGTTTAGTGAACTGTTGCATTGACGGTCCTTTTTTTTTTTTTCCTCTTTCCTTTTTTTCCTCCTTGGCTCGTCTATCTCAACCACGTGGAACCATGCCAGTCTGTAGGGTTAGGACCAGGGCGCTGGTAATTCTGGGGAAATGATGGCGATATGACCAAACTAGGTGATTATGATTTTCATAATTAATATCGCCGGCTTTTACACGGATGGTTGATAATGCCCTTTTGATATACTGATAAGGGAAAAGGCGAGTGTGTATATGTTGGAAGATTTGGTCGTTGATCCGGTTCCTGGCCGGTTAGCCGGACCCTTCATTTCCTTACCCACGAGTACTAGTGATCTAACTGGATAGATAGCCGGTAGACAGGAGCACTACTACTCCATACTGCGTACCTCTCAATTTTCCAGCTCCCCCTTCCCGCCTTCTAGAATAAGTGTGTTAGGGCTTGGCTATGGTTATCCCCGGAACCAAACAGTAAGCAAGGCAAGAAGCGAAGAGGAGAAGCAAGAGAGAAACCGAGAAAACGATCGATCAAGACAAACCAGCCAGCTCGGGATTCCGGGGATTAGACGGGCTCGCCAGTTAGCTCGTGTCGCTTCCCCATTTCCCTGATGTTCCCTGATACAATTGGATCAGAATGTCACACTCCCCCCCATTTGTTTCCTTCTTCCCCATACTTTATACGACTAAGTACTAATCCCGATGTGTTTCCTCATGGTCAACCTCAACCCGAACCAACCACCGGAAAGGAACCCGGCCCGGCTCCGGTACCACTGCCGGTGGATCTGTCTTGGCCCTAAACCGGAGTATGAGTAAGTATGTATCTTGATAGATACTGTACCTCTCTCCACTCTCCAGATACGTCCCTTCTATGTACTAACTGTTGAACATAATCGCACTATCTATCTTCCTATCAAGTCTGCTTACCCACTGTAGATGATCGAATAGAAATTCCCACTTTCCCATCAGGCAGCTCTGCCGACCATCAAGGCCAAGGCTGGGGTACAAAGTCTACATACATAGTTAGGCAACTACCGGCTACAAAATCTTATTACACACACTGAGGCTATGCCACGACATTCCGATGATGTCTTCAGTGGCAACAGCTGTATCCCTCTTTTCTTTGGCCAGTGTAGAGCTATCTCCCCGACGCACCCGGGGGTTCATCCAGGCCCACTCCGGCCCCCCCGCGCCCGTGTGAACTCATCCCCAGGTCGAAGCCTCGCTCGCTCGCTCATCTGCCTGGTCCGCCGATGTAACAAGCGGCCATAGGATTGGCCGTTGTGTCCGTGTCGGATGTCCTGCACTTGAATGTCGCCTCCTGGTCGTGTATGGCCGCCATTCTCCCGAAGTGAAACTTGCATTCGCCGTGAGCGAGCGGCACCCACGGAGACCGCGTGTCCCACGTTCGGCTCGTCCCTCTTTATCCCGTCGAGGAGGGTCCTTGTACCTTGTTATTACAGATGGACGATGGTTCTTCCATCAATGATCGTCGTCGCTGAAGCCGGGGGTGAGTAGCTCGTGGAGAGATGGGAGGGGGTCGAGGAAGGAAAACTGCGAGTGATCAGCCGCGATGAACCGATGTGAAACCGCCGTCCCCATCCTTGCGTCGGCCGATTCGCGTCTACTTACTAGCTGGACTAGATAGTTGCCACCAACCAGGCTGTGGAGGGCCCCCTCGGTGACCTTCCGGGGCAGGTCACCCGGCTCAGAGGTCCATTCGATCTCTGCTGACCGTCGTGATCTACCCCCAGCATCTGCCATCGACTGACTGGAGAGTATTTGTGGACTAACTGGACATTCATCCATCGGGACACACAATCAATAAGGATGAAATTCGGTCATCTACCAGTCAGCTCCAATAGTGAAGTGGCAGCCAGGGAGGGAGAGGGGGGGGGGGGGGTGCCTCACTTTGTGTGTAGGATATGGTGATCGACTCCGATGATGTCGGTTTCCCCCGGTCGTCTCTCCTCCTTCCCTTCACATTTCGCCGCTTTATCCCCCGGGGGATGGGCCTGAGCACTTGTTATCCCTTTGAACGTGTTGAATGAATTCATTGAGAATACCGGATCTCACATTATGGTCGACGAATGCTGCCTGGTTGTCAATGGAACAGTCAGGAAGCCACGGCGAAAGTCTTTCGTCGAAGTAGGGCACATTGTCACGAAGGGATGCATATGATTCCCGTTCTGACAAAGGAAACAGCTGTCGGAGATGGAGTTATCGAGCTCGTGCTAACGTAAAAATATCAACTAGCCCAAACGCCGCCGTATGATGGCGCTCTCAAGGGATTTCAGCCGCTCTTCCAGAAAATCCATTCTTCATCCAACCTCATCTGCCCGCGGCCCAATCCTACTTGGAGATATATACGAGAACGACCTGAACAGCCTCCTTGGCCTCAGTGCTGCTGACCGTTGCCCCGTTTCGGTAGACAGCTGATCGATCCATCGTCACTCACGGGCAAGTCAAAGCACCTACGAGCGTCCACGGGCAATAGCACAAACGCCCTCAGTATCAGCCAAACCTTGTCGGCACGGGAAACTGCTTCCCCGGGGTCACACAGCTGGTTCTTCATACCAATGGCCCCTCGCCCTCTTGCCGTTCGGTGAGACCCGGAATACCAGTTACGAAGGTGGCGTCCCCCATCTCTATTCCGCCGAAAGATCAACAACACACTTGTTTCCCTTCGGATGAAACATCCTGACCGCGTTGTCTAGATCATCATAGGCCGGACCTCGTGGCGTTCCTGACGGTGTCGTGTACGGACACGTAGCAGACCGGACGACCACAAGACCACCCCCTGATTCAGATGATAGTAAATTTGGGAGCAAAAGCATGGTACCCCCCACTATCTTCGGAAGAATCGATGAGCGGATATCCAAGAGAATAACTGTCTGATGCCAATGAGGTGGCTGACTGGTCCTAGATGTGTTTTCCGTCATCAATCCAGGATGCTGGACCGGAAGCAGCGTTGCCGATGGCTAATTCACAACTGGACTATTGCAAGAGGCTGACACAGAAGCCAATAAACCCTCCCCAAACACGGGTCGTGGGACTTGAAACGGACTTTGGACTGACGAGAGAGGTTCAGGCAGGGAGAAAAGAGAAAAAAAAAAAAAGAAAAAGAAAAAGAGCACCGGCCTTGTATCCAATAAGTTCCTGCCCCACAAGAAAAGATGCAATACAGTAGGTTGAGGTAGCTGCTCTACACGGAGAGTAGCGGAATACGGAGAGTTCCAGCTTACACGGAATTGACTTGATATGACCTTTTAAATGTCGGAACTAACAACCGACAGACACCGGCTTGATGGTATTGATACTGTCTGCAGCAGGCATGGGACTTGTGTACCGATCGTGATTTTAGCAATCATTATGCCGATCAAGGAACGGGCCAATGCCGGCAAAAAATAATCGCGAGTTTGATAGCAATTTGGTATCGTATGCCATCCTAGTGAAGCAATCAAATTCACTATAAACCAGCAAATAGTACAACAATACCGAAATTACATCTGCACACACACACGCACAGACACACGAATGGCCCTCAAGCTCGAACTGAGCAGCTCTCGGTACTGAGTAAATTAAAATCATCACATAACAATCAAGAGGAACGGCGATACAATAGTAATTGGAAACCAAAACCTACATAATACCCGGAAAAAAGAAAGAAAGGAAAAATCAGAAATCAGACACAGAGAGCTGGCTCTTGTTACGGATGAATTGGATGAGTGGAAGACCAACAGCCGATGTATATCGTTCAGTCCCGCCAGAAGGTCTTCCTTAGCCGCGGCGTCAGTTGCTCCAGAGTGGGGGTCTTCTGCTTCTCTCTTTTTTCCTTGGAGTCGTTGTCGGCATCGGGTGCGTTGGATATCTGAGACTCAGAGGGGGTCTCGGAGACCACAGACTTGGAAACGGGTTTGGAATCCGTCTTTGCCTTCTTATTTCTGGACTTCGTCTTGGTGGACTTCGTCTTTCGGGACATCGCCTTGGATTTGGTACTGGTCTTCTCCGGGATTACCTCGCCCACCACTTCCGCCGGGAACATTTGGTAAGGCGAGCGCTTCGCAAACTGACCAAACGATTGCATGTCGGCATAGGCGAGTCCCGGGCGAGCAACAATGAGGCTGCGACCCCCCTGGGCAGGTGCAAAGCCTCGAATGCGGCGATCATTGATGAAGTGATAATAGTGCGAGGTCATGCGGTCATCCTCGTAGTCAAAGACCGGCAGCTCGGGTAGGCGAGTTATCACAGAGTTGCCGTAGATCCCACCCTCGGTGTAGAGGACTGTCTTAACTGCCTCTTCAAGGAGGTCCTGAAGCGCGTCGTTGCGGTCTGCTATCACAGCCTCATCTTCCAAAGGGCGAAGAAGGAGTTGGAAGACCCTGCGCCCAAGAAGTTCATCTCTAAAAGCAGTTATCAATGTCTTACGGCGGGCAAAATTGCTCCGGGCAAGTTCTGTGTCATGAGGCACGCCGACGAAGGGGCTGTTCGCATTGGACTCCGATATGACCAATGATTTCAAGCATGCTGCACCAAAGCCAGTTGCTGCACGTAGTCTATCATACAGATGCTGAAACCGTCGAGGGAACTGAGGATCACCTTCGACGTCGGTAGAATCGATCCTGCCATCCATGAACCAAAAGGGAGATTCGATAAATGTTGCGAAGATGAATTGATAAAGCATTGCTTGGAGTAGAACACCACACAGATTCCCGCGAACTGCCGGCGGAGATAAAGCTCTGATACTATCCCAGTCGTCCTGAACGCACTGGCCCTGGAGGCTGGCAATGATGTCCTGTTTATCGTCTTTCGAGAGATGCTGAACCTTTTTTTCTTGGCTCCACTGCCAAGTCCAGCTCATCACTGCGATGTGCAGTTTGTTGAACATGTCATGCATGACAGTGGGATAACCTCGCCTGTATGAAGGTTGGTCTTGCATGTCGTACATCTGGCTCAAGACGTCATGGAATTCTTCCCGTGTGCAGAAATAGGAGGCAAGGCCGTAGATGTGGGTTGAGGCTGGGTCGTTGGGATTCTCGTCGCCTGATGTGCTGGAAGCCTCATCATCTGGGTCGGAGGACTCGTCGTCGTCCCTAACATGCTTGAGTATCTTACTATTACGAGTGGTGACCATGGCTGTGCGAGAGGAGAAACAGAAATCCGAGAAGGTAACAGATAGGAATAAGATAGAAAAACGGAAACCGAAAAAAAAACAAATAGAAGAAAAAAACCGAAGTGAGTTTAAGAAGAGATGCAGAATTCAGTGAGACTGAGTACAGATAAACTTCAGGCACGGAGAAACACAAGTTGACAAAATGACTGGGAGACAGGGTGGAGAGGTAAATAAGCTCATTTGATAGAAAGGATGGAAAAAGGAAGAAGAGAATCCAGTAAGTAAGGAGGTGAGCTGGGGTTTAAAGAGAAAAGAAGAAAAGAAAGATCCAATACTTGTTAGTATTGCTGATGTCCTTTCCAGCCTTTGAAAGACCCCCTCCCCCCTTCTTTATGGCTTTCTAAGCGTATATTTGGTATTTTACACACCCCTTTTCTGGACCATTTCTGGTTGTTTATGTTTTTGGGTTTCCGTTCATTGCCAGGGGAAAATCAAAGGACAGTATGTTACCACTTTTACCAGTTGACTTGTTTGCTTTTTCGGATACGATTTCGTTCCCATTCTAGACCACGCCTCCGGTTCCCGTATTGAACCTTCATTGAAGAGTTTCAACCGGGAAACCTTCTTTGTCCGGGATCCATTCGGGGCGTAGCCGGGAAAGTCTATACACTCATCGTAGACTCAAGATGGCGGAAACAGAGCCCGAAATACCAACACGACGGGATCAGAGAAGTAGAGAAGGGAGAGCAAGACAGAGTGACAGAGAGAGACATGGCTAATGAGCTGGACTGGTCTCTAATTCATTTTATTGCATAACGCCATGCTAGAAAGTGCCAGGAATTCGAGAGACCTGAAGCTCATAAATTGAGCGAGCCTAACAGCGTGGTGATTCCCTTCTCAACTCATAATTCTATCCAATCTACTGCATATCCTTAGGGTCAGTAGTACTGACACGCACCATCTTTGTTCCTGTGCTCTCTTACTGAATCGCAACTTGTTACCTTTCATTGGGACAACCTTTACTCTCACAATGAACAACCAGGACCGTCTCGTCGTTGGATTGGACCATGGTACGAGCAAAACGGGCAAGTGACGACCCTCCTTCGGTGTACTCGGCTTGGTTTTCCGTTCACTCCCCTTTCAAACTCGGGCGCTAATCATAAAATGCAATTTAGCCCTGACATACTGGGCACAAAGCCGAGGGGAGGTTGTGGAGTGGACGCCTGTTAACCGCATTCCGATCACACCGTCCGTCATGGCCTACCCCGACAAAAGGCCGCCCCTTTGGGGCAACGCCGCCAGAGAACATCGCGACCGCGTTTCCTGGTCCAAGTTACTGGTGGATGGCTCTTCGCCTGTACCAGTGAATGGACTGGATCTCAGGGCTCTCCTCGGAGACAAAGGCTTCAGCTTTTATCGAAATCGCATCCGGATTACGCGCGTCATAGCGGACTATCTACGAAATATCCGATTGTCTTTCTGCAATGACCCCAACGTCACCAAAAACTTAAGGATTCGAGCCCTGCCACCCATTGCCTGGCACTTTTCAATGCCAGCCTGTTGGTCCAGAGATGGAGTCAAGACAATGATGGCTGCAGTGGAGACGGCTGGATTTCTAGACAACGGCGGTACCGTTTCCTACTATTCGGAAGCGACGGCCGCTGCCATTGGGGTCTCCTACAGACTCATCGCCAATTCCGTCCAGGTAGGGGATAAACTACTCGTGTGCGACCTTGGGGGCGTCACCAACGTAAGAAGACTTTGACGGCCAGGTGACTGGTTTGACATGCGCAATAGCTTACATGGAGCAGGATTTTACGACCTTCAAAATCACGGGGGTCGATCCGAATCATCCCCGACGATTGTCCTTTCAACAAATCGGCAATCACAGTTCGGCTGATTGTACAAATCCGCACATTGAGAATGCCCTTCTATGGCACATCCGGCGAGAGCTGGGTCTGCCGCTGAAATCTGGGGATGTGGCTCGCCTAGCGGTTGAAGCTGCCAGGGCGGCGAAGGAACGATACAATGGTCGTGGCAACGTGACTGTTACCCTCCCCATTGCCTGGGACTATCTGCAAAGACGGTACGCCGGCGGCTGCGACAGTTTTAACTTTGACGACAGACAGTTTACTTTCAGCGCCAGCGTGCTTCAGGGAGCCATGGATTTGGTTGTCACTGACGTCCTGGGCCGGATAAAAGATCAAGCCAGGTCGTGCGGCGCCAATAAGATAGCCGTTGTGGGAGGCTTGAGCTGTTCCCGGTATTTCCAGAGACGAATAGAGGCCGATTTTGCCAATATCCCCGAGGTCAGCCATCTGCTGCCTGTGAATTATTTTGATGGCTATGACCCGTGGGTTGCCTTGCTCTCCTCTCTTCCAAACAGAGCTAACCGTGAATCACAGCATGACAATTGTTTCACACGGTTTGACCCGTATAGGGAGCGCCCCAAACCCTATGCAGTATAGGAGTCAATGGGAGTATGGGATTTTCAGCTCCTTCATCGAACGACTTGGGACCGGGGATCTGCACTCCGAATATCGTCATACGACTGCTATTACTTTGGTACGCATCCTCTTTGATTGCCCCTATCACGGTTTGCCATTCTGAGTCTGACAGCTTCGAACATCTTCTTTCAGGTTCAGGCGAGTAATAATGTGCCCCGACAAGGGCAGGTACGATTTCGCCTTAGTGTACGCAGCCGATACCTCTCGGAGGACATAATGATAAGACGGCGTGATGTGGCTGGCAGTCAGTATACACTATCCTACACTGGTTCCTCACATTGACTGCGGACTGACACCCCCCCGCTAGACGTGCAAACCGCTGCGTTGTGCAAGCACAATGTTGACGATAATACCCCCTATGTTGATGAGTACCGGTACCGGGATCTGAATGTAACTGTCCGCTACTATGAGATAGTTGCATCTTGGTCATTGAAGGCAGACGCCCACTTCAACATGGAATGGAGATTCGAGGCGGAGGCCCCGGGCACCGGATTGCTGCATGAAGTAGCAACCGTCAGCCATCGAGCGGATGAGATAATGATCTGCTGGGCCACTTGAAAATGGTAGATTTTCTATTTTTTCTTTTTTTCTTTTTACCCCTTTGACTGTTCTCACTGTTCTCTACTCCATCTTGTTAGGCGAATAGCTTAACTTGTTCTCCCCGGCCTGTCTTCCTTATAATTACATTCTTAATCGCCTTTCATATGTTCGCCATCTAGTTTCGGGCATTATGGTTGTACTGGACCTGTTTGTGTATCTAGAATGTATCCATTTCATTTTATTTAATTGATCGCAGGAGAGCAGTATGCCTTCGGAGAACGAGTACTTACTACCCTGGCCGGTCCACTCTTAAACCCTCCGTCGTTCCGCCCATTATGCTCCTGTCATCATCCTCACTGCCACTCTTCCGGATTAAAAAGTTCTCCAACAAGGATGATGTTTTGGTAGAAGGATACACATAAGGTAGTATTAGCCCATCACTAGTAGCACCGATGAGGGGTCGTTAACCCCGCGGGACTCATACCAGCTTCGTATAGATGAAAGGAGCCTTCCTTTTTACCCCTTTTTATTTATGTATGTATGTTCACTTCACTTTTTGCCCCTTTCCCCCCTCGAATGCAAACGAAGGGACCAGAAGTGCAGCTACACTGGGCGAGAAATCGGGAGGGCTACGAGGAGAGTTAGTAGCCTACTAGTAGGTGGGAAGCGAATCACAGCCGGATACCTACAGCTTTTGTGTGAAGGGTCTAAACTCCACGTCAAAGTCAGGGAGCTCTCTCGTGCGGTCAGAGAGCACGCAAACGCTACAGACTGGCGGAACAAGGCCCAAAGTTGAAATCGAATGGTACGAGAGATGAACACGACCGACAGAATGTACTCAATACGTCAATAAGCCCATGGGTACTGTCGCCTCTCAGGGCTTCCTTCCTCAGAACTCAATTCTGAAAATTCAACAGCTAGTCTACTGCCGCCAGATGGTCTCTCGTAGGGGCGGAAGATCCCTGACCGGATCAGCATTCTCCTCCGTGTCATCATCTTCCTGGCTGTCTCCTTCCTCCTTGTCCATTCCAACGGTGTCCTCGCAGTCATTGCTGACAGCAGCAGCTACCCATAGTGCCCGCCTTGGCTGCCACCAGTACTTCGGCACGGTTCACCATATATGGGGGCACCGTACAGAAGTGTTTGAGGGAGATGATGTCGATGTAGCTATAGCTTGGCCGCGTCACAATCAAAACCCGACTGCCTTCGACGGGTTCAAATCCTGCGTGGAAGGGATGGACGATCGTCTGGCCCGACCAGTGGTTGAATTTCGGAAGATCAGGCAGTCGCACAATGTTCATATTACCGTAGAGACCACCATCGCCGTGAATGACGGTCTGAGCGGCAGATTCGAGGAGTAAACGCAGACTACTCTTGCGCTGGGATCGTTTGTACTTGGTCATTGGATCCCGAAGCAAGAGCTGGAAGAGCCGGGAACGCATCAACTCATCAGTGTAGGTCTTCACAAGCGCCGTGCGATGTTTAATTGTGTTGCGGCCGACGGGAGTGGGTGGGATGTTGTTCATCACGCAGGGTTCATCGTTGAGCTTTCCAACATTGATGGATCTCCACCACGCTGCATCCTCGCGGGAAACTTTGTGGTTTCGTTAGGGGTCAGTAAAATCGCATTGTCTGCCGGTGAGAAGTTTGAGGGAAGTAAGAAACAAAGACGGATGGGACGAAGGAACAAGAGCAGACCAAAAGATCATGATAATTAAATGCAAAGAAAAGGGTGGTATATGACCTGACCTTGTAGGAGCCTCTCGTACACGTACTGGAACCTCTTGTGGAAGTCAGACTGGGGCTCTGAATCGGTGGCATTGATCTTTCCGTCCATGAACCAGAAAGGAGAATCTATGAACTTGGTACAGATGAATTGTTTCAGCATTGTCTCAATCAGGATCATTCCGAAATTAGCCCGAGCGGCAGGAGGGAGGCTGAGAAGGATGTATCCCAGTCTTCCTGGACACAGTATTCATCCAAGCTGGCGATAATCGCCTGTTTATCCGAATCCGCAAGATGAGAGAGTGACTCTCCCTTTCCCGACATGGTTGCCCATGTTCTCACCCGAACAAAGACCGACTCAAGAGCATGGCCGACCGTCACCTCTGCAGCTCTGGGGGCGGCGAGGGTGTAAAATATAGCTTTATGATGATTGATCATGTCGTGATACTCATCTCGTCGACAAAGGTACATCTCATTGGGGTAGATGGCTGGCTTAGGGACTGGGATCTGGCAATTCAGCGGGGTTTGCTCCATTTCCTCTTCCCGGGAACGCTTAGAAGGATTCTTCTGGGTGCTAGTTGTCGCCATGGTAGTGATGATGATAAGTTCACGGAGGAAGAGAGATAGAGAGAGAAGGGAATGGTGCCTGTGGGTGTGAGTGTAAAAGGGAGACAGGCCGAAGAAGGCAAAACAGGTGAAGAGTAGGAAAAGAAGCATACAACGAAAATAAGGCAAAGCAAAAAAGAAAAGTACCAAGAAAGAATGGAACGGGGAGGCGTATATGGGAAACAAAAAGGGTTCGGTCGACCGACCCCATGCAGGAACGAACGGGTCATTGTTACAATTTTGGTTTGATAAACTCATCATCGGTACCTTGTATACTTTTTGTAAAATTTTCTTTTTGCTATCTTCGTGTACTTTTGTAGCCTCGTATGTTGTTGCCATTTTTACTTTTTCGTTTCTTCCTCTCTCTCTCTCTCTCTTTCATTCCTTCTAGTTATTTTTTTGGTCGATTTTCATGTGGTACTTTTCCAAGGGAAATACACCTCGTATTCTCGGTCAAGCCGCAGAAGCTTCTTCCGCCCTGACAAACATCAACACTTTCTGGCCCGTAGGTCTGGGCAGACTTGTCTACCCTCAAGAGATATTCTGGCGCCTATGGAATTATTGTATTTTCCCGGCTCCACGAGTAACATGAAGACATCTAAGAATAGTTTCGGACGTGTCTTCCCAGGGCCCTATTTTGGTAAAGTCCAAGTATCAAATGTCGTCTTTGGTTGCTGACTTCGCCATCTTTCAGTTTCTCAATGATGAACCATGTCTAGTAAACCAAACAAATCTTGTGTAGATGTAGGCGTTGGTGTTACAAAGACCGACAAGCCACACTTCCCAACCCCTTCTTTATCTTCCGAGTGAACATGTTGATGTAGCCCCGTCGGGCAACCGCTAACATATGGATGAATCTCCGTCGTAGTGGTAACCTACGCCGGCTCCAACACCAGACAGGTGGGGCGCCTTGGATACCTCAGGAGACATGACTGGTATGACTGTAGCAGACCGAGAGGGAATCTCAGGGTAGAAGGTCACTAGTGGCATAACCTATATCTTTCTAGCCATTCTTCTGCCTGAGGCATCAATCCACCATGTGCCCTCTCCGGGCTGAAAGAAGTCCCGATCACGTGGTCCCAAGAGTAGTGACATGACACCTCAGGCATCAATCACTTGTCCTCACGTGCCTGGCTTCGAATCAAGCCATTCCTTCATGCATGCCTCTTGTTGATTTCATATTTCACTGCATGATGATTGTGTGTGTGTGAGAGAGAGAGAGGGATGGAAGTTTACAGCAGAAGATGTGCGCAAGGATTGACAAATGCACCTTTGCTTACCCATATTCCGGTGGAAGGCAGCTAGCTAATTCCGCGTCTTGCTAAGAGCTGATTAATCCCCCGAAGCATCAGTGAGGGTCTCTTCCCTCCGACTTACAAATCCTGATTGGTCGAGCATGGTAATCACGCCACGGTAACCTAGTGAGATTGATAATAATGAAAAATATGAAGAAGATGAAAGTGTTCAATAGAATGGAAATGTATACCCCACCCGGCTGGCGGGGTTAAATTAAAACCCCTCTTCGCAGCACACCGCATATCTATATAAGCAGTAGTCCAGCCCCGACGTCAAGTGTGACATTCGAATCAGCCTTCCAAAATTACTCTCAATACCGATCAAATTCAATCCATCAATCAATTACTTAGACATAAATACTCCCACAATGGGTTCCACACAGCCGCAATTCAAAAACCCTGCCACCACCTCCCTTCTGGAGCTGGTCAAGGCCCGCCGCACCTACTACGGTCTCAAGGCTGAGAGCCCCATTTCCGACGATGCCATTGAGAGCATCGTCGCCAACGCCGTCCTGCACGTGCCCAGCTCCTTCAACACCCAGACTTCCCGCGTCGTTCTGCTGCTGAAGGAGGAGCACCAGAAGGTCTGGGACATTGCTATCGCTGCCATGGAGGGTCTGGTTGCCGCTGGCACCCTCCCTAAGGAGAACTTTGAGAACCAGACTAAGCCCAAGCTTGAAGCCTTCCGCGCGGGCTACGGAACGGTCTGTTTGCCCCTATAATTTGGATTGACCGAATCATCCAGCTAAACCAACAGTAGGTCCTCTTCTTCGTCGATTATGACTCCCTCGCCGGTATCAAGGAGAAGTTCGCCATCTACGCCGACAAGTTTGACCCCTTTGCCCTGGAGTCCAATGCCATGTCCCAGTACCTTAGTAAGTCATCTACCACCTAACAATATTCCTACCGGTCCATAACGGTCCTTACCATCTCTCATCATCATCACTTGCTGACTCTCGTCCCAGTCTGGACCGCTTTGGAGTCCGAGGGCTTCGGTGCCAACCTGCAGCACTACAGCCCGCTCGTTGATGGACAGATCCAGAAGCAGTGGAACCTGCCGGCCTCATGGAAGCTCGACGCTCAGCTGGTCTTCGGCGTCCCTACCTCGGAGCCCGGCGAGAAGGCGTTTGCGCCCCTGGAGGACCGCTTCAAGGTCTTTGGCAAATAGACGCATTATGATTGATGCCATTCTGGAGTTAGCGTGTTAGATTAGACTTGCGGATTCGTGCCCTGAGGCGTACCGCCGCTCGAATAGACTTCTTCTAATTTTGTTGCAATATTCTCGTACGAATCCATAGGCGCGCTGGAACTGATAGGGGTGATCGGCACGGCCTTAACTGTCGTGATCTGTTTGCCAATAGATCTAACAACAAAGTAGATCGAGCACCATACAGAGTTTGCGTGCATGAGGGTCTTCATCTCTCAGAAGGATTCATCGCTGCCTTGTAGCGCCTCGCATTTACCCACAGAAGAGATTGGCCACAGTGCAACCGTGAGCAAGATATGCAGGACCATAGGCAACGATGAAACACACATGCAACCAGTCCGAATCTTAAGAGATGCTTATCTTCGTGGTCTCTGTCCCTGTAACGCCGACAGCTAAAATTAGCCCTCCCCACTGTTGTCCCGCCGAACAAGCTCATCGCGTACCCGCTCGTACTCGCTCACGAATTACCCGGTTCGGCAATACCACCATGGCTCTCCTCACGGGATTAATAGATATAAGACCGTCATCCAGGACTTGAGAATTTCAGAATCAAAGCCATCTAACCGTTTTTTGAACACAGAAACACAATCGCTTTTGTCTGTGAACTCTGACCATGGACTTTCAATTCCACCCCGGCGTCAATGGCTCCGATCCCTACGTCGATTTCTACCCTTACACGCCGTCCGCGACAGCCGGATATGCTTTCATGGCTATTTTCGGTCTTGCGACCCTAGTTCACTTCGTCATGATGTTTCCTTACCGCGCTGCATACTTCATACCGCTAGTTATCGGGGGAATATGTGCGTCGAATCCATCTTTACCCTATCAACTGCCCCGAGCCCTACCACGACATCTGTCCATCCATTTCCCCATCCATCTAACATAATCTCTCATTAGGTGAAACCTTCGGCTACTATGGCCGTGCCTGGTCCCATCAAGGCCGGACGCTCATCGGTCCCTGGGCCTTGCAAGAGATGCTCATCCTCTGCGCGCCGCCCTTCATCGCCGCCACCATCTACATGATCCTCGGACGCATGATCGTCGCCTTCGCAGCCGAGCACCACTCCGTCATCCGCCCCAAGTGGCTCACCAAGATCTTTGTCCTCAACGACGTCATCTGCTTTCTAACGCAGATTGGCGGTGCGGGCGTGCAGGTTACCGGCGACGAGCATCTCATGAAAACGGGGATCAAAGCTGTCCTGGCAGGGTTGATATTCTCTCTGGTGATCTTCCTGTTGTTTGTGTGGGTTGCTATCGTGTTTCATCTGCGGTTGAGTTGCGATCCGACGTGGGTGGTCAATGAGAATCCGTGGTTGATGGGCGGATGGAAGCGGTATATGTGGGCGTTGTATGTGGCGTGTGGAGCGTTGATGCTGAGAAACTTGGTCAGGACGGTGCAGTTTGGAGCCAATGAGACGTCACCTTTGAACACTCAGGAGGTCTATATTTATGTCTTTGATGCCGCCTTGATGTTTGTTTCTATGGCGGTGTTGGTGGTGTATCATCCGGGAACGATGATTAAGAAGGCGAGAAGGACCAAGGAGGCGGCGGAGTATTGCCAGCCCATGGCGGATATTGGTGATGAGGAGGGGGGGAAATGATGTTGTCCTGGTGCTTTATTTCGTTATAATTCCTTTTGTCTTTGGGTTACCACGGTACATATTATGTTTGTGGAGGTTTTGTGATATTTATTGAGTTTTTTCGTTGTCCAAATGTTCATATGTGCATAGGAAGTATGCGGTCTGTTATTATTGAACTATTACAGTATGAAAGTGCCATGTGTAGGTACTCCTCCTTCAATCACCTGGATCGGCCACGCAAGCCATTGCTGGTCTTCCTCTCCCAAGGATGTGCGCACCCCATGCAGCACATGCGCATCCCATCCCTGCATTAGCCACGACGACCGCTGATACACCAACAATATACTCCAATGTCCAAATAGAATCAATGCGTATCGGTCCTTTTGCTCCAAAAGGGAGATCATCTCCGCCCGTAGACGGTACACCCACCCCACCACCAGATGCATCAGGCAGATGCCATCCTTCCCAGCGCTGCGCATCTTATACACTTCCTCGAATGCCGAGAGTAGATCACTTATGGCAGCTGCGAACAAGGTTCGGGACGTTTCGTCGGTCACATGAGACAGGATAAAAGCCTGGACTTGTCGGACCTGTTGCAGATGCTCGTCCAGTTCTGCCTGCAACTCATCACTCACACCGCCGATACTATCGTCCGGAATCGGTTCTAGAACACCGGTGAAGACGCGATCATGATTTTGCGATACAATAGAATGCACGCCATGCAACAGGATGAGCCACTCAGATCGGCCGATGTCACTAAACACCAGATACTCGCCGCGACGGGGCCCACGACCGAAATACACCAGGCAGATGAGGGCCGCAGACATGTAGATTAGCTGACAATTTTCCGTGTTCAGAAGGCACAGTACAGCAGATACCGATCGGACCCCAAAGGTGAAGTGATCGTCAGCTTGAGCGATAAACTGCGTGCGCGAAGCGGGATCTTCATGCGCCAAATGCAACGCCGACAGCGCCAGAATTAGATGCATAATAGAGGGAAATGAGATGCCCCATTGCGGAACGTGATGGGACCAGACGCGTTTGTGGTCCATTTTCTCGTCTGCAAGGGTTTTGTAGGTTGAAGTCACAAAATGGTGATAGAGCTTCAGATCGGCAAACGAGATGCCACCAGACAGGGCACTTCCAGCGAGATCACATTGCACTCCAGTAGATGCGGATGTATCTGAGCTTGTTACAGCTTCTGTGCGGGTGCTTGGGGATGATGTTCTTAAACCGGGTTGATATTTGGATGGTCGAAACCGGAATCGGCGGGTTGGATCGGGGGAGGTCGAGGCGGCTGGGGAAGCAAAATCACATTCGATCGAGTGTCGCACACATTTTGTACAATGTGGCTTTTTCTCATCGCACTGTGGAAAGTCAGTATGACCAGAGAGAGGGTTATATGTGGCAGATCTGGGAATGAAGCAAGCCAAGGCACGAAAAATAGACAACATTGTGCCTAATAATGATGCTGTATACTAGTAGTAGGAGGGAAGTAATATATAGTACAGAGGAGGGTTGACAGTGTTCGTCCGGTTTCCATCCGACGGAAGCAGTGGGAAGCCTACCTTGACACGCCGTTTCTTACAATTCTGACATCCTGCGCGAGATTTATTGTGTGATCTCCGCGAGCGAATCTGCACAGGCAGCTGGTCGTTCATGGTTGGCGTGGAGGATTGAGATCATCGTATTCGTTCTGAAGTTGCCCCCTTTGGGGATCGGCTCCTGAGGCACTCGTGATCACGTGAAGATAGCAGAATTTTCGCCGGCCCAAACCTTCTTCTTCCTGGACGTTCCAGAGGTAACAACAAGCGTCGGTTTCTTGAATCAGAAGTCTCCGCAGGGAAAGCCTTTCCTGGCGTCTTTGGTCGGCCACAGATTCAGCCCGAAGGAGGGTCATATAACCTGATTGTACACCGTTCCTGTCCCCTTAATTAGGGTTCTGGCATCGATCGGTGCCTAAAAATAGAGGCCGACGGATCAACGACCAAGAATGGCGGATGCCTACATTCTGCCCTGAGCCAGTAGGACCACAGTTTCATCACTTTCATGGTCTCCCTTGGCTTGTATCCCCTCACTCGTCTCGGATTGCCGATCTCTTCTCCAAACCCAGTAACTATCTTGTGCATCTTATCTCACACAAGCACCGTTAGCTCACCGGCCAATCAGAGCGTATCTGGGCCTTGTAGCGCCCGCAACCCCTCATGCACTGCAGGGAGATAATACTAAACTACGACCTAGTACCATCTAGACTAGATAGAAGCCACCGACCGTAGTCTTTACTAGCAAACATATATTCTTGACTACCCCTCAATTCCAACACTCTGTCCGCTACTGTTCTTATCCTTGTCTTCTAATTCCAGGTTCTTTCGGTGTATACAAACCAGCGATATTGTAACACCATGGGAAACCACATCTCCTACCAAACATCCGAGTGTGAGATCCCATTGCCGGGAACGAGTGGCTGTGTCAAAGGCCTGCAAAATGGCACCCAGTCGAGACGCTTCGCCGGAATTCCATACGCGCAACCCCCGGTCGGCGACTTGAGATGGCGAAAATCTCAACCCTACCCTTTGCAACAGCTCACCGCAGGCCAGCCCGGAAATACTTATGATGCGACGCGATTTGGCCCCGTCTGCCCGCAGCCTAATTACTCCAAAGCCGTCAGTTCCCATGGTGGACCTAAACACACCTATCATGAAGATTGTTTACGCCTCAATATCTGGACACCCGTTCCTGACCCCCAAGTGCGCAATCCCAGGTGGCCTGTCGTCATCTGGTTTCATGGGGGTTGGTTCCAGATTGGCGACCCCAGCCAGGAGCCGGGAATGGACCCCACAGAACTTATCTCCACTGCACGGTTGAATGCCATCTTTATCGCAGTGGGCTACCGATTGAATGTTTTCGGATTCCTGGCGGGCGAGGCGCTGCGGGAGGAGTCGGCTGGCCAAGAAGTCGGCAATTATGGTCTTTGGGACCAGCGACTGGCTCTGGAATGGGTATACCAGAATATTGCTGCATTTGGAGGAGACCCAGAGAACATCACAATCTCGGGTCGCAGTGCTGGCGCTTACGCGGTTCAGGCCCAGGTATTGTATGACTTCCGGGGTGAGATGGAGGAAGCTATGCGCAACAAGTTTCGCAGGCTGTACATGCACTCAAACGCGATTCCATCCCAGCCGAAGACTGTGCAGGATTGCGAGCCACAGTTCGATGAGTTGTGTCGACACTTTGACATTTTGGCAGACCTGACAGGAGCAGAGAAGTTGAAGAAGCTGCGGGCCATCAGTGCAACGGACTTGTGTGATGCGATCATGAAACTCAAACACCACACCTTCCGACCGGTCACGGATGGCGTCTTCATCCATCCAGGCGTCTTTGACTATTATCGCAATGGCTCTTTCGCCGCAGAGTTCAAGAGTCGTGGTCTGCGGTTGTTTATTGGAGAAGTCCGCGATGAAAATACACTGTATGCCGTGACGAATGGCCCGGAGGCCAGTCTGGAGTCTTTGAAACTGCAAGTGTCGAACTATTATTCTCCTGCCACAACAGACCGTCTACTACGGCACTATGCCCTACCAGATTCTACAGACAAACAGGAATGGCAATCTGTATTCGGTCAGATTATCGCCGACGGGCAAGTCCGAGCGCCCTACAGGTTTCTGGTGAACAATCTCCTGGAGAACGGGGTGGATCTCAAGGATGTCTGGCGGTATCTCATCGCATACCGCTTGTCATTCATCACTGAAAAGGTAGCGCCAGCATCTTTTGGAGTGAGCCACAGCATGGACAGACCCATATGGAAGTAAGCAAGCCTGCCCTACCTGGCTATTGACAGTACTGACAATAACCAGTTACTCAATCATGCATGGACCCAGTCCTGCAGAGCGCGTCTTGATGGACGCCTGGATCCGAGATCTAGTGGCTTTTGTGAACGACCAGCCTGACTATGACTATGGTACACGGTCGGCAGATGAGTACAAGGTGATGACTCCGGAGGGCAAGATTGAGATTCAAAAGGACGGCCGATGGGATAGTCTGTTGCAGCTGATGGATGTGTTTTCGGGACGTTCGGAGTCTTGATAGGGCATTCCTGGGGTTGAGGAGAACACGTAAACTTTCAGACATTTTAAGCAACAGAATTAAGCAAGCACTATGCGACAGTTCTGGTAACTAGCTAAGATAAATTAGTGTCCACTAATCAGCTCTCGTAGTCATGTGCCGGCGTTCGCCTAAGCCGTCAGCCTCGCCATCCCTCACGCTTTCCCTTCTTCTTGACAACCATCCGGCTTGTATGCAACGGCACAGCTTGAGGACAGGCTCATGCGTGGAAGATGGGTCGAAGCACCTGGAGGGCTCAAAGCTGCCGGACTTGTCTGATGCGCAAGGTCAAGGTGCGATGATTTTTGTCGATCAGCCGAAACAATTGGTGCTGATGCCTTAACTTTGCGGGCACGCTAGTGCGACAAGACCCGGCCAGCTTGTATGCGATGTCAATCCTCAGCCCGCGAATGTGGAGGTTACTCTGACTTGTGAGTTACTACTCAGTATCTAACATGGAAGACAGTTTTGTTGACTGAATTTAGGAGTCGCACTCCTTCAAGGGACACTGCCATTGTTGGAATGAACAATCGAACCTTGATAGTGGCCCAGAACCAGGAGCAGTTGGTCTCGATCTTCATGCGCGACTACTTACCCCCAGTGGCTCCAAACCCGAAGGACCAGTCGCCTATTCACTGGGTAAAACTATTTCCTTCCTTCAGTCAGTCCGTGTTGCCAGTCGTCAGGACAGCCCTCACTGCATTGACACTTGCACATGTGGCCTCCTTGCGGAAGGATCACAACCTGGCACAATACAGCAGACACCATTACTTGCAAGCGATACAGCAAATATGTACACTAACAAATATAGACTATGTCTCTGATCTCGTCCGCTCTGCCATGATCCTTGCACTCTACGAGGTCTGTGCACAACCGTCAGGACAGGAAGATGCATGGAGTGTCCACGTCCAGGCAGCCGGCAAGTTAGCCAGTGAATCCAACTTTGCAACGGGGTTGCTCAACACGCAGGATCTGCGCCGACTCCGTACTATTGAGGTAGGCTCATCTTATTCCTGATTGACGCATTCTGACAAGCCGGGTCCAGTTTCTTCTCATGTGTTCCAATGTCAAGCATGAGCCTTCTTTGTCGTTACTCTCGCATACCGAACCGTCAACCAATAGATTCGACATACTTCTGGTTATGCTGTACAAATTAGGCCAATTACACAGGTACATCCAAAATGAGCTTTATCGCAATAAGACCACATGGAACTCTGCAATACACCTGATGAAAGTGTTGGTCGGGCTCGAGCAAAATCTCTTAGGTTGGTATCACGAGTGGCAGTCAGAATGTCGCCATCCTATGTTTATGATCGTGCCGCCCACAGCGGGGCCCAGGCCTGCACCGTATGGCAAACCGGCAGAGAAAATTTTTATACCCGATGCTGATGATATACCGCCGTTATTATTTTACTGGTTGGGGATGACAATGGTTTATGCTACGATAGCCAAGGTCGTGCGAGGAATGGCCGATCGTCAATATGTACCCGCGACGATGTTAGAGCGACGTCTGGCGAAGGCTACCGGTCTCTGCCATCGCTTCGTTGACCGCATATCTCAGTGCCAGGTCGGATGCGCAGGCAAGGGGCTGGGGACTACTATACTGGCAGCGGCAGTACTTCAAGCAGCGCAGAAACTACATTCTCGAGTGTAACAGAAGCTTCTTTCACTTACGATGCTAAGCAAGACAACTAAGCCACCCCATCCACATTTTACCACCTATCCATCTCACAGCGGGACAACTTGGAACGAACAAGATGGATTCGGTCAGCGTAAGGTGATTATATGATAGGAAGCATTCAGTATTCGAATTTCTGGCCAACAATCTCCTCGCTCAGCTTCCACAGTCTTTCCGCGTTTTTCGGGTCCAGAGCATAGTCGACCGCCTCGTCGTTATTTACTTGGTTATTGACCATGTACGAACCGTTTTTGTCTGCAATCTATCAACATCTACCCGTCAGCATTGGTGGAGCGTGCCTACCAGAAATGCTTGGATCATATGCTGCAACAATCAAGGTAGCAGCTCCCTGGCTGGCTGTTCTCCAGTTCAGCTTGGGGTCATCGTTGATGCTCCCATCCTGATTTTTCCATCCTTATGTTTACGTTAGCATCGCTCACTAGCAGACAATGTCCATCACATCAGAAGCTCTACATACCAGCCTTGACCCATTCTTCTGGCTTCAAATGCCTTCCAATGCCAGTCTCCCGCCGTCCAGGATAGAGACTGAATGACTCCACCCCTTTCTCCCCAGCCTTCTCCGCCAGTGATACCGAAAAGAGCATATTGGCCGTCTTACTTTGGCCGTATGCTTGCCATTTGTCATAGCACTTCCCGTTCTATCCGAGCGTTAGCCAAGGCTTCCTTCATCAGTTCATATATGAGGGGTGATTATTTTTGGGACATCACAAACCTCGAAATTCACATCGTCGAACCTGACAGGTCCACGCTTATGGCCGGCACTACTGACATTCACCACTCGAACCTTTGACTTTCCGCTCATCATTCTCTCCAAGAGCAGGTTAGTGAAGAGAAAGTGGCCGATGTGGTTTGTTCCAAATTGCAGTTCCACTCCATCTGCGGTGATTGTGTACGGTGCCGCCATGATGCCTGCGTTGTTGATGAGATGATCGATGCACTCGGGATAGTTGTTCACCTCTGCAGCTGCCTTGCGAACGCTTTCTTGCGAGCTGAGGTCTAGAATGAGAAGACGAATATTTGCATCTGGTGTCTCGGCTTTGATGGCATTCTCGGTGGCCTGAAGGGTCCTCAGGTTGCGACCAGCCAAGACCAGGAGAGCGGGTGCATGACGGGAGAGTTGAAGAGCTGCCTCGCCGCCTACACTGCCTAGTGTGACGCCAGTAATTAGGACTGAAAGAATTAGATTCTTCCTTCAGTCGGTAAACCGAGGTGGAATAGTTGAACATACCTTTGCTCCTTTTAATGTGGTCCGCCAGGACTTGGCAGACTTCTTCACTGGTGGACTGTGCGGAAAAGGATGACATGTCAGCAGCGATTCTGATGCTTCTTACACGGAGAAGATGAGAATTGCAGTGCCATTGTGACGTTCTTAAGTAGTTGCCCGACAGTCTGCAGCCCGGAATTAGCTATAGTCCCGACGCTATGATACTGTAATCCTTATCATGCTGTAGCGGCGCCACAAGACGCTAACCCACAGCCGCCAATGATAAGGCGTTTATCACCGAGACCCCTTGTTGGCAGCCACGGAGCTAACGGAGAGGATGCCGAAAGTCAAGTCGATACCCATGATACTATTAATGGTACCTTCGGAGAAAATCTTCTCATACGGCCCGAGCGGATTCCTATACCGACTCAGCCTTCTAGTCTACTTAGAGCAATGTCATCAGGATTAACGCTGCTGTGTATTCAATTTCATAACCCGGAGACTGTCATAGTAAATGACCCCAATCCATGGACAACTGATATATATAGTAGACCATTAAACTTGAACATGGACTACTCAACGAACTTACAACAAGCAAAGATTAACAAAAGTCAACTCCACACAATACCTGACAGTCTGTATATACAAAGCAAAATCCCCAAATATCATGCAACCTCAAACATCACCCTAGTCCACCACCGTCGTCCGGGTAGTATCCCAGAACTCATCCGCCAAATGCGCCATAGGCCTCTCACTCATCCTAGCAAAGTAATCAGAGACTCTAGGTCTCCTCTCATCATCAAAAAACCACGGCCAGCGATCCGCATGCGCAACCACCATCCCAAAGAGATACACATCCGCGGCGCAGAACTTCCCAAGGAGATACTCCAACCCTTCCAAATTCTCCTCCACCTGGCCCAGCGTCATCTCAATCCTCTCCTTCAGGGCCCTCCTCCGACCCGGCACCGGCGCATACCCAGTGACTTCTTCACCAGTCTTATTCCCCAAGTAATGGTTATTCCACTCATACAGTGGCTCAATCACATCGCGCCGGAGACAATGAATGCACGAGCGGATCAACGCCCGCTCCTGCTCCGTATTCCCATATAGATAGCGATCCGTGGGCGACACGCTATCGATGTACTCGGTGATGGCTTCGAAGCCGACGACTTTGCGCACGGGTCTACGCGTCGGATTGTCTAGGAAGAGCATGGGAAGTTCGCCGGCATGGTGCTGTTCCCAGATGAAGGAGGGTAGGATCTGGTCTTTGAGTTGGACGTCGATGAAGCCGGCGCGGACGCGGACGCCGCCGCGTTCGTGGATAAAGTAGCGAATTGCCAGGCCGGCGGCGGTGTCACCGTCGAGAATGTAGAGTTTGGGGTAGTTGTTTCGAGGGATGGGTGGAGGAGGAGGTGGTGGTGGGTGTGAGGGTTGGTGTGGGGGCGGGGAGAGGGGACGTGGGGTGATTGATTGGGGTGGGCTGGGCGGGGGAGAGGAGGAGGCGTCACTTTGGCAGTAGTTGATGGTAGGGGACACGCAGAAGGGAACGGATGGGTGGGTGTATAGGGAAGTTGGAATGTAAGGGTAGGGGGTGGAGTAGGGCATGGAGTGGGAACGCGTTCGGGGCATGGTGGCTGTTGATTGGGTAAGGGCTGGGTAGGAGTACAGGGATGTTTCATGTACTTGATTGGAAGGGTTACACAGAGTCGTCTTATATATTGAAAGGGATGAATGGGAGTTGTACACAAGTTGCCCGAAGGAAAGGGAAATGCCTACGGAGTGAGACATGGCATATGCTATAGGGGAGATTTTTGCTTGGTGTTGGTCAGGAGGCTGTTGGCTAGCAGCGTCTAAACCATCATGTGTAAAGGATATGGTGATACATGCTATCGTAGGGAAGTCGTTTCTTTGATATGCTGCTGTGCTCTCCAATAGATCGCATTTCTTTATGGGCATTGTCCGGAGACTGCCTTCATACATAATTACAATATATGATCACGCGTCTCTCTTTGTGTGTACATAGACTGGCATTCTGCAATATGTCTCACTGTTAGAAAGTGTAATATTTGAGCGGATGAATATGGATGAAGACCCGCTGTCGACGGCCATATCCATACCCATGTAACACAGAACACTCTTTACGTACTCACTGAAGAACAAAACAAGTAGTGAGGTTTTATTGTCGCATAACAGGAACGATGATCGTTGGTTGACAGGAGTGTATAAACACGGAAAAGTCCGACTTCAAACTGCTATCAGCAGACAGACATAACTATATAAGCTCTCCCAAATATATCATTATCCTAAGTGGAACACAACACTTATTTCGTATATCGATTTCACTCTCAGTTCATATTCCTCGACGCAACCCTTCTTATCCTTCTTCTTTATACTCTGCTGCATAGGTAAGTTCCCAATCTCACTGACATGTCCCTCAATTTCCTCAGCTAACACATTGACAGCTTCCGTCAACATGCCTGGCGCCCCACCGAGCTTCTCGGCGAAAGTTTGGGCGATGGCTTGGAATCATGGCCTGGCAATCAGGGCCTGTAATGACCTGGACGATGGAGCCGACTGGTATAAGGCCATCCTCGTAGGTCCCGAAGGACAAGAGGTGCAGCTTTTCCAAGCTAGGCTCATCGAGGAACTGAATTCGGATATGGAAAGCTACCTTGACTATTACGAAAGTAAGTATCTATTTCAAAGTGGTCTGACTATGCTAATGTTCGCAGAAAAAGCCGAAGAGAAGGAAAGAGAAGCAAAACAGAGCTTAGGCTCCAAGATCATGGATGTTTTGCGTCGCTGAGCGTGAGGTCAGATATTTGACTTGAATTTAGTCCATCTATCGGAGAAAGAATATCAACAGTAGTCTTGTGTCTATCATACATTGTGATCGCTTATCAAAGTCTATCAACTGTCTATATGCATATCGTACTCTATGTAACTAGAAATCCACACTCTTAAACACCGCAACAATCATTCACCCAGATGATTCATGCATCCCTATTTTGCCTCCTCGGGAAGGACAAAATGCAACACGCCGTTCTTCTTGCCATCTGAAACGTAGATGCACTTGCGGAACGTAGTCATGAGCGAGTACAAGAAGCTGCTCTCCTTCTCCTCGTGGTAGTTAGCCCCCAAGAGCGGCTGGATAGCACGGGTAGCCTCCTCGGCCTTGTAGAAGGGGATACGGCTGAACAGGTGGTGCACGACATGGTAGTCGATGATTTCGTGGAAGAAGTGGCGGCCGATGAAGCCGATGCTCCGGTCAATGGTGGCAAGGGCACCCTTGGTGTAGGTCCACGATTCTGCGGAGTAGTGGGGGACAGCGGGGTGAGTGTGCTGGAGGTAGGTGATTGCGACTGTTTTATGTGTTAGCTTTCCCTCTTTATCGATCTCTGGAGGGAAGGGGGGAGACGTACTCAGCCAGTGATGCACCCACAAATAGGGAACAAAGTACAAAAGGGCTACATTCCATGCGCCAATCTGTGTCGAGGCGTAGTACAGAATCGAACCCATGATAAGCAGACCCAAATCAGTCAAGGCAATGCTGAGATACTGCGACCTAGTAAAAAGGTCGCCGAAGGGGTTGAAGTGGCTGGCCACGCCACGGATCGGACGATTTTCAGGAAGACTCTTGGGACCGGCGGTGACATTCAGGAAGAGGTACAGCTGCCATCCGAAGAGCTGGTGGCCGATGAGTTGCAGGAAGGAGACGATGGGAGTTTCTTCGGTCAGATGCTTGAGCTGCTCGATGCGGACGTTCTTCTTCTTGGCCAGCTCGTCGTCGGTCCAGGGGACAAAGACCGTGTCCTTCTCCATGTGGCCGGTGTAGCGGTGGTGGCGCGCATGGGTGATCTTCCAGGAGAAGTAGGGGACCATCAGGAAGGAGTGGGCAGCCCATCCGACAATGTCGTTGAAGGTCTGGTGCTTGGAGAAGGCACCATGACCGCATTCATGAGCCAGAATCCATATTCCGGTGCCGACACAGCCCTGGAAGAAGCCGTAGACGGCCCAGGCGAGGGCGCGCAGTGGCAGTGAGGGGAGGAGGTGGATGTGGAAGGCGCCGTAGGCGAGGATAGCGCAGTAGAGGATGTCGCGGGCGAGATAGAGGAGGGAGGTGACGACGGAGGAGTCGAAGCATTCTTCAGGAATGGCGTCCTTCAGGGTCTTCAGACTGGGAACATTGTCGTCATTGTGAATGGGCTGCTGCTGCTGCTGCTGTCAAGTAAAAAAAAAAAAAGAGCTGTTAGCCAATTAGGGCTTTCCAAAGGGGTGTGCTGAAGAAAGGGATAGACATACCGCCGCCTGGCTGGCAGGCACTTTACGAAGTTCAGCCATGATTCAAAGAGTCGCACGGAGAGGGAGGAAACAAACAAAGAAGCAGCGTCAGACACTGCGACTCTTGTACGATTGGGGATCTAAATTTTCCTTGTGAAAGACAAAAAGGGTCTTCTCCTGACTTACGCAGCCATTGTCCAATCAGGGGAACGCAGTTCCTGAAGTCTTTTGATTTCGTAAAGATGGACCCATGGTAGCCACGCTATTGGCATTAACCTCTTTCCCATTATCACAAACTACTTTTCTCTGCGACAAGTCCAGCTAATCTGAACTCAAAGGATCAGCGTTAGACAAGGGGGGCTAGCGGCGTGCGGAAAACGGACAAAGTCGAGGCCAGTTTCCACGGATCCGCCCGTTTGCAGTGGGGGGAATTCCCAACAAATACAACCAAACACAGCATTTGCCTGGTGGTGGAACACATTAGCTGAAGAATTTGGAAAAGTCGAGGAAAAGTGATTAATGAGCATTGATTATCAGCCTCTACGATCAAGATAATCATCCTCGCCGTTGCAAGATCCCCGGGCGACTTGAACTCCCTGACACCTGCAAGATGCAGATGCACCGTCAATCCCCACGGGTTGATCCCTTGCCGACTAAAGTCTAGTTTCGTTTCTTCGGCCGATGGTTCGGCGCTTAGTCTGTTCTGGAACAAATTTAAACTTCAACGCTTTCCACCTTCTCAACGTTTTCGCCTCGCGACTCTTAGCGGCGCAGTTTTTTCTCCCTTCGCTTGCGACGACTTGCTTAGGGCTTTCTCAGACACGGGATGGTGAAACTCGAACAATTGGTCCACCACAATTAGCAACGCTGTTTAGCAGGCGTTTTAACCTGGATGATGATTTATCCAATAGCATTCTTATAGACAGGTCGGGCGGCTTAACTGCCGGATCACGCTGTCAAAGACAGAAATCGGTGGAGCCATGCTTCATCGCCCTCCTGTTCGATGTCGCCAAGATCAGCATTGCCGCTCAGGATTTCGCACAATCGCTGCTTCGTCAGAGACATTGTAAAACTCGTCTCGCCTTGAATAGCCCCCCGATCGGAGGATTTTCTGCTGGTTAAGACACCGTTGCTAACCATCAGTCTCCACCACTGCTTCTCATCTGTCACATGCACATCGAGGGTAAATGCCTCGCTCGCCGCGGCTGGCCCATTCAGCCGGACAGACAACAAAGTTAACCACTGCTCCACCGACTGGCGCGGGTTCAATTGGCGACTCTGGGTCCTCGACAGTAGTTTATTTGCATTTGGCTGCTGGTGCTCCCCGCGCAAATCGCGCGCCGCGGAGAGGTAGAAATTCCGCCAGGTCGCGTTCTCCGCTCCGAACCCTAACTGTTCGAACACCGATGCCAGCGTGCGTCGGGCCTGTTCATGCTTGGCATCAAATGTAACTGCATGTCCCAGCAATGTCGCGGCAAAACGGAGATCCCCGTCTTGCGCGAACCCTTCTGCCTTTCGGAGCACTTCATCAATCCCGCCCATACAGGCAATGTACCTCTTTGCGTTCTCAGCGGGTGGATATTCCCATAGATGTGCTGGGTTCCCATCGAACCATCCCATGTAGCGCTGGTAGATTCCCTTGACATTGTGACTGACTGATCCGTAGAAGCCCTGAGCATGCCAAGCAGTCTGCAGCGCCGGCGGGAGGGTCAGGGTCTCGGCGATCTCAATTCCAGTGAGACCCTGATTCATCATCCGCACGGTCTGGTCATGTAGATAGGCATACAGATCTCGTTGTTCGGACAGCAACTGCTCGATCTGTGTGGTGCCCCAGGTTGGCCAGTTATGGCCCGCAAATAACACCTTCGACTGCTGGCCGAACAGGACCAGCGACTCATCCAAATACCGCGCCCAGGCTTTCGCATCGCGCACCAGAGCCCCGCGCAGCGTGATGATATTATGCAAGCTGTGTGTTGCACACTCGGCAATGTACAGCGCGCCGTGATCGGGAAGGAAAAAGTTCATCTCCGCGGGCGCCTCCGTCTCGGGCACGAGTTGGAATTGTATCCGTACGCCATCTATTATACGTTCTTCGCCAGTCGAAGTGACGATCGTGTTTGGAGGCACAAACGAGTTTGTTCCCAACGACACGGTCATGCCAATGCCGCAGCCAATTTGCCCGTCGGCAGCCTTGGGTAGCTGAGCTCCGTACATGTATTGGGCGCGACGACGCATGGCCGGACCGACGTACATGTTCTCACTTAGAGCTTCTTCTACAAATCCCTCCGGTGCGACGATCGGGATGGGACTCGCACTTAGTGCGTCAGCGGCAGGGAGCACGCCCTGCG